ATAAATAAATAAATAAATAAATAAATAAATAAATAAATAAATAAATAAATAAATAAATAAATAAATAAATAAATAAATAAATAAATAAATACGTATATATATATATATAAATAAATAAATAAATAAATAAATAAATTATATAATTAAAAAATTAAAAAATAAAAAAATATAAAAATAAAGAAAAAAAATGTAAAAATGAAAAAATAAAAAAATTAATAAAGGAAAATAAGTAAATAAATAAATAAAAAGTAAGAAATAAAAAAAAAATAACGAAAACGGTAAATATTTTATTATATATTTTATTAAATTAATATTAAAATGGGTATTTATTTATAAAATATCGTTAAAATAAAAGTAAAAAAATTAAATATAAAATTTTAAATAAATCGAATAAATTAAATTAATTAAATTAATTAAATTAATCGAATTAATTAATTAAATTAAATAAATTAATTAAATTAATTAAATAAATTAAATAAATTAAATAAATCGAATAAATTAAATAAGTTAAATAAGTTAAATAAATTAAATAAATTAAATAAATTAAATAAATATATATTAAAATAAATAAATTAAATTAATTAATTTAATTTAATTAATTATAAATTAAAGAATAATTTTTTATTATTTATTAATTTTATTATAATTAAAAGAATAATTTTTATAATATTTTAATAAAAATAAAGTTATTTAAAAAGTAATTTAAAATAATTATAATTTAAAAAATATTTTTTTTTTATTTATTAATTTAATTTTAATTTAAAAAATATTTTTATTATTATTTAATAAAATAATTACGATTCATTATTATAATTTAATAAAAAAAAATGATTTTTTTAATAATTTAAGAAAAATAAAATTATTTTAAAAATATTATACGGTGGAAAAATAATTTTAAAGGATAAATTATTCCATTAATATACTTTTTTATTAAATTTATATAAAAAAGTATTTACGGTAAATTAAAATATTTTATTTATAAAAATATTTTTATTAAAAAAATAATTTTTAAAAACCTTTTTTTCCCATTACGATATTTAATTATTTTTATAAGGAAATTTTTCGTTATATATTTTTAATTATTAATTTTTTTAATAATTTTTAATTTTATTTAATTTAAAAAAATAATTTAACCGTTTATTTATCGAAATTTATATAAATAATCGTTATAATTTACCGGGTAAAAATTATAATAATTAACGCATTAAAATAATTATTCGTAAATATTTTATATTATTAATTTATATTTATTTAAACGTTCGTTATAATTTTTATAAAAAAGTTTTTTATTATAATATTTTATTATGTAATATTTTTAATATTTTAAGTTATAACGGGTAATATAAGTTTATTTTTTAATTTTTTTAAAGAAATTATTAATAAAAAAAAGTTTAAAACGTTTAATTTTTTCTTTAAAAATTATAACTTAAATAATTTCGTTAATAATAAAATTTATTTTATTTTTCGAAATATATACGTTAATTAAAATAAAGTTTATTTAAATTTTCATTTTTTTCGTAATTATTTTTTTAATAATATTTATAAAGTTTTTAATAATAAAATTTATAATATTAATAAATATTTTAAATATTATATATATTAATTATTTTTTAAATATTTTTATTATTATAACGTGTAAAATATTTTTTATTATAGTTTTTTTTTTTTTTTAAAAGTAAGTTTTTAATATTTAAGTTTATTATTCGTATAATTTATTTTATATTTATAAATTAAATATTTTTAATAATTTTTACCGGAAGTTTTAAAATTTTCGTTAAAATTATTTTAATAACGTATAAAAATAATTAAGTTTTTAATTAATTTTTAAAAAATCGAATTAATATATAAGTATTTAATTTTTAAATTAAAAAAATTTTCGCGTTTTTTAAAATTATTAAAACTTTATTAAAAATTATTAAAAACGTTATTATTAAAGTTTTTATAATTAATTTATAAAGTATTTTAATATTTTATTTAATTATATTTACGTATAATATTAAATCGATCGAATAAAATTCGGGTTTTATTATTTTTATTTTAATTTAAATATTTATAAATTTTAATAATATTATAAAATTTTTTTTAAAATTTACGTAAATTAAAACATTTAAATATTATTTTAAAGTTTTTACGTATTCGTAAGCGATTTTTCGATAACCGGTTTAATTATTTTTTTTAAAAAAACGTATAAAATTATTAAAAGTAATTATAAATTTCGTAATAATTTTTTTTTATATTTTAATTTTTTTTTAATTTTAACGTATTATTTATTAATAATATTTTATAATAAAAACTTAATATCGTTTATAACGGGTTTTTTTTTAATTATTATAATTAATTTTAAAAAAAATATAACGTTAAATAATTTAATTTTTTTACGTTAATATAAATTAATTATAAAAAATATATTAAATATTAATAATATCGTATATTAAAAATTAATTACCACGATAAAACGTAACGGTATAAAAAGTTTTAATATAAATAAATAAAAATTATCGTTTATTCGTTTTTTTAATGTTTTATTATTTTAACGTTATTTTTAATACGTATTAATATTTATAATAATATATTCGTTAAATTATTAATAATAATTTATATATAAATAATAAATATAAAAAAAAAATATAAATAATAATATATAATAATTATAAAATTTAATATATATATATTAAATTATAATATAATAAAAATAAATTAATATATAAAATATTTTTTTTTAATTAAGTTTTAAATATACTTAATAAAAAATAAACTTTAAAACGGTAAATAATATTTTATTATTACATTAATAAAAGTAAAGTTCGTTTTTTTAAACTAAAAGTTTTACGAATTAACGTATAATAACGGTGTACCTCGTATTATTTATAATAACATTTATCTTCGTGCTAAGCGCCCTAAACTGATAGCGCCCAGCCCCTAAAATATAGAAGAAGAATCACTATAAGGTCCAGGCCTTACATGAACCTTAGGTACCTACCTAGGGTAGGTATACAGCATTGGTAGACTGAGTATTGACTGACTTGCACACTGTCTTGGAGATAGATTGGATTCTTCTCGAATTGCCTATAGTACCTACACCACGGGTTTACAATCTCCGAAGCGGGTCATATAACATGTTCGCCAACCTGATGTTTAGACCAGATTCTTGATCAAAAATCCAATTCGACACCTCCAAATGATAGGTTAACGGCCAGAACCGGCTCATGTCAAACTCCATGTTTCCTTAATTAGGTCAGCTGCCCTCTCGGCAAATGCGTACACAGTAGACTGTAGATTGGCAGTGCTGATTAGGGGGATTGCGCTCGAATCTACGATACGGAGGTTCCGGGTACCGTAGACTTTGAGCGTGCTATCTACGACCCCGTTCATATTTTTCGGTAACACTTTGACGCAACGGGTTAGCGGATACCAATCATCAAGGGAACAGCATAATTAACGATTAGGTCAGACACATACTTGCACAACTACCTCCTAGGTGCCACATGGACGCCGCACTCTTCTGGATCCACTTTCTTGCCGTTCCCAGATCGGTGAGGGTTGAAGACGGATCCTGGTGGGTGATGGGGTGTTTAATTAAATCAGTTAGAGGGTGCGAGCGTGCAATGGTTTCAATGTAGAGCATATGCTCAGCGTATAAATCCAGGTCGAGCGGATTCGATAGATAATTAGGGTTGACGATGGGAGCAGCCGAAGTATCTTTAGAACTGATATGGACACTACCACGAGAGAGCGGCTGAGAAAGCATGGCGCCAAGAGTTAAAGTCCGACTATTTCCTTCAATTGGGCCACCCCATGGTCCAAGGAACGAGAGATACGTGCCGGAAGCCTGCTTGGGGTCAAGAAGGGTTGCCTTCGCCACTTGATAGTACGCCCGAGCTCTGACCTGGTCAGGTTCCTTTCCTGAAGCAGGACAATTGTCGAAAAGCAATTTGGTTAGCCGCTCTCGGCCTTCACTGGAGAGATGTTCCATTATAGGGAGATAGGCGTATGTATATACTCCCATCGAACTAAGCAGACCAGTCCGACGCTCCGCGAAGTCCTTTGCGGCTTGTTCACGTACGGATGGGTCTGAGATGAGAGGATCGAGCGTTTCCAGTTCATCTACCGCCAAATAACTGATTGTGTCAATCAAATGATCATAAAGGTTCTCTCCGACTCCTGGAAGGTTAATGATAGGGTCTATGCCGTGCTTTTCCAAGACATTCGCATTCCCGATCCCAGAGAGCTCTAATATCTTAGGTGATTGAAGGGCACCTGCGGCAATAATGACCTCCTTGTTACAGGTAGCTTGCCGGTACTCGCCGTTGTATCTATAGAGAACCCCAGTAGCTGCAGCGGGCTTCTCGCTGTCATGGCTTTCGCTATCGAGAAGGATTTTCTCGGCAGTAGAATTTGTGAGAACAACTAAGTTCTTTCTCGTTTTATTTGGATGGTAATATGCCGAAGCGGCGTTGGTTCTCTCTTTTGTGACTGGGTCGACGGTCGCAAGGCAAGAAAAGCTTCCCAAAGATCCATTAATAAAGGGATCCTGTGCATTATAGTAGCCATTGGCTCGAAACGTGTCTGCCCAGGCCTTCCTGATGGGGTGAAATGGGTTTCCGGGGAACGAGGTTGGAAGAGGACCATGTGTACTACTATGATCTGACCATCCATCAATACCGAGCGTCTCTGTCAAGGAGCTATCGACTGGAGGAGAAGTATAAGCTTTAGCGTAATACGGACGAAGAGTCTCCCAACTCCAACCGCTATTTCCGAGGGACGATCCCCAATGATCAATCACAGATGGGTTGCATGGGACGAACACCTGGGCATTGATGGAGCTGGAGCCTCCAAGGACCTTGCCTTGGCTAACCCCGATAGATCTTCCGTTGAGGAGTGTCTTCGATAAATTTCAGTAAAGAGTACCACGACGAATAGTGTTATGATATGCAGAAGACTGATATATACATACCTGTGCCTCAGTCTTGAAACCCCAGTCTGCCTCAGTTCCCTGTAGCGATGTCCAGGAAGCTGGAGTCTTGATTCGATGATCCGAGCTGAGGTCCGAACCGGCCTCTAAGACGAGAACGCGCTGACTTGGTTCCTCAGAGAGACGAGTTGCAACTACCAGACCAGCCGTACCACCTCCTATAACGATAAAGTCATATGTATTTGAGGGCATATTGGTGAGTGATAAATGACAGCGGCAGCCGACAATGCAGAATCGATCTCTAAAAAGACAAAAATAAAAAGAGAAAACAAAAATAAAATTTAAACCCAAGCACATCCTATAAATAGGGATTACATTATGCCTACCTACCTACCTAGTTACGTATAAATCTTTGATACTGAGCGAAGGGCCAAGCAAGCACTACATGCAGTTGGTCTTTGTGAATCTTGGCTTACCCCCAAAGAGGGGATAGGGGCTAAAGCTTAGATAGGTTCCCATCAAATGACAATCAAGACGAGGTTATTTTCAAGATAATTTGCTGGTAGTTCTTGAAAATTTGGTATGCCCCCAGTCTGCCAATGTTGGCATCGACTGACAGCACAATAATAGGGGTTATCCACCTGTGCCTGTGCCGTACGTGCCCCATGTCTGAACTGTCATCGTTACTATAAAATTCATCCACCCTGTGTTAAATCTACCAATTGGGTAAATTTCCATCTACTCCATACATTGATTTGTTTTTAATGGCCGATGATACAAGTTCTTCGATACAAAGGTGGTGTTTGGTTAGCAATACGTTGTAGAGCTACTAGGTTATATTGTTGTCAATCACATCATATCTGGAACCATTACTGGTCTACTTAGTCACATGCACACCTTTTGGGCTGAACAACTAATCTAAACAGTGGTTAGGTACTTTTAACATGATATTGACTCTTATAGTATCGTTAAAGGTTATGATATATGGAGCTATCGAGAGTTGCCTAGTTAAGTATTTAGCCACTGGATTAAATTACCTACATAGTAGGTACAATGGTATCAACCATTAGACTCGAAAATTTACGTCAAATTTACAATGATATTCCTACAGACAGGCAGGTGTCTTTGTAAACATCCATTTCCTTCATACTTACATGTACTTGTAGTAACCACGCGGGATGGTCTTGCAAATTGAACTGAACTCTATAACTGTGTCAGTGTTCACTTAAGGGATATGAATGCTGAGATGTTTAGACTAGTGTTTCATAATGTAGAGGACAGGCCATCTAGTATTGTGCTTTCCAATGTTAGTTAGACAATAGTTCTTAGGTACATCATTGAACGATTCGTAAAAACTAATATCAACAGACTGCTCTTCATTGTTGTCATTTAAATTTTAATTTACCCAGGTATTCATCTTCTTACATCTTTAACATCCCTATAACCTCGTGTCTCATACTCTAATTCCAATTACACTCTACCTATATTTTTACAATACAAATAACAGATTATACATCGTGGTATGTAATGACATTACCCCTAAACTTACCTTCAACATGTCAGAGGAAGCCGAATCAACACCGCCGTAAGCATCATACGGAACCATGCCTATAATGGCATATTTCCTGCTAATGAGTTGTGTAGCCGCAAATCTTCGGCGTACCGTTATGATTGCTCCACAGAAAAAGGTCGTCGCGATACGAAGACACGAGTCAATCTTAACAATAATCCGAGTGCCAAGTCTGAATATCCTTCTTCTAGTACCTACTGTTATCATAAACTGACCGACTCGGCGGTACCAGAATTACGAACCCCTTGGCCGGTATCCCTCGTGAAAGTCTCCTGGACCAGGCAACTAGATTTTCCGAATGGCACGGTTTAGATGAATACGTCCCGCTCATGCGCAAAGGCGCACTTGTTGCCCAGAGTCCCACCGCTTTTGAGGATATCCAGGGGTCAGAAGCACTTGATAAAGAAGAACTAGTTGCTCTGAGAAACGAAGTAGAGCACAAGTGGAGGGTCCCTCGGCTTCTTTACTTGACAATCATCACTTGCTCCATTGGGGCAGCTGTTCAAGGATGGGATCAAGAGGGTAGCAACGGGGCTAACTTATCATTCCCGGCCCAATTTGGTATTGGAGGAGAGACTGACCATGATGTCTTCTTGGTAGGCCTCATCAACTCGGCTCCTTACATCGGATCAGCTCTTATCGGATGCTGGCTTTCAGATCCATTGAATTGTTACTTTGGCCGACGAGGTGCGTGAATCTTCTATCATCTTTCGTCCTCTCCTCTGTCCCCCCTCTCGGTAGTATCTCATTCTAGAGAGGTGGACGACTTAATCCGTGATAGGAACTATCTTCATTTCCGCGATATTCTGCTTGCTCACCCCTATCGGCGGAGCTTTAACCCAGAACTGGCAACAGCTCTTGGTTACTAGAATACTACTCGGCGTCGGTATGGGCATCAAAGCCTCGACCGTACCCATCTTCGCCGCCGAGAACAGCCCGGCGTCTATCCGCGGCGCTCTGGTAATGTCCTGGCAATTATGGACGGCATTTGGTATCCTCCTCGGGTGCTCTGCCAATATAGCGGTTGGCCAAGTTGGTAGAATTTCCTGGAGACGTATGTGCCATCCCATATCGACTAGTTCTAACTTTGCATGGTTAATGAGCCCACCCTACAATAGTCCAGGTTGGTTCGGCCTTCATTCCAGCGGTTCCTCTTATACTTCTCATCTTATTTTGCCCGGAGTCGCCGAGATAGTATATCAAGAAAGGACGATATCGAGATGCGATGGAGTCGCTTTTGAGACTCCGCAACAACCCCATACAAGCTGCTCGTGATCTTTACGCCATCCAAGCCCAAGTGGAGATTGAAGATGAAGCCATTGGTGATTCTACATACGCCAAACGACTCATTCAGCTCTTCACGATCCCTCGTGTCAGGAGAGCAACACTGGCGTCTTTCGTAGTCATGGTGGGTCAACAGATGTGCGGTAAGCTAGCTTGGGCGGATATGAATTGAGAAGGGCGTGTGAGTTAACAGATTTGCGATAGGCATCAATCTCATAGCATTATACTCTTCTACTGTGTTCAAAGAAGCGGGAACTTCCGACTTCAATGCGCTCCTTGCGTCGTGGGGATTTGGCCTGGTCAACTTCGTCTTTGCGTGGCCAGCTATTTGGACTATCGACACATTCGGCCGTCGTTCGCTGCTCCTGTTTACCTTTCCCAACATGGCTTGGTCCTTACTAGCTGCCGGTCTTTGCACGCTGATCCCCAAGGGCGACGGGGCTCGCGTGGGTCTGGTAGCGCTATTCGTCTACATCTTCGCCATATTTTATTCGCCCGGCGAGGGTCCCGTGCCCTATACGTATAGTGCTGAAGTCTTTCCACTCTCGCACCGCGAGGTTGGGATGTCGTGGGCTGTAGCGACTTGCCTCTTCTGGGCTGCTGTACTGTCAATCACATTCCCAAAAATCCTTGCAGCGACAGGCGTTCTTGTAAGTCTAATGCAAAGTCTCCCCCAGAAGCTGAAAAATTACTATATGCACAAGCATAGAGATAGCGCTCTAACATTGGGCGCTTGTTCAGGGTGCATTCTGCCTCTACGCGGGATTCAACGTCACGGCATTCGTCATGATCTTCCTGTGGATGCCGGAGACGAAGCAGCGCACTCTCGAAGAGCTTGATTACATATTTGCCGTACCTACAAGCGTATTCATCAAGTACAACTCCACTAAGGTAGTGCCATGGTGGTTTAGGCGCTACGTCCTACGAAAGGCTGGCGCTGCCCTCGAACCGCTTTATCATTTCGACGGACCTGACAGTGACGAGACTGTTTCTGGCTCGCCGAGTATTGTAGTGGAAGATTATTCAGCGGACGCCACTGATACGGGGGCTACAGTTGATTCTAAGGAATACGTCATAACGCCGGAAGCGCAAGTTAGTGCTATAACAACCGGGGCCGACGCCATCACTGTTTTTTCTCAGGCCGAGAGAGAAGCTGCCGCTATCCGTCGTTCTTCTTGGCATGGTATCGGTACTCATAAACACCCCGCCTCCGAAGATAAAGATCTCATTTAATGTTTCGATGGTATTCCGAGCACGTTCAAGACCTAAGGCTCTCATGTTATACTCCTTTAGAATGCTCTCAGTGAGGAGTTTTGTCATTAACAATTACTAGGTACTTACTAAATAATTCCCGAGTGTCTTGTTAGAATGACCTTAGTACGGGGCCTACTAGGTAAACTAGAGGCTATCACGATGTGAAAACCGGCTCGTGTGATAAACTTTTGAACCCGAGAAATTCGTGGACCGGCGCTATCGTTATAGCTAAAGCTAACGATCTAGGATTAGTCTCGTCGCTAAAACAGACTCGGGCGAGACGATGTGATGACGATCAGCAAATGTGGCTTGCCCCGGCGCGTTTTGGAATTCGGGCTGACGGCACTTGTCAGCCTTTGAAGTGTATAAGTGGATTCCTCTTTATAATGATTTTCATAACGAACTGCCTTTTTATTATCTTCTCCGCGCACAAGAACACGCCAGATTGTCGAGTATGCGAGTAAAGCTTGATTCTGTTATGCATTATACCGATAGTGGTTCATGGCGACATTGATCGACCAGCCAGCCCAGCCCAATCCAAGCCATTCTTGCTATTCAACTGGATGACTGGAGCTGAGATCTGCATCATCACCGCCCTTCTAAGTTGATAATTTTGCGACTCATCGCAATTAAGAACCAATATTATTTCCTTCCGAGGCTGCGATGTAGAGAGACAGATTACGTTTACATTATGAGAGCATTTATAGTGCGTTTTTCATAATATGTTTTTAGTAATATGTACTTGGTAAGTTCATAAATTGCCAATCACATGCATGTTGTATCGTGAACTGATCTGCCCAAGGGAATCTCAAGAACGGGACGGAATGGTAACCAAGATCTCGAGTACTCGGCCGTGGAGAAAAAAAAAAAAGCCAAAAAAAACGGGAAAAAAGCCCTAGGACAATAAGTTGTCCGATATTTTCGTCATGTTTGTCGACATTTGAGCTGAGCCTTCTTAATTTCTTATCTAGTAGCTGCAGCCTACAAAATGCTAAGTTGCTAACAAAGAGCAAACGGATGAATCTATTTTCTGAAACAATGACAATGACGCGGTTGGAAAGCTAGCCTATTATTAGCCGATTTAACAAACGAACCCCGGAGAGTTCAATGCTTAATCCCCCTTGATAATACGAAAAGAGTGTTACTTAATGGAGACTAACCTGATATTTTCATTGACTTAACCGGAATAGCGGCAATCTCTACCAGAATTTTCTTCTCTTTCGCATACGAAATCCCCTGACTCAGTCACTCCAGTTAGATCTATACTAGGGGTTAATACTTCATAGCGATTGGCCAACCACAAAGAACCTCTCGGAATTGGCATTCAATTCTGCTGAAACGTCTAGATCGCCACCCCTGAATAACGTCAACGGCGCGTCTCATTGTACTACTTAATATGTAGGAACTTATTTAAGGATTCCTAGAGTGGAAGGTAGATATTATGCTATTATTCTATCTGGTTTGAATAGATTCGAGTAGACGAAATGATTGCATAGGATTGATAGGACAAACTGAAACGATGAAAATATATTGTTAACATTTCATGTGATCAAGGTGATGAGATATGACGAGATAGGGGTTTAGATGTCTGGGGAGATATCTTGAAATTTACCCAGCAGGCAGGTGCAGCCAGGTACAGCCCTCGGGGATAATAGTCTGGCAGCCACCTTAGCTCTTTCCATACTGGTTGAACGCGGCATGATACATGGATCCTGTCCCCAATTTGTCTCCAGTTCTTTTTAGATCGATTTTAATGTGGACCCCTTGAAAGAGAAAAAAAACCATGGCGGACCTTCCAACGCGTCAATCCTCCACATCTTGGAGTCTGCTTGTGCTAAATCTTGTACTACATAGTACATGCTTAGACCCCTGCATGTAGTGTAGTATGTATCATCCTACCTCGATTCACGATCTTTCTCTTCTTTTTTTTCTATCTCCTCCCACCTCCCTCTTTTTTTCGGGTCATCGTCTTTGAAGATTCCTTGGTCCCTACAAGCATACCATATGCTTTGGATCTATTCTCCTTTATTAGTCAGTTGACCATCAGTCTTTCGTTTTGTCTAACCTCTATTCTCTCCCACAAATCCATTACTCCGTATCCTAAACGCCTACCGTTAACTCCCACCTTTTTTCTCTCTCCCTGTCGGTCTTTTTTTAAACGGCACCGCCTTCGTTACCCTTCCAATCGATCGCCTGGTGCCATCCCAAGGGAAGAAAATCTTGTGGTATATATTTCATTCACTTGTATATCCAGATTTCCCCATTTTAAGAAAACAGAAGGGAAAAAAAAGAGAACCATTCAAGCCGCATTGTCGGGTCACATCTGGGCGGCTGGATTACGTTAGTCACTACTGCACCTACATATCTCCCCCACCGTAATGTCGATCCGTTCTCCTAAGGGGTTTGTGCAACTGGGTACTTCAAGACCTGATATGGACAACGACATCCCCTTAACTCAAGTCCGGAGCAATGCCAGCTCAACCGGCGCTAGAAAACCTAACCAAGGCACTGCTACTGGCTTCAGCATGGAATCGAAGAACGCCGAAGAAAATGAGAAGCATGGCTTCTTCCATCGTGGTCGAAGACAAGCTAAGAAGAACAGTCCTTCTGCGGAGAACGACAACCTAACTTCCGATGAGGCATCTCTCAATGCTATGGGAAAGCTCTACAACAAGATCATCCACGCCTCTGTCGTCACTAGATACCTCGTGTATATCGTCCCAGTTGCACTTCTTCTTGCTGTTCCTCTGATCGTCATCCCAGCGACGGGAAATAGGGATAGAATCCTCGTTGGTCATGGCCCGCGACAGAACGCCGACAGCGAGCCCGTTGCGGTCTACGCTCCTGGGCCTCAGCTTTTCTACCTCTTTCTCTGGATCGAACTCGCATGGTTGAGCTTATGGGTTGGCAAGGTTGTTGCTCACCTTCTACCACCTATCTTCATGTTTTTCACCGGCGTTGTCAGTGCTGGAACCCGCAAATATGCCATTGTCATCCGCGCTCTTGAGATTCCCCTCTCACTCTTTTTTTGGGCCATGGCCACCTTCTTTATATTCACAGGCCTTATCAACGTGAATTTCAACGATGTTAGCTGGGTTATTGCGATTAGAAGGATACTGGGTGCCTTCTTCGCTTCTTCGGCTGTCTTCCTCATCGAAAAAACCATCATTCAGCTTATTAGCGTAACGTACCATCAGCGGTCCTTTGCCAATCGCATCAAGGATTCGAAACGAGAAGTTTTCCTGCTGGGGCTGATGTACGACGCTTCTCGACAGTTATTTCCCATGTACTGCCCCGAATTTATCGAGGAGGATGAGCTTATCAACGATAGTATCGAGATCATGCTCGCCGGCGGGAAGAAAGGCAGAAGAAATAGGAAGGGCGGAGCAGTCACGCCCATGAAATTGATCGGGGGTGTGGGACGCATCGGCGACAAAGTTACGTCTGTATTTGGAAACCTGGCTTCTGAGATCACTGGTAAGCAGGTCTTCAACCCGAACTCGGCTCACTCGATCGTCGTGGAAGCCCTCGAAAAAGCTAGAACCTCAGAGGCTCTCGCGAAACGTATCTGGATGTCATTCGTCGTGGAAGGCAACGAGGCTCTATTTGTGGATGACATTATTGAGGTTCTCGGTCCTGGACACCGTGACGAAGCCGAGGAATGCTTTGCTGCCATTGATGCTGATTCGAACGGCGATATCAGCCTTGACGAGATGATCAGGAAGGTGGTTGAGACTGGAAAAGAAAGGAAGGCTATAGGAAATAGCATGAAGGATATTAGCCAGGCTTTGGCTGTGTTCGACCAGGTCCTTCTCTTCATTGTCCTTCTGATCGTCATTTTCATCTTCCGTAAGTGCTTATCAGCAACTTCATCTCATCGCTTAATTGCTTACATATTTCTGCAGTCGCATTCTTCCAGAGTTCGTTTATTACCACACTCGCAACGGCCGGTACGGCCTTGCTCTCTTTGTCTTTCGTTTTCGCCGTCACCACTCAAGAATTTTTGGGTTCCTGCATCTTCCTATTCGTCAAGCACCCTTACGACGTGGGAGACAGAGTCGACATTGCAGGCTCAGAGAAAGAGCAGTTGGTTGTTGAGAAGATTTCCCTGCTTTACACTGTCTTCAACCGTATCGACAAGATGCAGGTCGTCCAGGTGCCCAATATCGTCCTGAACAATCTCTGGATCGAGAACGTGACCCGAAGTAAAGCCATGAAGGAGGTTATCGATGTCAATGTTTCGTATGATACCTCTTTTGAAGACATTGAGCTTCTGCGGATTGAAATGGAGAAATTTGTACGCGCACCGGAGAACGCGCGAGACTTCCAGCCGGACCTTGTCATCGGAGTGGCAGGCGTTGGCGACCTTGACAAGCTTCAGCTGAAAATTGCTATCAAGCACAAGTCGAATTGGCATAATGAGGCTATCCGCGCTACTCGACGCTCCAAGTTCATGTGCGCGCTTACGCTTGCTTTGAAGCGAGTACCAATCTATGCACCTGGTGGCGGCGGCGAACCGCTAGGCGGACCCGCAAATCCGTCTTACTCTGTTACCGTAACGGACTCGGATGCTTCTGCGGCTCGAGACAATGCCAGCAAGGAAAAGGAAGGAAAGAGAATGGTACCTACATCCTCGGCGCCAGCCAGGAACCCTTCGACCTCCAATAAAACCGGTGTTCCCGAGGAACGTGAGGCGAAAGCTGCTCAGGGCTTCAATTCCCTCAATCCCGCAAAGGCGGCTGCCGATGAATGGGGCTATAATCGCGATGACTCCCCGAGGAACTCGCGCGACGAGTCGTCTATGGAACGACAGCGTTCGAATGATATAGATTCCTTGCGTCTGGACCTCCATAAGCGGGAAAGCCAGCGCAGCGGTCGTCGCAGAGCAGGCGAGACCTTGCCCCCACAACCAGTAGGCGAGCACACTCCAGGTTTCCAAGTAACGCAGCATATGGGCCCCTTCGATGAAGAGGCACAGGTCGGCGGACCGCATCCGTATAGTACCACTACCCAAGGAAACTCGCTACACCCACAGGCGTCTCTCCGAAATATCCAGTCGGCCGGATCCTCGGCTAGCGGCCGACCATCTGGTGCCCACCAGACGCGATCACCAAGTAACCCCTACCAGCAGCGATAGAGACATGGATTCTCCCTGGCTTAATGATTCATTCCTTTCCTCATGACAGCCATTTGATTTATAGATTATGGATCTTCGATTAGAGGTGTTAGAAAGAAGAAAACTCAACTCATCACCGTAAGCTAGATGCACGGTGCTACTAAGATGGTGTCGGAAGTGCTCTGGCACCATCACGAATAGATATGCTGGCATGGAATAAAGTGAGGGCCTACATGAAGTTTAGTCAAGACTTGAGTTCCAGGGTTGTTGTCAAGATGATCGGAGCATCCTACATACGCTTACCTAAGTTATAAACTGTATATTTTTATGACCAATTCTTCGCTTTTTTTATGCATTGTGATATGATTTGATCGAAGTTGGCATGGTGTATGTATGAATCTGATGTTCTAGTGTGTCTTAAAGTAACGCGTTTGTTGAAATTTTCAGTCATAAATCTAATGCTCACTTACGTTGTAAAGCCCCGAACCTTGGTAGCCACGAAGTACCTTTTCCAATAGCACACCTAACCTATCTACCTAACCCCCCCCCTTTTGTGTCCCCATCTCATCAATCGTTCATCGCAAAGTCCAAGTCTGACCCTTGTTCCCGTTCCAAGTCACCTTAATGGATAACCCTCGCGCGTGGTCCTCCGGGATGAAAAATGATACTTCGCCCTTGATCTCGGAATCCTTCTTTAGCGCCCCCTCCTCCGCGCTTGGACTAGCGGCGGCTTTCGAAGGCTTGCATAGGAGGAGCCCTTGCTTCCAGTGCGTTTCTGTGGCGTGCGGACCCGTTGAGAAAGCGACTCGGTTTTGCGGGTCGAGGGACGCCCATTCGGCTGCGGAAGCGGAGGTGGGAACGGCGACGGCAGAGTCGGGGTGCGTGGGCGAGAAGAATATGTCGAACCAGATGAGGAAGCCGTCGAGGACGTCGACGTCGCGGGTTAGGGTGAGGTTATATGGGTGTGTGAAGGATAGGTCGGCGGTTTGCGTGTGGTAGAGGTCGAGGAGCTTGAAGGCGTTGGGGGTGCCAGGGATGGTGGTGGCGTCGGTGGGGGAGGAGAAGATAGTGAGGGGTTTGGTGGCGTCTTTGGTGGCGGCGGATTGGGGGAGAGTGAGCGGCCAGGTGAGCACGCGCCCTTCGTCATAGATGCCCGCTTGCATAGCGCGCATATCAAAGCCGTACACGTCCCGCCAGAAATCTACGTTGTCTGCGACGTACTGCTGGTCTGACACTGGAGCCACCCAAATGTTCGCGTGGGATGGCACGAGTAGGCCATCGGGCTTTAGGTACCGGTCCCGGGCGTATAGGACGGACGGTAGCATGGCTTCGAAGAGGAGGCAATATCCCATCCACTCACTGACGATGATGTCAACTTCGTCGACGGGAAGGGATACCTCCTCGATTTTGCCATGGACACAGGTTATGACCGAGGAGAGCCCGTTGTGGAAGATATTCTCTTGCGCCTTGGTGATGATGGCGCTGGCGTCTACAGCGATGACTTTAGAGGCGCCGGCCTTGGCGCAAAACATACTGAGAATTCCTGTGCCGCATCCTATATCTAGAACGGTCTTTCCCGCGAAGAGCTGCTTGTTGTTGTAGATAAAATCCCGGTACGCGTCGGTGCGCACCATATCTTTGAGCATCGTCTCGTGGATTTCTTTTCGTAGGGGTTAGTTCGTCCTTGCGTGATAGATGGACGGGAAGCGGAAAGATACTTACCAGTTCCAGCATAAGAGTCCCAATAATACTGAGATTCGTCTACCTTCTTAATACCCCTGCTTGCCTTAGCCGCCGCAGCCGCGGACTCGGCTTCCGCTTGGTCGACGTCGCCCCATCGGTCGTCGAGAGTCTGCTGTACGGCGACGCGGTAACTGTCAAATTGAGCCTTGACACGCTCCAGTTCTCCTTGGAGATCGCTGTTACGTTTCAGGAGGTCGTCGACCAAGACTGCGTTGTCGCCGCCCTGCGCCGCCGTCGCACCTACCGGGGCAAGTTCCGGCAAATCGTCTAGAGCAAGGATGACGGCATCGTCATCTAGCACAGGCTTTAGATACTGCTCTTGGTCGATGGCGGACAACGTGATGTCTTCCGTTACGGGGAGACCCTCGTGCACTCGTTGGCGAACTACTCACGGGTTAGTACATGGGTGATATGTAAAAAGCATGTTGAGAATGAGTAGCATCCAATATGTTCTCATTTTAATTTAAGATGGATTGTTAAGTACAAATGGTGAATATGAAAATTAAGAAAACGGAAATAGAACGGCTTACTAAAATTAACCAGCTTAATACATCCGTAGAAATCTAGCTGTAGTCGCTGGCGGATGCCTAAGAAGTCAAAGCCGTGCTTGTCCTTGCAGTGCGCAAGCATAGATATGACATCGGGGAATACCCGATCATCGAGTAAGGAGATGACCTCTTGGGTCTCCTCTTCGTCTTCTTCGGCGTCGCTCCAACCCTCCTCATCTCTCGAGTCCGAATCGTCTGATTCGCTCGGAGGTGGATGGCGATCCGCTCTGCTTGGCGCGGAACTCATTATAAATGAATCTGTATACGTGCGTGGAGGAGATGATTTGAGGGGATCAAAACGAGAAGTGAGAAGTGAGAGGTGAGAGGTGAGAGGCGAGAGGCGAGAGGCGAGCGGAGAGGATTGAGAAGTGTTTATATGCTGGTTTTATTTATGCGTCGTATCAAGATTCAACCAATCCTGCGACAGTCTTGTATATATGTAAGCAAACTGAGCTATATTTCAAGGTTGTTCGGGTTCTTGTGTATGATCAGTTGTTTGACAAGTGCCAACTATATGTTGATATAGTTGATATAGTTGATTCCCTTTTAATATCACGAATCTCTTAAGAATTTCTTATAATTGTGGAAAAATATCGAAATATAATAGCGGCTCGGATAAATACATATCATATATCAATAATATAGTTCGCGCTACTTGTATATAACCGCTTCTTACCCATACTAGGCATTTAAGAGGTACTAAAGGTTAGATCAAATATAGACATTTTAACATTTTGTCATCGGGTTTGTCTCGACTTATGTCTTCTCATAAGTTAGACCGAGATCAACTATGAACTGGTCCTATCCGGGTCTGTCTGTATGATGATGGTTCTTTAGGTAAATAGGTACCTAGGTTAGGTTATCTAATCAACGTCGTCGTCGTCGTCGTCGTCTTCGTTTTCGTCTTCGTCATCATCGTCCTCATTTTCGTCTTCTCCATCTGATACGGTTTCGCCTAGATCAATGAGTCGTTTCTAAGGGTAATTCGTTTAGTATTTCTAAAGTTGTGTATGGCAAATCATATCATAAAATGGTGAGGTACCTTATATTTCTCAACCTTCTCTTCTATGTCACCGAAGACCATTAGAAGATCATCGAGTTCCGTTTGAGTAGCTGATTTTTGCTCTTCCTTTTCATCCAATTGTGCACGAGACTGTTGCTAAGTTAGAAGAATACCACTTTTCGTATTTGGGACGATGTTAGGATTACCTCTTCCAATTCTTCAGCCTTTTGTGATATTTGCTTATCTTTCTGTGCTAATTCCTTCTCAAGCTTTGAACATCGCTCCTCAGCTGTTTTCGTCTTTGACTGCTCAGCTGATAGCTTGACGGCATATTCTTCCTTGGCGGCATGTAATTCCTCGGCCTTCGCCTTACTTGCCTAAGTGATGTTAGCTTATGCAGCGAACAGGGTGTAGAACCAAAAACACCTTCATGATATCAACCTCGAGACGGCTAATTGTAGCGCGGAGGTCCGCCATCTCTGCTTCAGATCGTCGTTGAATACGTGCGGCCTCCGCCTCTGAAGTTTTACGGACATAATCGAGCTGCCTTTGCAATTCCGCTTGCTTGTCACGATAATCAGCATGAATAGCCTCTGCAGCTTTGACTGCTTCCTTTTTAAGACTTTCCATTTGCTTTTGATAAGTTTCATCCTTGGTCCGTTGCTCGGCCTCTATTTTTCTGCGCTTATTAGCGAGGCCATATTAGTGTAATATAGGATCTTGGGCACCTACTTAATCTCGTCATTGTGGTGCTGTTGCATAGCTTCGTTGACACTCTTTATTCGCGCCAATTCTGCGTCGGTAGATTCCTTGGTCCGACGATGATCTGCTTGTTCTTGCCCGAGTTTTCCGTTGAGCGAAGCTATATCAACGAGCGTGGCTTGTAAGGTTCGCTCCTTTTCGTCGACTTGCGCGCGTAACGAGTCCACCATTTCGCGAGATATCCCCTTTTGGATACCATTGGTTACCACCGAAATCTCCATGCCAGGGTCGCGATCAATAGCCCTTATCATACGACTATAATTGTCCTTGAAGAAATCCACGAAAGTCGCATCAAAATAAACGTCGGGCAGATTACCCGTATTGTCAAGTTTCTGTGGGATAACCTCAAAGTTTCTCATGAATGGATGACTTCGTAACTTATTAAGAGTGTCGATGTACTTTTCTCGGCCCATTCGAGACATGAGAACAGTGTGTAACGTGCTCCGAGGAATTGGTGAGTCTTTGGTAGAGAACTCATAAACAACTCCGAGGATCATTGCGCATAAGCCTTGGGCTATGGGACTACTTGAATTGTGCCGTACGGCTTCTTGCGCAAGGGCTTGGATATTGCTGCCTTCTCCTAAGAAGTCATTCACCCCATCAAGATCTTCGAAAAGCCACGCTATTAATAACATTAAATAGCCCACGGATATTCGATCATCGTCTCCTCTAGCAAGCGCACTGACGAGATGGGCGGTGATTGTTTGAATGCTCGTTACAACTTCTTCACCGCTATCGGCATCACCCTCTGTCACGGACATGGCGAGAGCTTTTGCCTCAGCATTGTCGAATATGAGATGGAAGGTGATGACGGCCGCAAACCAATGACGATATGGATCCACCGTGGTCGGTTCATTGGATGGTCGAAGTAGAGTAGTGAGTACGTTGGCCGTTTCGTCCATGCCGGATGCGTGTCCCTCGATGGCCCGTCGTAGAAAATGGAGGCGAACATCGGGGTGATTATAGAAATACGCCTTGATACACTGGCACGCAGCTAGCCGCAAGTCGAATGCTTGGGTCGTAGGCACGCTCAGTGCTAGATCTAAGAGGCCATCGATTACATAGACGGCCGGTATGCTATTGGATTTGCCTGCCTGCCCATTGGTCGGGGGGGCTGTCTCTAGGACTGAAGGAACTTGTAGTTGCGCAAAATTCTCTTGTAACTTGGGATTACCTCTGATAATATCCGCACAGGTCGTCATAGCCTACGTCACATGTAAACAAATAATGCACCATGTTTAAAATGGGGAGGAGTTCGAACCTCTGCTTTGATGGACAGCTCTGCGTCATGACTAAATGCAAGCTGCAGGGCATGGTAGAGGACGCCATGTTGCCAAAAAGCAGCCTGGTTTTGCAATGTACCGACGGCACCGGAAACAAGAAAAAGTCGAATAACCGCAAGCAGAGCGTATATATTCCTGTTACGCTGTTCCTGTGCCCAGTGGGCAACGTCTTCCTCCACTCCTTGTCCAGTTTTGTACGTACTCTCTAATAGCTTTGCAAGTTGAGGAATGTAACCCTCTTCACGGAATAGGCTCTGATTCGAGGGGTTCAAGCGTAAAAGGTTAGCGAGAAGAATTAGGCAATCCTCGACTATTCTATCGCCCTCGGATAGTGACCCTTCAGCTTCTACTATTTCAAAGACACGTCCAAACACATTCGAGAAAGCTACGAGCTTTTGAATATCGGGAGAAGAGGGAGTTAGGTAGGTGAGGAGGGTTAAAGCTTCGTTACGAACAGCCTCTCTTCGGTCGTCAAGGGCTGCAACGAGCCTGGAGATACCAAGAGGAGCGGTGAAGACGCATACTTCGGTTCTTTCGGTGCGAGCAGAGAGGATTGCGAGGAGAAGTTGCAGGGAATATAATCGAGAGTAGAAATCGTTAGTCTCGAGAAAGTCTAAGAGTAGTGTTATGTTCTCTTGTCGCTGAGTAAACTCGTCAGCTAACCAAAGAGCAATCTCTTCGGAAGCTTCAGGGCTATCCTGATTAGGACTGAAGAGCATCAAGAGTGTCTCGAGGACAACCTTGACGGTGTCGACATCTTCGCCATCTTTTGACAAGCTTCCTATTAGACTCCTTAAAGCACCTGAGGCGACTGAAGCAGGATATTCTTTGGCAAAGCTTCGTAAGCCGAGTATGGCAGCACGGCGGTCTTCAAGAAGAGTGGCAGAGCTGAGACGGCCGCTGAGGACGGTTATTGTCTCGCTGACGGACTGCTTAGCCGGAGCAGTGGTGATTGTAGAAAACATGGTTCGTGCTGCTGCTCAATCTTGATGTTGCGCATGCAGTCCATTGGCGAGTAAGACGTTACCGACTTTGGCGCATCGTATCGTAGGATATTAGAACCGTGTAGCTGTGCCTTCTGTTGTTCCTAGGTGCCTGGATAATGGTGTCGGTCGAGCATGTATGTACTGTAGAATGTAGAATATGCAGGTAATAATGTATGTATGTAGGTGGATGGGTGGATATATTTTTGGCCAGATATCGATAGCCTACTAAGACGTACCTCCTACGTACAATACGTAGGTACCTACCGTACCTATGCAAGTACCTAACATAGGCTCTCTAGTCAGCTGTTTAATGCATTTAAGTACGATATCCAGGGGGTTTTGGGGGGGTTTTAGGGGGTAGATGCAGATAGTAGAGAGATATAGCTATTAAAGACTACTATTATTATCATAAAGAGGCACTAATCCCCAGCCTTAGTAGGTTCCATGTAAAACTAGGCCAGTTAACCGCACCGATTGGTCACTGCAACCCACTGTGACCGCTGCTGCGAACTCTAAAATGCGACTGGAAAGTGGATCTTGTCAAGGTTTCCAAGGCTTCGCGACTTGAACTTTTGCCTCGCCAAATCATCTTTTTTTCAACCATCGAAACATCCTTCTTTGTCACCACTAGACCTTACATGACTACGAATTCACCATTTGGTGAGTCGCATAAGGTTGTTTGATCGGTTAGAAGTATATTAAATTAATTCTGATACATTATTATTACTAAGTCTAGTCATTAATCACGAGTCTGAAATTTACCGGTGGTGAACAACAAGTCGCCTCTTACTTAACGACATCCTCCATTTCGATCTCGCCCAGTCTGAGCTTAGAGACAACCCAGAACTTATACATCTGTTATGCCCCATGCGACCACTGCCTGTGCGACTTTCAATCCCCCCGATCCCTTCCGCTCTTTCATTATCCTCCAAAAGCCGGCACTCTATATTTAGCCCAGGTTAGGTTATCATCTAGCTTCCAACTTCCAAATATCACCATCGTTTAAGAACTGGAAATCTGAGCATAGCCAAGATGGGTATTCCCGCTGCCTTTCGTTGGCTTTCCAACAAGTACCCAAAGATCATATCCCCCGTCGTTGAGGACAGGCCGATTGAGATGGATGATGGCTCGGTTATTCCTGTTGATACCACCCGACCCAACCCGAACGGCGAGGAATTCGATAATCTCTATCTTGACATGAATGGTATCGTACATCCGTGTTCGCACCCTGAGGATAGACCCGCCCCAAAAGATGAGGAAGAGATGATGTTAGAAATCTTCAAGTATACCGACCGCGTAGTCAACATGGTTCGCCCAAGGAAGCTGCTCATGATTGCCATTGGTAGGTCCACTACCCTGTTCTGTCACTGATTATTCTTCATGCTAATATCAAGTTCACAGACGGTGTTGCCCCTCGCGCTAAGATGAACCAGCAACGATCCCGACGGTTTCGTTCTGCTCAAGAAGCTAAGGAAAAACAGGCTGGCAAGGAGGAGCTACTGAAGATGATCAAGAAACAAAATGGCGGTACATTACCACCTGAAACTCTTGAGGAAGTAACCAAGAAAGCCTTCGATTCCAACGCCATTACACCTGGTACACCCTTTATGGATATACTTGCGATGTGCTTGAGATATTGGTGTGCATATAAGCTTAACACTGATCCCGGCTGGGCAAATATGAAAGTGATCATTTCCGACGCTACAGTGCCCGGTGAGGGTGAGCATAAGATCATGAACTTTGTCCGCTCACAGAGAGCATCTCCTGACCACGATCCCAACACGAGGCACGTTATATATGGATTAGACGCCGATTTGATCATGCTAGGACTCGCCACCCATGAGCCTCATTTCCGTGTCCTTCGAGAGGATGTCTTTTTTCAGGACGGTAAGGCAAAGGGCTGCAGGCTTTGCGGACAGAAAGGTCACGATGCGCGAGATTGCCGCGGCGCCGTTAAGGAGAAAGACGGCGAATCTAGTGAGAAGGATAAGGCTTTCCCGCTGAAGCCTTTTATCTGGCTTCATGTCTCAGTGTTACGAGAATATCTAGCCGTTGAGCTCGACGTGCCTGGATTGCCATTTCGGTTTGATTTAGAACGTGCCATCGATGATTGGGTTTTTATGTGTTCCTTTGTTGGCAATGATTTCCTTCCCCATCTCCCCGCTCTTGAAATTCGCGAGAATGGTATTGATACATTGACCGCCATCTGGAGGGATAATCTACCAGCCATGGGTGGCTTCCTTACCAAGGACGGTCATGTCAATCTCGAGAGAGCTCAATATATTCTCAATGGCCTCGCGAAGAAGGAAGATGCCATTTTCAAAAGGCGAAAAGAGACTGAGGATAGAAGGGAAGCTAGCTTCAAAAGACGTAAGCTGCAAGATCAAAGGAATGGGCGTAATGGAAGAGGCGCTAATGACGCCGCCGAAAACGCCCTTCCTGCGGGCCTCCCTAAGGCTCTCACACACGACATGATTGTGAACCGAGGCGCTGCTCAAGAGGCTAATGAAGCTAACAAGAGCGCCGCGGCAGTGCTCAAGAGTCGCATTCAAGCGCTTCAATCAGGTGTCACCACTGATACTGCCGAAAAAGGCAGCGCGGAATCCCAGGAGTCGCCTTCCGCTCTTGGCAAACGTAAAGCTTCCATAATGGAAGATGCGGCAAGTACTCCTGGGAGTAGCTCAGCCGCAAGCGACGAGCCAGAAGATTCAGTTCGGCTATGGGAGGAAGGCTATGCCGATAGGTATTACGAGCAAAAATTCCACGTCGACCCGAAGGACATCGAGTTCCGACATAAAGTTGCTCGAGCTTACGTCGAAGGACTCGCCTGGGTTTTGAGGTATTACTTCCAAGGATGTCCATCATGGGAGTGGTTCTACCCCTATCATTATGCGCCATTCGCACAGGATTTTGTGGATATTGGCAAAATAGAAATCAGCTTTGAGAAGGGCAGGGTCGCGAAGCCCTTTGAGCAACTCATGAGCGTCCAGCCTGCCGCGTCCCGTCACGTGCTCCCAGAGGTTTTCCACGACCTAATGACCGACGAGGAAAGTCCAATCATCGACTTTTACCCCGAAGATTTTCAGATCGATCTTAACGGAAAGAAGATGGCTTGGCAGGGAGTGGCACTTCTCCCATTTATAGAGATGCCTCGACTTCTAGCTGCTGTCGAGGAGAAATATCCTCTCTTAAACACAGAAGATGCTGCCCGGAACAGCCCCGGCAGGGACGTTCTCCTTCTATCCGAGGCCAACCAAGATCTATACGACGACATAATTACACATTTCTATTCCAAGAAACAAGGTGATTCTATACATAAACTCGACCCACGCCTGAGTCAAGGTTTATCTGGGAAGATCGAAAAGGTTCCCGAGTATCTACCTCATGGTAGCTTGGAATATCCCTTAGAGAGGGACGCTCTACCTAATGTAGATGATGATCGATCGCTAACGTAAGCACTCCAACACATCTAACTTGATAGGTAATTTGTTCTGAAGCTAATCTACCTCTAGGGTTTATTACGAAGCATCAGGTGACACACACGGTCACAAATCTATGCTTCTAAGGGGTGCTCAGATGCCAACACCAGCACTTGACCGTAACGATATTGAGGATTTGAAGGGAAAGATGCGAAATTCTGGTCGAAGCCATGGAGGCGTACCTCTTGGACGAGGTAATTATGGCGGGGGTAGAGGTAGAGGAGGTAGGTTCAACTACGGACCGGATTCTCGACGAGATAGGTTTGATCAATCATCGTCGCACCAGAATGGTTACAACAACAACAACTCGTACTCTGCCCCTCCTCCCGTCCCTCCTCCAGGTTGGGTCCCGCCACCCCCCGGATTCCCTGGCTTCGGGAATGGATTCCCGCCCCCACCTCCTCCGGCATATCTCGGTGGCGGTGGTCGCGACGGCTATGGCAACGGGCGCGGTGGCCAACAGGGGGGTCAGCATAGAGGAAATCATGGAGGAAACTACGGAAACCAAGGATACGGAGGAGGATATCCTCCCCCGCCCCCTCAGAACGGCTACGGTAGTCAGTATGACAGGCCACCTCATGGGCGTGACAACCGCGATCGTCGATCAAATGAGGGACGCGGCGGGTATCGAGGAAATGGTGGTTATGGTCGCGGATATAGAGGATAAGGCGGGATTGTATCGTATCTGGTAGTGGTACATTTAGGCAATGAAACCTTCGACTAGAACGATCATACATCTGCAATTAAGACTGGTCGAACCATGTTTTGCTATGGTTATAATTATACTATCGAGACTTTCTAGTCTCTAGTCTTAGTGACACCAGAAGCTGACTGGTCACCTAAAGATGGATATCCTCTTGGAGATATTGGATCTTCTATTTCCCGATTCGTCTTACCTACTTGCGTAAAGATTTAATGGTGTCCATATACATTTTATAGCTGTAGCAATTTCGTCTATTCATTTTCTTAAATGACATTTTTGTCAACCAATATCCGGTCCGTGACCCAATACGAGACGTTACATAGTACGTCTGTCGTCTGAGAATTCTAGAAGTTATCTAGAACCTGTATATCGGCATTATACCGAGTATTATATGTGAGATAGCTACCTAGGTAACCTAGGAAGGTAAAAACCTGGAAGCAAACACTCAAAGAGGACAGGGAGGGTCGGGCCGTAGTGGATGTCTAGTGTGGGCAGTGTGGGTAACAATAGCTGTAAAGGAAAAATGGCGTCAAATTTAGGAATATCCAATGATGATCGATCATGATTTCCGCAAGCAAGAAGAGTCTCGGCCGTTTTAGATGCCTGAGATTCGAACGATGATAAGTGATTTGCGAAATGCTTGCGTGACTTTCGCAGGTAAAAGGCAGGGAACTTGACGAACTTCAAGGCTCTTCAAGGATTGTTAGTGGTTAAAGCCTCCGGGAATAGTATTTGACCATTGGCGGTCTACCTGGTAGGTAAGTGGTACGTACTCTATCCATATCCCCGCCGAATACATCACCGCTTCAAGCATTTCTACATGCGCTAGACCTCGTGGGCAACTAGACTTGCACTTAAACTTGCACTAAAGTGACTAAACTAGGTAGGCTCGGGTCCACCACGTTTCGGCGTTTTATGTTTTATGACTCGTAACTTCTCATCTATTGAGCTCAACGGCAACAACGGCCTCAAAAGCTACCCCCGCAGTTGGCCGCAGAGGTGCCCAGGTAACCTACCTGCCTGTGTAGGTACCTAGGTAGTAGTGAAGGGGTGAAGGGTGCAGGTTGCGGGTTACAGGTGCAGGTGTAAATAAATGCACTATGGCTACCTCAAATACATGTAATGTAGGCACATGCTAATATGTAGGTACTAGGCTGCTAGGTAGCCTACCCTTTAGGACACCACGGGTCTAGTGGATGTATCTCCAAAAGTAGGTCGGTCTTGCCTACATGGGACGGCAGCATGGTACCTAGGTAGGTGGCACCTATGGAACCTAGTATGGGATGTAGGGGATGTATACTGCCAGGTAATCCTACCCTTTGCCCTTACCCTTTTCTACTAGATCCCAGGCTGGATAGGGTACATTTTACCTATACCCCTCCCCGACAATCACCTGCAATTGTCTCCCTTTCATCTTGTTTCCCCTAAGCAAGCCAAGGTTGGAGACCACGAAGACCACTGAGACCACCTGCGCACCTCTCTCTGCATACCGACATATGGAGTCGCTGTGTCTTTCGACGCTAGCTTCGACGACTTTACTACAATCACGTAGTACGAAACACATCCATGGATATTTGATGAGAGAAAAAAAAACAATAGGCATTTGGTTAATTTTACCCAATTCGTTATCGCAGATCATATCGAACGAGCCTTGTCGCAAACGTGTCCGATATCGATCCTAGCCTTAATATTAGATCTACTAAATTGAGAAAGGTATTCCTCCTCTTTACATACAATTGTGTAAAACCCTCGAAGGATCATCGAGGAATAAAAAAAAGAATACCCATATCCAATACCCACACAAAAAATCGAGCCGTGAACCCTCTTAGAAAACTCCCCCCCCTCCAACCTCCAACCTCCAATCCGTACCCATATTCATCCCCCGACTTACCTAACTCGCACCCAACGTGGACAACGAATCGAATTCGGATTGCTCCAAGGCTATTCTTAGGAGGAGGGTAGGACGATCTGTTGTTATACAACCGAGATTTTGAGACATACCTCTACGTTTCGCAAACGAGCTATAGTCCTTCTCAAAACCCTTGGTTGCCGCTGGCTGTGCTCCATGACGACGTCACAATGTTGAGAAGACCCTCAATCGCGATCCGACGGTATACGAGCACAAGATGAATGGTGATGCGGGCCTCGTGGGATGCTTGGTCGAAAGACTTACAACTAGGGTACCGGAAGCCCTTTTCCTGTTCCGTTGTTCCATCATTATGTAGTTATCGTAGCTATATTCTTTGCTAATCGCCGTGTTTGCGCGCAGCTTCCGCACCGTACCGGCACCCCAGGTCAGGACCTCCAGCGCGACGATGTTGCCGGCATTACACGCGCCACCCTCGTAAAGATCAGCGCTATTTCCATAGCCGTCGTGTTCGAATCCCTAGTTTCACTCTTAGAAGAGCTCGGTCGCCCATATAAGACCTTCGCGAACCATCCACCCCATATTCTCCTCTCCGAAGTCTATGTCCTATCACTCCTCGCCGATTGTTGCTCTGCTCATTGGGACACCCTCCGTAAAGCTAGCTCCAATGGCGCAGCTGAGGTGTCCAGCTCCGGGTCTAAGAACCCTGAGCCGCTGGACGACGGGCTCGTGACAAGGGTTTTTGATCTTTTCAAACACCTACTTAGTCCGTTACCAGAAAACTATACATTGCCTGCTAGGACGATACTAGATGAGAAATCTGCACGGGAGATATTTGACCCTCATTTTAAAGAACCGGCGCCTAGAGCTGCTTCCTCAAGTGGTTCAGAGGACTCTCGAGAAAGTAAAGGAACGAAGACGGATGATGTGGAGGATATCGAACCATATATCAAGACTATCCTAGAATTTGTCACCGCGTCGAGCTGGTCAGCCTCCTTTGAATATGTGAGGGCTGTCATTTACGGCATCCGAGCAACAACTCCGGCACAGCAAGTCCCGACACAAACAATGGCCGAGGAGGAAAGGACCTCCCTAGTCATACTACGCTTTGTTTCGTACATGTGGGTTGATGGCCAGAAGCTCGGGCTGGTCATACAAGAGCTATGTTCCAGTTTCCTTCACTTTCGAAGAGCCTACCAAAATACCGTTGCTATCATCACGCCACTCCTAGTTACTAGGTGGATCGAGCGTTATCCCGAAGAGTTCATCACGTTGCATTATCAGCATAGGAAGCTAGATGGTGGTCCTGATACCCTCTTCGACATGACGCATACGATTGCCGACTCCGGCAAAAGGCGGTCAACGTTATATCCATTCCAAACGTCCCTGCTTATGCTGGTCCCTGATGTGTTCGAGGTGGCGAGCAATTTGCGGGAAGCTAAGACCGCCGGCATGGCTAAAAAGGTAGCGTTTCTCGAAAGTCTAAGAAAGGCACTTAGGAATAAGAATGACGCGGCAGGATACTGTCTTGTGAGTCTTCTACGAGCCGTCCGCCATTTCGACGAGGATGGCGACGCTACCATTGTAAGTTATGCTATGGACGTTCAAGATGAAGTCCGAGATGCTGTCTTCCGTCGATACCATCCCAACGGGGAAGGGGGTCTGTTCGACCAAGATTTGACCACTGCCGCCTTCATCAGTCTCATGCATCTGAACTTTGAAGGCTCCGTAGAATCCCTAACCCAGGCGTGTCTTAACTCTTCTGCGCCTCATACTTTCAAGATCGCTTTGATTCAGGCATGCTCGTATTTCGCGCGACAACCCAATGCCCAAGACTATCGCCGTCTATTCACCGAGGCTGCTAGTTTCATACAGAGCCGGCTGAAGGTTAGATATTTCTTAAATCTACACATCCAAATCAGAAAATATACTGATTTTCTTAGGCTATGTCTGCAATTTCAGCGGATTTATACACCGGCGATCGTCACTCTCAACGGAAAGCATCCGAGACAAGTGCATCGACGGCCACCGTGATATGTAACATATTGAAGTTCCTAGACGCCTCGCCCATGACCCTGTTTGAAGGTCCTCCGTCTGACAGTTCCGACGCGCAGCGATTCTACGAAGAAATATTTGAAGCCTTCGTCTCTTGTCTTGTAACAGCAAACGATTCCGTCAGAGCTCTCGCTAGCAGTGTAGCTAAGAAGCTACTCACCCCAGATGGTATTCTGTCTTCGTTGCGTAAATCTAAACGTGTTGACTCGAACAGTTTTGGGATAAAATTTTGGAGCCTAACGTAGGTACATCCTCTAAACTGCGAGGGGCGTATTCTGATTCTAGGTTTCTACAGATCGCTTGTTCTCATGGAAATGTGCGAAAAGCATGACCAGCAAGAGGACGACGCGTTACTCAGGTCTATCCACGGGTATCTTGAATCACGTCTATTACTCCTCACTTCAATTCAGGTTAGATTAGAAATCAAGGAACATACTTCATGATGTGTGCTTACAGAATTTCAGGAACTGTCTGCTGTATCCGAGGATATACCAGAACGAATAGCGACTTCGAACAAATTAGAGACCCTCTTCCTAACCTCGCTCTGCTCCTCAGACATCGAGACATGTCAGTTGGTAACATCATGCATTGGACTCTTCAATGAAGAGTGTCGGATATTAGATTCAACTGTAGATGCTAGCAAGACGGCAAGTTTATTGCTCCGAAATAGCGAGGTCTTCGGCGAGATTGCGTCCCCCGACTTTAGATTTACAGGAATGATGGCCTTCCAAAAACGAATCAGGGCTCTACTTAGAGGCATGCAGTATCCAAGTGTGGGCATTCTCGATGCTTGGGAGAGAGCGTTTGAAAAGTGGCATCACTTATCTAAAGATGTATCCACGACATCCACGGACAGCATCGATGAGAGGGGCTTCTCAAAGTGGAGAAACTTATCTGGCTTCCTCGCATCACTCGGTGGTATCTGCACGGCCGAGCAAGCGTACATCCTTGAAGAGCCTGCTGCAGGCGGGTTGAAATGGATTGACCGACTTTCGTCCGAAAACCACGAGGAGCCTCTGCTCAACAGGTACCTCCGAGTCAGCACACAGCTCCTCGCGTGTACAAACGTTCGGGTAAGGGAAACTACACGAGAAGTACTATCTATTGAGATATCGCCAACGTTATACCAACCTCTCTTCAAAGCACTGGAATCAGAACTCGAAGTACTTTTCACTGGTGCTCTCGAACCAACCGGCTTCAAAGGGCAGGATGTCGAGATTATATTCGCCGAGCAAGCAGCATCGTTATTGAAGGCCCTTGTGGAGCGGCTACAGACCCCTTCTGAACTAGGGGCTGCGTCGTCGGTCCATTTCAGCTCTCTTGGGTTGAGCTTTGCAAAATTCCTAGACGGTGTCGCTGATAACATATCTAGCTTAAGAGTCAAAATCAAGATTTGCCAGTTATGCGAATCTGTTAACCGGAAAAAGGAGCACTTAAATCTCCGCGATGATGTTAGAAAACGAAACCAGCTCCTTGAGTACATCTTTAGCTGGATTGCTAGGCCTAGGTCTCCCCCGGCGGAGAGCACTTATTCACAAACCCGGCCGGATGATACAGCCCGAGTTCAAAGAGATCTTGATAAAGCTTGTCTCCGCTGCCTCGCTGAACTTACCTATAGGCTGCCACTCCAACCCGGAGATGGCCAGAACGATGCCGGCACCAGTGAACTAAAGTCTCAAATGTTCCGCACATATTTCAACCGATTCCTTTCATTACTCAATTACGAGCCGTCGGAAAGTATTAGAGGCGATATTACGACAACCGGGTCGCATCGAGATGAGGCTGGATCGACGTCCGAACTTTCTATCACTATTCTCTCTAATCTCCTGAGCGCAAATATTGATGTGGGCCTCAAGTACTCCCTTAGCATCGGCTACAATGAAAACATCGAGATCCGTACAGCGTTTGTGAAGGTCCTTTATAATATCTTAGTCCAAGGGACGGAATTTAGTAACCTATCTGATAAAGCGGTCAATGAGAAGTACGACGAGCTATTAGAAGTGAGTAGTTTGAATAGTTTGAGAATAGCTCCCGATGACTAACTCGGTATTTTCAGCTTTTCACTCATGACATGAACCTTGCTGTTGCTATCAGCTCGGTTTGTCCAAGTAGCGAAGTTGAAGAACTTACAATTTCGATGCTCAACGTGTTTGAAGCACGTGGGTTGACTTTTGACCTTATGGAAGCCTTGATCAAGCAGGAAATCGAAGACACCGGTAAGTTAGAATACTGTCGATGTTGTGTCTGGTACTGATCCATATTTTATCTAGAGAATGAATCGGAGATACTTCGTCGAAACTGTGTCGCAACCAAGATGCTATCTATCTATGCGAAGTGGAAAGGCGCGAACTACCTCAAAGCTACACTACAGAAAGTCGTCGAGAGGTTAATGTTGACTTCAAAAGACCTGGACCTTGAGCTCGATCCAACAAGGATTTCCTCTCAGGAAGAGCTCCAGAAAAATGCGCTACAGCTACGAATTGTCGCTAAAGTCTTTATCGACGATATATGTGCATCCTCCGCTAATATCCCTGCCTCGTTCCGTAAGATATGCAGTATAGTGAGTCAAGTCAATTCATGAACGCAGACTGCGTCAGCCGTTATTGACGATTTACTAGATATCTTCGGCAGTGATGCCTAGATTCCAAGAGGCCAAATATACGGCTGTAGGGGCCTTCATATTTCTGAGATTCTTCTGTCCTGCTATCGTCGCGCCGGAGGTAGAGAATCTTGTAGAGAGCCCGCCGTCTAAGGAGATGCGTCGTGGCCTACTTCTAATCGCCAAAGTTATCCAGAACCTAGCAAACAATGTCCTGTTTGGAGCGAAGGAGCCGTATATGTATCCCCTCAATGACTTCCTCACAAAACATATTTACCGCGTCACGACCTTTCTTCGTGAGATATCGGTAAGTCTCTCTTAGTAAATATGCTCGGAAGCTTGCTAATATTGTCGACGCCTAGGTTCCCCCCACCGGGCTTAATACGGCCCCAGCAGAAGGCGAAACATTCGAATTTGGCTCCTGTGTTGCTCTACACAGGTTCCTGTACGACCACTGGGATCATGTCCGGCAGAGACTTATGTCCCAAGAAAGACGGGATCATGTTCGTTCTCCTAACGAATTAGCTCGTGGTCGATCGCCCGTTCTCGAGCCTTTACGAGCTCTTATAACCAATCTCGGACCACCTCCTTTAGCAGTTACCTGGAATCGCCCTCAAATCACTGCAAATAGCCCTCTAGCTTATTCTAGATTCCAGCACTTCATGCTCCGTAATGCTTTCAGGAGCACAGACTCTTTTTTGACATCTCGTGCTATTTACGATGGTGGTGAGAGCAGGGCAAGTCGATCATCCAACCAAATCCATCCATAACACGTACTAGAGGCTAACGTTGAATAGGATGGGCTCTCCGTGATTTGCGTGATTCTCCGTCATATGGACCAAGATGCTATAGACTATGATACCCTTTTGTATTGTTTCTTGAAGGTAAGCCATGGCTGAAGGCCAATTCGACCTTAGTTATGAAGTTATCTTTCTATTCCAACCCTATCACCTTTTCTCTCCAATTAAAATCATTTTTAATCTAACTGGGTATAGATTGCAAGTCGGCTATGGCACAAACCCTTTGGGATACTCATCGATGCGACGTGTTATGATAGTCAAAATGACCCCCCGGACGAGCTGTACAGAAAATTGGAACTTCTGAGTCCAAGCGAATTGAAACAAATGTCCAGGATTTATATCTATAACATGAATAGCACATTTCGGTATGTCCACACTACTATAGATAGGATCACACATTTGCTAACGTTTACGAAATAAGGAAATGCTTTCGGCGCGTACTTCGCGTGGTCACTAAGAGTGAGACAAACGTGCTCAATCCATCCAATGTTGAGTACCTGTTGCTCGGTAGCCGCCTTGATCTCCAAGCACACTTCCATTTAAGCCAGGTGCATCTCCCAAAGGAAACCATCAGTATAGCCACTGATTCTCGCTACACATTCCAACCGGTCACCCGGCTTTCAAAAACCAAGGGAAAGATCGAGGTTACCGTCGGAGTTGGAGGCTCATTCGTCCAAGTAACCACAGTAAAGAAGCAGGAGGTCCACCCAAGCTTCCGCCTAAACGGAATCGTTAACGACATTTTCCATCTAAAAGACTTGGATGAGGCACCAACTTCTATTCCGACCGAGGATGACTCCGCTTTTGGTTTACGTGCGGATAATGGCAAGATCGTGATGTATTTCCAGAGTACCAGAAAGGCGGATGTTCTGAAGGAGATCCGCAGAGCCAAAGCAATGCTAGGCAAAGACACCAGGACGATGAAGCCATTTGAGCGTCTTATCCGACCACAGGACGTTCCTGGAACGTTATTGAACCTTGCATTAACCAACCTCGCTTCCCCCGACGCCATGCTCCGGATTGCATCATACAATTTACTCGGTGCTCTCTGTCGGGCTTTCAAGTTCAAGGCAGCGTCTAAGTTCATGTGTATCAAAGGTCTGTGTCCAACATGAAATGATATCATCCATGTTTGCTAACTACATGTGCAGATGTCTCTGTCCCGCTGGATCCCACCCAATTCATAATCAACATTAGCAAAGTCCTTGCCCAAGAAGAACCGCAGCTAACACACGACTTCTTAAACGAGTTTTTTGTCGGGTGGGAAAGCTTCTCCGAGGAGCAGAAACCTTTAAGCCTGGCTTACATGGCACCATGGGTACCAAGTTTACGCACGTCGCTTCTACCAGACGAATCCGATAGCGAGAAGGCCAAAGAGAAAATCGCTTCGATCTTCCGGAAACTAATAGACGTTACGGTGATGGAGCCGTCCCTGGCTCTTACCTTGGAGTATACGGTGTGGCCAGCAATCTATAAAGACGAAGTCTTGTTGGACATCTTCCTCGAAGAGATAGTCAAAGCAGCGTTGGCTGTAGGGTTATATGACGAACATACACAGTCTCTGACTTCAATAGTGACGGCTATTGGAACAATAACACTTCGAGGAAAGATAATATCTAGACTCCGGAAGGCGTTGAACAGATCTTCGCTTCGGCCAACAAAGTTCCTCCAAGAAAATGCCGTATGGAACGAGATCTGTATCCTACTCCAATTTTGCCTCTCGCTGTCGTTCGATTGCGGTGTTCAATCGCAGCTTTACCTCCCTGAGATATTTCACATAGTCACGATGTTATCAAATACGGGCACCTACGATATCCGGGCGCTGGTTCATCGCCTATTAATCAATTCGATTCACGCGGCTTGTACGTCATTTAAATTAGAAGATACAAGGTTATCGAAACTTCGCAGCACATTGGAGATATTGTCTGAACCAAGAAATGACAGCCTCTCTATTCCTTTACCGTTGGCAAGGGATGGGACGTCTATTTCAACATCACACGAGGCAGGGCCGGCCCTCTCAGTAATAGAGAATCTGGCCACTCTGCTATTCGAAACATGCTCGGTCGCGGCACCGTCGGTCGATATGGCTAACGCGTGGCGGTCGAGATGGATGAGCTTGGTAGCCAGTACTGCCTTCCAGAATAACCCGGCAATCCAACCCCGAGCCTTTACCGTAATGGGGTGCCTGGCTCGCGAAGAGGTCGATGATGACCTACTCTATCAAGTTCTCGTAGCACTCCGCAATAGTGTCGGCCGCTTTGGCGACGACAGCGGCAGCGACATGCTCGTCGCAATAGTTACGTCCCTATCTAAGATGATTGCTAAGCTCACTTCGGCGTCGCGTTACGGGCCGCAGTTATTCTGGCTGGCGATGTCATTGGTCCGGCTTGTACCCGCCAGCCTATTCAACTGCACCGCTTTGTTCCTGGAAGCCGTGCTAACGAACATTGGGACTACAGGAGAATTGAGGAGCAATAAGATGGTTCCATATCTCTTACAAGGCCGCTCGCAACTAGAGGAGGCAGCACTGCCCTTAGACGATGCCTATGGTATCCATTTTACTGCAGACAGCTTCCATTTCGCAGTCTGTGCATGTCTCTCGCGAGGACTTACGGATCCTATCACCAAAACTCCAGCTCTCCGGGTCCTCTCCACATTCCTCGAGATGACGACAGATAGTAGTTCTGGGGATTCGTCGAAGAGCTTCTCAAGCGAGTTCTACGCATCTCCCTATCTTGCTCTTATCCAGGCCCGAGCAATTACCCCCGAAGACCTAAAAGAATGCCTCTGGTCCGCTGGTATAAATCCAGTTGGTGTCGCTAACCTCGGACCAACTCGTAACCTACGCGACCTAGATGGCGCGAAGGACAAGGATCTTCTTCTTAATACGGCTATTGAATTGGTAGACTTCCAAATCTTAGATGAGGCGATACAGACTCATACTCTAGTCTGGTTGAACGAACTGGCATCTGGGAGGCCTGCCGTCGTATTGCATTTGTAAGTCGCCCAATTGTTACAATTGATTAATCAACTATTAACACGTGGCAGATGCCCTACCATTGCACAATTCCTAGACGAGGTGCTACTCCACGGTCAGAGTTCATCGACGCTCGGATCGGCTCATGCTCTGCTCCAGACACTATCTTCCAATTCAAAGTTCACGAGCGCATTAGACAGCAACGGCATGCTAAACGAGATTTTGGAGGATATGGGATTCGAAGGCCTATGGCGCTCAAGCTCTTTTACCCATGCTCAAGATCCCGACAGGCAATGCTCTATAATGACGGAGAAGCTGATCGAGGCAAGTACTTCCCCTATATGATTTCTAGAAAGCGGGGAGGAATGGCTGTTAACAGAAACCATAGCTTATTATCATATGAAAGGGTCAGCGATGGAGACGTCCACCTCGGAAAGGCGAGAGAGGGGATTAGCAAGCAAGAGTTCAAATGAGAAAAGTGTGGCAGTGTAGGTAGGGCCAATCATAAGAGGAACGCACCTTAGTGAGTACGTTAGTATGGATATCATGAGAAAAGTATGAGTTACGTACCTAGTGCGAAATGTAGAGGAATGGCGGAATGACAAGCAAAATGTCTTAAGCATTGGGTGTCCATGCATATTTTGATGTTTTGGTTATGTTTTGGTTATGTTGAGCAATATTATGGATGTACTAACCCCTGAACCCCTGAGTCACCACCATTACTATTTCACATCACGTGATTGCGCGATTCGTATCAAACGCGTCGCCGCCACCATTATCAGATAGCAAATTCTACAACTTCTACAACTTCTACATCATGCGACGGCGCCCAACACGGGTCACACGCCAATCGGTCGCGGCCGCGGCTGCAGCTAATAATGCCGCTAGTGGTAATTCAACTGTATCAGTAGAAGAAATTGAGAATGGTGAAGTTTTGCAATCATCCAGATCCCAAGGGAAGGGGCCGAGGAAGAGAACGGCGCCGGCACAGTCGCAGAGGGACGTACCAGATTCGGATTCCGAAGAGTATGTCGACCCAGACCCAGACCCAGACCCTGCCTCGAATACGCCACGCGTTAAAAGACGGAAAATGGTAACGCGCTTAACCGAGAAAATTGCGATCAGAGAGTTATATGCGCGGCTCTTCGAGAAACCGAACGCAGGCCCAGAGGGCTCTGTTCCCACTACCTTACCATGCATTAACCTCCCAGCTCGCACACACAACGTAACTTATCACCACCCGCTACTACTAGACGGTCGGGAAGCCCGCACTTCTCTTCTCTCTTGGTTCGACGGCGTAAGCACGGCGCGCAACATGCCATGGCGCAAAGCATGGATCAACCCGAGCGCAGAAGGAGAAGACCCCCGCCAGCGCCTCGAGCGCCGCGCGTACGAGGTCTGGATCAGCGAGATCATGCTCCAGCAGACCCGCGTCGCCGTCGTCATCGACTACTGGAACCGCTGGATGGCGCGCTGGCCCTCGATCCAGGACTTGGCCCGTGCAGAACCTGACGAGGTGCTCGCCGCGTGGCGCGGGCTCGGGTACTATAGCCGCGCTACGAGGATCCATAAGGCGGCGAAGAGCGTGTGCAAGGATAAAAATATGCGGGGTTTGCTGCCGGGCGATGTCGAGGAGTTGGTCGAGAAGGTGCCTGGCGTGGGTAGGTATACGGCCGGCGCCATCGCTGCTATTGTTTTCGGACGGCCGGCGCCGATGGTGGATGGGAATGTGTTGAGGGTTTTGAGTCGAGTTATGGGGGTGTTAGGGGATGTGAAGACGGATAAGGGGGTTGTGGATCTGTTATGGGAGGCGGCGGGGCGACTTGTTAAGGCGGTTGCGCGGGATCGACCGGGAGATGACGATATTGATATGTTGAACGAGGATAATGGGGAGGAGCCCAGTGATAGGCCAGGTCGATGGGGACAAGCACTGATGGAGCTTGGGAGTACGGTGTGCACGCCGAAACCTAATTGCTCCGATTGTCCCATCACCTCGAGCTGCCGCGCATATAGTGAAGGTCTGCAGCTAGCTGCAAAAAAAGGACTGGTGTCTCGGCCCACGGAGAAGGATACCGTGGCTGATATCGAAGATGCATGCACCTTTTGCAAGCCGTTCGAGAATTACGCTGATGAAGACGACGATGATCAGAACAGAAAGACGGAGATCTCATCCAAACAAGAAAAGTCTAAGACGAGGGTGCAAGCTACTTTGCAATCATTCGCATTCACGCAGACCATGGCCGCATCTACTACTTCTGCCGAGCCAGAAGAGCTCCCTAAGCAGGATACTGTGACCCTAAGCCCTGCCGCTATGGATGTGATCGCAAACCACGCGAGGAAATTCCCGGTAAAAAAGATCAAGAAGGCGGTAAGGGAAGAGGAGACGCTAGTCTGTGCCGTGAGACGCAACGACGGGCGATATTTAGTACACCGACGGCCCGAAAAGGGGCTCCTAGCTGGCCTTTGGGAGCTGCCGAGTCATGTTCTTAACAACCCCAAGACCAGCACTGCAAAGACGAGAAAGGCAGACGCGGAGAAGTACGTTGTGAACTTGGTTGATCGGGATCAGTCGATGGGTATGGTGAGGGTGAAGTATATCGATGACTTGGGGTCCGTGCCGTGGCTTTTCTCGCATTTGAAGCTGACAATGCATGTTCATCTGTTTGAACTCGATTCGCATGGAGATTTCAACGACGACCTTGAGAATGGAGGAAGGGGAGGGGCGCAGAGCCGATGGAGCAAGGCTGGTGTTATCGATGACGAGTCCATGGGTACCGGAATGCGGAAGTGCTGGGCTTTGGCGAAGGAGGCGAGTGGAGGATGATAGGAGTCCGTTACTCAAAAAGGTTAATCAAGATGCTCGCGCGGGCTAGATCATGTTCGATACTGTATTGGCATTACAAATCTGATGGACGGTATACCCCGGATAGAAGTGCTATTTTATGTGAAGTGTTAGTGATTAGGTATTAAGATGTGACATCCATCTATTCCAACTCATATGGAGACATTATAGGTAGTAATAAATTATGACTTACCAGCATCTCACTACCCGGAGGTGGTATTTAACCACGGGATCTCCTAGATTAAGAGGCTACATCATTATTCAGGATGACATGATTGGATATGTCACCAGAATCTTTTCAGGGGAGTTAGCCATGCCCACCGGACCCAACCCTGTCCTGTAGAGTCAGACACATACGGATATGTCACAGGCCTACCAATCGACCTTATTGTTTTCAAGCACGATGAGCTCATGTCGTTTCCCTGAAGCATAGCTGCCTCCTTTTTCTCGGACGAGCACTTGAGAAACAAGCTATATGAAGTCAAGTACATACTAGGTACCTAGTAATAATTCGAGGATACGATCCTTTTTGGAGGCAAGCACCATTCCGCCATAGATGGTGTTTATTCCTTTTAACAGCCTTCGGGCCGAGATGGCTTCGTATAATAAGATGATGACATGTTCAGGGTTGCCCTGTCCAGAGGCATTTTTTATTATCATTTAGTTTCCAAGCCATCTTGTGGGAATCTTTCCCAATCTGAGTTACCTATCTACCTACTTACCTAGGTGTCTTAAGGAAACCGGGAATTCCAATAGGATGAAGTACTTCAATATTGCTTGGCTAGCTGCTTTTTCTGCCGCCTCTCCGTATAAGCCTCTAGAAACTCGTAACAGGATCGCTCGCAGACAGGCTAGTGATGCATGTTCTATCGGATACTGTACCGAGGCCGGCGGAACGACAGGTGGCGTTGCTGGTGATACGATTACCGTCACAAACGTCGACAGCCTAGCCAGAGCAGCCGGACAAGAAGAACCTCTCACTATCATCGTGTCTGGGACTATCTTGGGCTCAGCCAAAGTGCACGTATCTGCTAACAAGACTATATTCGGCGAGAATGGAAGCTCCATAACGGGGGTTGGGTTTTATATTCACAGAGCAAGAAATGTGATCGTTCGTAACATGAAAATCGCCAAGGTCGCAGCTCAGAACGGCGATGCTATCGGCATCGACGCATCCTCAAACATCTGGATCGACCATTGCGACTTATCTGGTGACCTCAACAGCGGTAAAGATGATTACGACGGCTTGGTCGACATTTCACACGGCTCGCAATGGGTCACGATTTCGAACACGTACTTCCACGACCATTGGAAGGCGTCGTTGATCGGCCACTCGGACAGAAACGCCAAGGAGGATCAGGGCACCCTGCATGTTACTTATGCCGGAAACCAGTTTTATAGAACATACAGCCGTGCGCCACTCGTCCGATTCGGAACCGTGCATATCGTCAACAATTTCTGGGACACTCTCGTCTCCAGTGGCGTCAACTGTCGCATGGGAGCCCAAGTACTCATCCAGAGCTCGGCCTTCAAGAACAGCTCCGAGAGGGCGGTCTTCTTTGCGGATTCCACGGAGCCCGGCTACGCTATCCTCGACGATGTTGATCTCGGGGGATCCGAGAATTCGGCTCCGGTAGGAACACTTACGGTTAGCTCGCTACCATACGCTCCCATCGAGACGCTTGGCTCTGCTGCGGTTACTGGCATAATTCCCAACACGGCCGGTCAAAAATTGTGACAAGTCACTCAAAGGATCTACGCCCCCTTCGGGCAGCCCATTCGGGCTAAGCTTGTAGACTTAGTCTCGGCCAACGAATCCAAAATTCTACAGCACTAGTCAGCTCGTCCAATAGCCATAGACCTAATCTCCCTTTCCAAGACCTGCATGTTCCGGCCTACTACACTACATAGTACGTACTAATATTACACATGTGCCCAAAACCTAGCTGGCTAGGTAGGTATTGTACAATAATACCTACCTAGGATGTGAATGTGATTACGGCAGTTAATCCACCTAGCCCTACAGTGGTACAAATGCCGATGATTATCGTGAAAGAAAGCCGAGTCAAATCTCGCCAGGGGTAATGGGGGTAATGGGGTCAATGGGGTTAATAGGGCACTGGGCAGAATGAGATTTCGGTGTCGGTAATTGGATCGTCTGTTTGTTCCCCGCATGAGACAGGGCAAGCCTTCGGATGCAACGGTAGGTATGTAAAGATGAGTGAAGGGAAAGTACCTACCTTTTGTCCTTATATTGACGATACCCGTCAGTAGCTTGTTTAAATTTATAAACATCAAGGTCAGTAAGACTACAAGACTAACCTGCCTACCTAGCTGCCTACCTAGCTGCCTACCTAAATAGATAGATAGAACACGATGGATAAACTAAGACCTTTCGGAAGGGGGATTGAGGATGTCCTACTCCCCACGTTTGCCGCTTACGCGCATATCCTGATCGCTAAGGAGAGCGAAATCAGATCGACACGGCACGAGACGCATAAGTACGGCCCGACTGCACGACATCAATTGGACATCTACTACCCAGCCAATCCACCGACTGCACCGTTCCGAGCTAAACCCGTCCTTGTCTTCCTGTATGGCGGCGGCTTCGTCAGCGGAGAAAAGGTGAATGAGGAATTCGCTCACAGTCTGGTCTTTGGAAACCTCGGTCATTTCTTCGCCTCCAAGTACGGGATTACTGTCATTGTCGCCGATTACCGCCTCATTTCTCACGGGGCCAAGTTCCCTTCGGGCGGCGAGGACGTCAAGCTCGTCGTTGACTGGGTCGTCAATACGTTGTCTAAGAAAGAAGGATACGAATCTATCGATTTGTTTTTCCTTGGAAACTCGGCCGGTGGTATCCATCTGACAACCTGGCTTCTGTCCTCTCTTTTCAGGGAGTCGAGGGAGGCCATCTTAGCCGAAGAACGAAAAGGCGAGGGTGTGTTACTTAGAGGCGCAATCTTACTCGGCGTGCCATACCACTGGGGCGAAGAGGATAACTCGATTCTGAGGGCTTACTTAGGAGACGGTAAGATCTGGGAAAACTCGTCTTTGGGTATATTAGAAAAGGAGAAGAAGAATGGTACGGAACCGACTCTTCCTGGCGTCAAGATAAACTTACTCGTCAGCGAGCTCGACCCCGAATTCTTGTCAGCCTCGGCACAGCAGTTCAGGACGGAGTGGACTACCGTTGATATCTCATATGGGGTATTAGAAGGTCATAACCATATCAGTCCCCAGTTGGGATTGAGTACAGGTATTGAGAAGGAAGAGGCTTGGGGTGTGGACGTTGCTGAGTTCTTGAAGTCTTGCGCTACTAAATGAGGTATAGAATGTCCACCGTGATTTGGACTATGCATCACAATTTACAGTACCTATCCAAGAATAGAAGAGTGGTCTACTATAACCTCATAATAGGTATTCCATAACTAGTATTGCCTGTGCCATCAAGACAACTCTCGTTCTTTCGCTTCACTCCCTTCACTCACTCCCTTCACTCACTCCACTCACTCACTCACTCACTCACTCACTCACTCGCTCACTGACTCACTCACTTCACTTCACTTTACTACTACATACCTAGGTAAGTAGGTAGGTAGGTAGGTAGGTAGGTAGGTAGGTAGGTAGGTAAGTATATCCCCTAACCTCCCGTCTTCCTTTACATCCATGCGCTCGCTCATCTTCGCCCTTATGCATCGCTAGCTTTATTCTCCATGAACCAGATCACGGGGTCCTTGTCCGTAAAATTCTTAATATCCTCCATAAACTTCTGGCTTGTTTCCGCCGGCGTTCCAACTTGTGCTCTATTAAACGCGTCCATATCGGGCCACTCAATCTGAGTCAACATGGCGTATGGGCTTCGTTCGTCCGTCGGTGCCATGGTCCGAAAAGTCCCCATGCCAAATGGTTTCCATAAAGGAGTGACCATGGGTAGATGGCGTTGGAGATAATATTCCATGTCGAAGTTGGAATCTTTTAGGTAGGCGATCATCATGGTTATAGTCATGTTGAATATCAAGTCGTGGTCGTATTTCGACCTAACTATGCGAAGTTTCAAATTCCGGCTTTTATTTCTTTCGTTTTTCCTTCTCCTTTTCCTTCTCCCCGTTATTTATTCAAGATGTGTATTAGGTGTGTACCAGGTGTGTAAAAAAGAGAGGACGAGAAACGGAGACATCTCGTTCTCCTCTCGGTTATTATATAGCACCAAGGCGTTATTCCCTGAATAACCGTTACTAACCAAGGTACTCCGGTTTTTCTCCAAATCTTACCATATTGCCTTATTGTACCATGAGTTGTCGTCTTATTGTAGAGCTTATGCTTCGAAGACATGTTGCTCATAATCTGTATTATGCCGTATCTCGGGGGAGAATTCTTGAAATCTTCATATACCCGTGTCCCAAGTAGGTTAACTGGAGTTACATGGTAGAGATAACGACTGTTAGAGAAATGGGACAGACACATTCCCTATCAAAGGAAGAATGGGGGCTATAGAGGATCCATGGATGTATACAACACCATACCTACTACTACATACTTGATGAATAACACGATCATAATATCGCAGTCATCCGTCATCCTAATATAAAGGCGTGTTTAGACTTAGGTGTATCTAAATGGCATTAGGAATCTTCAAGCTCCCTGGCGTCGCTTTCATCACCGGAGCTGGTGGTACAGGTACCTACTTATCTCATAATTCCGGAACGTATAATCGTCATCACAATACTGTAATACTCATATTAGTGCCCGACCAGGAATCGGCGCCGCCGTTGCTCGAGGCTTCGCGCGGTCCGGATGCGTCCACCTCGCTATCACGGACCTCAACCCGCAAACCCTCGCGCAAACCAAATCCGCCATCCTATCTGTCAACCCCCGCGCGCAGGTCCTAACGCGCGAAGGCGACGTAACAAGCGAGTCGTTCGTCAAATCCTTTACCGCCGAGATCGTGGCCCGGTTCTCACGTCTCGACTACTCCGTGCATTGCGCCGGGATCCTAGGAGCTTCGCTGCGTACGCACGAGGCGCCGCTGGCCGAGTATGAGCGCGTGGTGGGGGTCAATTGGAAGGGTGTGTGGCTCGTGTCGCGGGCAGCGTTGGCGCAAATGCTGGTGCAGGAACCGTTGGATGCGCATCCGGGCCAGAGAGGTGCCGTGGTCAATATTGCGAGCCAGCTTGGTCTTGTCGCACGACCGACTGCATGTAAGTGTCCCTTGTACCTCACCTGGACCTATAGGCATTGGGCAGGGCGATGTTTTAATTTACGTGTGTGTACTAACTACTTGAAAAAAAAAAAAGCAATCTATTGCGCCTCAAAGGCTGCAGTGATAAATATGACGCGGTCTGATGCGATCGATTACTCGCAGGACGGGATAAGGGTGAATTGCGTATGTCCGGGCGTGATCGAGACGCCGATGACGACAGGATCGACTGAGGTTACGGAGAGACTGAGACCAGCGATCGACATTGCACCCATGCGGAGAATGGGGACACCGGAAGAGGTAGCCGATGCTGTTTTATTTCTATGTTCGAGCCAGGCCTCTTTTATACAAGGTCACGCCTTGGTAGTTGATGGCGGATATACAATTAACTAGATAGGTAAGTAAGTAAGTAGGTAGGTACCTAGCTGCCTAGGTAGGGAATCGCATCGCATGAAAATGCTTCGTGAAATTCTCGAGTGTATCGTCTATTTTCGTACACGTCCGTGTCATGGACCTATGTAAACATACGAAGCTGGTATATCATAACAAGCAAAACCACGGTCGAAAACTCCTAATTGATCGAATTCCTATTCCAGCATAGGTAACAATGCTACCGCCTCTTGCTGAACTTCTGACCCTGCCGCGGCTGACTTCCGTAACCCCTTCTTCCCTGCGTCTTCTTATCTCTGCTCATACTTGCGCCTAATGTAAGGTCGATCCGAGGAGGGGTAGAGAAGCCAAAACTCTTAGCAATCTTTGCTAGATCCAGCTTATGAATATCAAATACTGAACGCAAGCTGTGGCTCGCGTAGGCGTGCAGATAAGACCGGTAACCGTCTTTGGCACTCTGGTTGAGATAGTAGTTCTGAGATATGAGCTTCTCAAGTTGCGAAGAAACGTTGAGCACCTTCTTCGCCGGGAACTCATACTCGAGCACCGGTACCTTGGCTTCCTTTAAGTGGGACAAGAAGGCGAGTTCGTGAGGCTGCAGGAAGAGGAGACTGCGGCCTTTGGAGTTTGCGCCGCGCGCGGTTCGACCGACCCGGTGAATGTAATCGCGGGGATCGTCAGGCGGATCGAATTGCACTATGTAATCAACTGCTGGGATCTGTACCATGATTATTAGCTACCTAGTCCTGCAGGATCGGCGTGCCGGCCTCGACTTACATCTAAACCACGAGCAGCCACGTCTGTGCATAGAAGAATGCCGGTTTTGGCGTTGCAGAATTCGAAGAACGTGTTCGTCCGCTTCTGCTGCTTCTGCTTCCCGTGAAGAGAGAGGCAAGGCCTAGACGTGTATTAGTATTTCATCGACGATTCATGGGTGATTTGTTGGTGGCTTATAGCGAATTAAGATTCGGCCAGGTCAACTTACAGATCGATGTAATTGAGAAGTTCGGCGTAATAGTTTACGCTCGCGCAACTGGAGAAGAAGACGATGACTTTCTTCTTCAGATTTCGCTTCAAGAATGAGAAGAGAAGAAGGAATCGCTTGTCGGCGTCGCACGTAACGTAGCCCTGCTCAAGTCCGGCAACTGTAGAGCTGGCGCTCTCTTCGTCAACGTTTATGTAAAGAGGACCCGGCCTCAGGGAAATCCTGGCGAGATCTTCGACCTTGGTCGTCTGGGTGGCGGAGAAGAGCATGGTCTGTCTACCCTCGTTGGGTAATATCTTGATGATCTGGCGCATCTCATCTTCGAACCCTATTTCTAATATCCGGTCGGCCTCGTCGATGATAAGGGACTTCAAGTTCTTGAAGACGAAGGGGGTATTTTGCAGGTGATCCAGAAGCCTTCCTGGGGTCGCAATGATAAGATTCACTCCTTTAGATAACTTGTCGGCCTCAGCTCTACGATTTGCTCCCCCGATGACTATGCCGTAGGTTTGGGAGTGATGCGCCATCAGTTCGCGCGCGACACCGAATATCTGTAGAGCCAGCTCTCTGGTGGGAGAGACAACGATAACACCAGTTCCGTTTCGCGGCTTAAATCGAAGAGCGCTCAGCATTTCAACGGCAGGAATCAAGAAAGCCAAAGTCTTCCCACTTCCAGTCTTTGCGGCGCCGAGCACGTCGCGGCCCGCGAGCAAGGGTGGGATGGCCCTCCGTTGTATGGTAGTCATCTTTTCGAAGCCCATATCCTCCTTGATAGCCTTCGTCGTCTTCTCGGATAGATTCAAGTCGGCAAAGTTCTGGGCATCGGAACCTATGGCATTCTGTAGGGCCGAGATGGCGCTGTCGGTAGGTAAGTCGGTGTTCTGGTTACTTTGGCCAGCATCGTCATCTTCGGCATTGGCTGCTTCTACTCTCTTGTTCAATTCGGATGTTTCTTCAACATCATCCTCCAAGCCGCTACCTTCCAAGTCGCTTGCGTTTTGCTCCTCGGCCTGTTTTTCAATCTGGCCTTCAATCTGTTCTTCAATTTGTTCTTCAATCCGTCCTTCAATCTCAGCCTCATCTTCCGGCTCGGGTTCGTCGCTCGAGGGTTCGGCGACTCGCTTCAACTTCTTTGACTTAGGCGTCTTGAAAGAGGGTGTTTTTGACTTCTTGGACACTTTATCGCCGCTTGCATCCTTGAGTTTCCTCTTCTTGCTAAGCTTGGTTGAATCCATCTTGTCTGGGGATGTGGGCAATAATTGGTGGTATCAAGATTGCTGAATTACAACCTTTAGATAGAAGTGGGTTGGATAAATGTTCAATCTTTTTGTTCAGAGTCAATCACGCTCCTGGGAATTTTTTTGCTTATCGATATAGGAAAAAATGTCTGATAAACGGAAGTGGATACCATTTCCCCCGCTAATATTGTGGTCCGTGCGCTAATTGTCCAGCCACCCAGCCCAAGCCACTATGAAGTACTCTGTACTTAGGACCCTTCGTGCCCTTCATGCCCTTCACTACCTAGTAGGTACTACTTCAAGGTTCTTCATACATATTTCTTCAACTATTCCTTCAACTCACCTTCAGTATGTGGAAGAAGAAGAAGAAGAAAAAACAATAATTAAAATTTCAATCTCCTTAATATTACTAGTCTTTCTTATGAATATATCTCTCATCGTTACATATCATGACTTCCTCATCCTTGGTTGAGTTACCTATTCTCCGTTTGCCCTCCCTACTCCCCCCAGAATAATCAATAAATCAAAATTCATCTTTGCTCTCATTGCTCTTCGTATAACTCACTCCATACCCAGTCGATAATGCTCTTGGCTCTGGACCCCTTCAGCTGTAGATATTAAACGCATGTCCTAAATGAAGGCAATACCGGTTTCTGTCCTTGATTTAATTACCTACAGAATCCCTCCACCCTCCAGGCTGCCGGGTTCTTGTCCCACGCATTTATAAATTGCCGGAAACTTTCTTGAATCTGAGGTCGTGGTAAGCTGCATTACAGCTGCATACCGTTGCACTGGATAAATCCGCGGCTAAAATCTATCCTACTCTTCTAAGTTCTGGCTCGCGATAGAACCCCCCATACCAGTTGTCCACGCGCCTGTTGTCTTTGAAGATGTATATTGCCCCCCTTAAGGGTCATACCCGTGGAATCATCACTTCGTTTAAATTAGGACCTCGGTACCACTTCGTCTTGCAGCTCTACCTTATGACCGACGTGAGATAGATTGATGCCTGGTCTGCTCGGTATCTCTGGACCCAATAATCGCTCTCAACTAGATTAAGGGAGAGATTCGGTGCAGAGAAGCGTATCCGCTACCCAGGACCCAGGTTACTCTAGACGAGTTTATATCATATCCATTTTGTGATTCCCGGGCGGTTTTGGTTATACGTAGGTAGGTATTGTGTGAAATCATCTATTCGCCAGTAATGAAAATAAGCCACTACCCCTATTCTCCGTCTCCACGAGCCTCAACCTTCCCATCTAGTAGCAATAGATCAGGCTTACCTTCATCGGCTCAACTGCACTCCTTTCCCCTCTCGCGTCCCATTCCCGTCCCATGGTCTTATTGGGCTTGGTTGTTAGTACCACGTTACAATGTAATGTGACACCGTTACGAAGGGGCGTCTCGATGCGGTAGCTGTGAGGCGTCAGTAAGCTCAAGATATCGCTTGGGCCATGTCGTATCATGGCCGATGCGCGGAACTGTCCGGCAAACTCTGGGAGAGCGTCGTATGGGCATGGCGTGGGAATGTGATAGCAACGGCTGAGGTGGAGCTCGGCGCCTTACAAGCTGCTGAGCAAGCCCCAGCTCATTGGACGATGCTAGGACCCCCGAAGCTTAGGTCAGGAGGATCCGTAGTGGCACGCTCGGCATATCCAACGCCTGGAAGGGACATGGTTGTGAGCATCACGACCAGTCTCCGGATCGACCACGAGCTGAGCTGTGATCAGGTCTCGACCGTAGGATATTATCTACCCATCGGGGCGAGAACGCCCAATCCCTCATCTGGCAGGTCCCAAGGCTTGAGGTTACCACGTCTATCGGAGTATATCCCCATATACTCACTGCTTGTCTGCGAGCCAAGCATTATATGCCCGCGGGAAACAATATAAAAAGCATGCGTCTTTTCTTCCAGCTGGAGTGAATCTCGTACCAGCTCCCGGGGACTCGTAACTCGCGTCGATCATTCCTCGCCACGCAATTCAACTTCCTACCACAATGAAACCAGCCTTCTTCCTCACTCTGATCACTAGCCTTGCGGCATCTGTGGTGGAGGGATCAGGTCGTACCCAACGACAAGCACGACGGCCGCAGCCTTCTGACGGACTCGCCGTTATCACTGTTCAACCATCGCTCAAGTTGGATAATGTGAACTTGAAGCAGCTTCCCGGGAGCCCCTCTCTATCGCCGCGTGCGGCCAATGCCTTTTATGAGTGCAGGAACTCGGTTCGTTTTCTTTCCATCTCAGCTGCGTTTCCTAGGCCTGTAGAATGAAGTTGTCTATTCAACTCTCACTTCACATTTACTCTTTCATCCGTTAACAATAACCCCTTTTCCTCTAGAGCCCTGCACCTGGTGACTCCGACTGCAACAACATCATCAACGAAGTATTTGCGCTAGACCAGCCCATCACGATAACGTCCAACGCGTGCCTCACCTTCCAATACGGCACGTGTTGGGGCTTCTTCTGTTCGCTGTGCCAGACCCTAAGCACGGACACCAATTTCATCGGCAACCAGCTCATCTCGGCCGAGGCACTATGCGTTGCCAACGGTCAGATCGGCACCATAGTTAGCCAGGACGTGCCTCAGTGGCAGGCTGGTTTCGTCTACCAGGGCGCTGGCTTGCCTGACTACGACGTCTGCTAGCATGCTCTCATATAACTACTAGGTACATACTCCTAGAGTTAAGATGCATTGGGTGGTTCGGTGAGCTGATTAAGTTTGGACACTATCAAAGAAAGGTTATATATCTATGTGCGTGTATTTATATAACAGAAGTGTATAATATACTGTGTCTTACCTTCGCATCCAAGGCGCTGGCGGTATGGTGTATATGGGTATATGAAGGATGTTGAGAGGGGAAACCAAAAAAACTAAACATCGCGCGATCAGCCCTTCAACCAATCAATCACAGTTGCTTCAACTGCCAAAATATTTTAGTAATTAGGTACCTATCCGTAACGTGACTGCTGTACGTGAAATAGGGGCTGATACATACCTCTCAACTAAAGAAACATTTCCTTCCCAGTAAATTCTCCGTATATAGAAAGTTACTTCATCCAAGTGGTAGGTATCTGTTAGTACATATTCATAGATGGTGATAGAAATAGAGGTAGAAACGAGGAATCGCCGGACTTATTCTCTTAACCATGGTCCATCATCATCGATCAATTCGGTGTCCCGCGGAATAAATATACATACACTCGGGCACGAATTTCATCTCATCTCATCTTATGCGAGCAGCCCACCCCCACTTTATATTAAAATATGCAGCGAATTTCTTTTTATCCACGAAAGCCGGCTACCAATATTAAACAGAGAGCAAACCAAAACCCGATACATGTATAATTCCTTCGTCAATGCGCCTTTCAGAGGTACAGCTCGCCGGGTCATCTCGTCTAGGTACTTAAGTAATAGCAATGTTGCCATTTGACGCCCGTCGTTCCCCTGATCCCATCGCCTATGCATATTGTTACGTCGTTTCGCCACCGTCACCGCCACCGTTACCGTTACCACCGTCACCGCTGCTATTCCTAAGCGCTGACAAGCTAGCCGGACTAGGAAATCAAGCTTAATGGACGGCTGCTGTGGGGGTATATCCCAAGTTCGCCTCGGGGACGGGGTCCTCGTGTTTGGCGGTGCTGCCCTTGCCGCGCCACGTGCTCACGGCGGGAATATCAGCTTGATACCTCTCCTCGTCCGTTCCGTACGCGCGCGGGGTTAGCTTGATGAGACAGTGAAGAGGCACGTTCATCCAAGGACTGCGCGACTGGTCCTTCTTCATGAAATACGCGTAGATGCAGCGGAGGATGGCCTGGTGGGTGACTATGAGAATATCTTCCGACCGCTCGAGTTCCATAATAATGGGTTCGAGGCGGATAACGACATCTCGGTACGACTCACCGCCACGATAACGGTAATTGTACTTGTCCTCGTCGCGTGCCACGAAGTCCTCCGGGTACACGTCCTTGATCTCTTGGTAGGTCATGCCATCGCAGACGCCCGCGTCAAGCTCGTCCAATGCCTTCCACTGCAGTTGGTTGTAGTTCTCGGGGAGGAAACGCGCCGTCTGTATCGTGCGCTTTAAGGTCGAAGTCCATACCGTAAGGGGTCGATCATCCTACGGGAAACACGTTAATTGACATCTTGGTTGAATGAAACCCACGGACGATTCAACTCACACCGACAGATTGCCGGACTAGGTCAGGTAACTTCTTGGCATATTGATGCCCTCGCGGAGAGAGGTCGGCATCGCCACCAATTCTCCCGTAAAGATTGTATAACGATTCGCCGTGTCTCGAAAGCCAAACCGAACGCGGTCGGATATGTAGGTTCATCAGGTAATAAACAACCCGGCTCTGAAGATAGTCTTGTATGCGGTTGATGATCACCTGAGCACCAACATCCATAATCTTCAAGTAGGTATATTGGTTCTCGTCGCCGTCTGCGTCGATGGTCTTGTACACCTTCTCGTAGTTCTTTATCCGATTGCGAAAATCCAAAGCAGCCTTTTCCGGATCCTGCCCCTTATAGTCGGGACTGGTGGTCTTGACGTCTCGAACGTTGGCCATGATGAGGCTCTCGTCATCGCACTTGGACTCGACAAACAACACTTCGATGCCCTCCTGCATCAGCGTGTCGTATACCCATTTTCGTCGCTCCTTTGTTGAGTTCGTGGCATCGAGGATCCCAATTATACCACCCTGTCGGAACCAGCCCAGCATATCAGCGATGGCAGCCTCCGCAGCGACTCGACGTTTCTGTTCGCCCTCCGCATTGCTAATATCGAAGAAGTCCGCCGACGGTTGGGGGGCATCGTGACGCCGATAATTGCCGACGTTGAAGGTCTTGGCATCGATCGAGAGCCATTGGAGATAACGCTGGGCTTTAGAGGGCGAGTGAGATAGGTCAGTATTTGGAAATGCTAAAGAGTCTTGGGAGGTTTCACAAAAGATTCGTAATCTGGCATGGTATTGAGGAGGTGATACCTTTTTGTGCTATGTAACTCTTCCCACGTGCAGGCAGACCAACCATGACTACGCAAATCTTGGTGTCCTCTACCTGGACGGCACGGCCGTTAGTTCTTGGTGCCATGTTTTCCTGCTACTTTCCAATATAACGAGATCGTAGGTGTATGCAAGGGAAGCATGCTCTGAGGCAAAGAGTTCTAGTGAGGTATATGATGGGAGACGAATTTGACAGGATTGGCAACAATAGTATTCACAGGTGATATCGATGTCGACGTCGACGTCGGGGAAAAGGAATTCAATAGATATTGGATATGACAGAACTATAGTTGATCAGGTGCTGAGAACAGCCGACTATGTTTTGTTTTCTCTTATTTCTTTATTTTTTTCTTTTTCTTTTTATCTTTCTTCTTCTTTTTTTCCCTTCTTACTCAACGTAGTAATTCGTCAAGTTCAAGGATTGGACGTAGTGTTGCATGCAGAAGGGGAGAAGATCGAGAGTGAAAAACAAAAGTAAAGTTGCGGTGATGATGCAGAAGATTCCGTCACTATTAGGAATGCCATTGGCCCGCTACTGGGTACCTACCGGGTTACACCACCGGGATTCTCAGGAACAAGCAACAGGGCTTGAATCAAGGTAGCCAAGGTAAACCGTAAAACCGGGGTAGCTTGGTAGGTAGCTTTTTTTTAAAAAAAAATTACCCACGAAAATCTTAAATCTGGGAAGCCGGTAACACCCCGCATTGACAGGGAGAACCCCTCAAGGCAAAAAGCTACAAGCACCTTAAACACCCGAGCAGTCTATTCTAATTCGACAATGGCAACCCGCTTTGTGTCGGGACAGCGGGGCAAAAGGAAGCTCCTAACGAAGTTAAAGAAGTATTAAAGAAGTCATGGAAAGAACTAGGTAATGATAAGGGGTTTAAAGCGTTCGATAATCGATATTGTATTCAGTGTTGATTATATTCAATGTTGATTAATTTTATTCCGTATTTGACTTCAGTCATCAATGTCAATTTCAATACCATTTCCAATGCCAATGCCAATACCAAATACCAAATGATCAAATCACCTACATAATAGATTCGCAACTTCCGTCCTCCGTCCCGACAGAGCTACTTGGCACCTTTCCGCAAAAGACAATTCTTTATTCGTCAAATTGATACAAAAATCCGCCTATCCGCAACCGACTCCTCCCGAAGCCCGTTTTCTTCTTTTCCCTCTTGAAAACACTGCCGGCATCATTAACGGACACAACTATTGCCGACGGAAATGAACTGCGAGTGGCTGGTGCCACGAACGCAACATGGCTACCAACTTGTCCATCGGGAAGAACTCTCGAAAGGAACAGATAGCGTAAGGAGCTAGGTGTCGTGAAGCCGCTGTCAAGCCTAACGAGTAGGTACTTACCTACCTAAATAGCATTGTACCGGATACCTTCCGTGTCTGGAACAAACGATGAGGTTATTTATTCACTAGGTAGGAATGTATTGAGAAATCGAAGATCGTAATTGCCCTTATAAAAGGTCATCTCGCCCCCGTTTTACTCTTAGGCTACAAGGTACTTTTATGGTTGGAATATCTTCAATTTCTAAGGAAATGACGAATGGTAATTTCATCATGTTATCTGCTACAAGAAGCTACTTGGTATAGACCGCGCGGGATGCCAGACACATTACCTAGGAATTAGGCATATCTTGTTGCCCCATCTTCATCTCAACCCTGTCCCAAAACTAATGAATCCTACATCAGCTCATCATCATCTCTGACCCGATTCGCTACCCAGAATTTTGCCGCATGAGCGACATCAAACTCATACGGTATTTCAATCTTGAATAAGTTGGGGGCCTCATGATCGTTCTCCATTCGATCCAACTCATAAAGGGCTATCCCTGACGTACGGTCGATTAGCCAGATAACCGAGTTGATTCCCACATACTTGAGGCCACCGATGATATTAGCGAGACTTCGAGCAATCTCTTTCCATTCTTGTTTTTCCCTTTGGATGTCTACAACGTCTCCGCCAAGATCATCGTAGAAGACTATGCGGCCCTGACTGGAACTTTTACTCATGATGTACAGTCCCTCCAGTTGGGGCATACGAGAAGCAAGCATGTTAACGTCTTCGCAGAACGGTTCGCAGTCAGTTGCAAGGTATCGAATTGACTTGCAGGCAGTTGTCTCGTCGAAAGAAATCGCATGGCGACTGGCCCTGAAGAACATCGGTTCCTTGGGCTTGCAGGTGAGCAGGCTAGTCCAGTTGACAGCAATGTTGGACTGTCAAGCACAGTCCAAGGGGTGGCGGGGTGTGCCAGGAAACGCAGCCTCGTTGACTTTAATCCGCCTTAGGGGCGCCCCTGTCTCAACCATTCGTTTGGCCCATCTCACGAACCAACTGGTCGGCATCCTGACAAAGAGTTTCTCCAACTTCGGGGTCGGGCCTGGCGCGGTTTGCCACCAACACACATCGTCAAGACCAATGAATTCGTCTGGGATGTCACCCCCAAATCTGCCATCATTGATTAAATCCATTACCAACTCCTGTACATTCGACATGTCTACCAACATGTCCAGGCATCCGCCGTTCTAGTGCTCGTCTGCAAATTCGGGTCGAAATCGTCTTGGGCTATTTCCAGCGCGCAACACGAACATGTAATGGCCCAGGTGCACACATTTAAGAGATAGGGGCTTGCCGGCCGATTTGCGATAGCGTTTGCAAAGCTCTCGTAGGAAATGGGCTGGGTGGAGCGCCGGGTCATTTTGGTGCATGTCGTGATGCGAGAGCCGCCAACGGGTCGAACCAGACACCAAAAAGCCCAGCAAGCGCGGTGAGTTGATCAGTACCTGTACGCTCATGTTTCGCCAGAGACCTAGGTCCATTCCCCATATATGATGTAGGTGTAATCGTTCGAGGTTTCCGAATGGGGGCAGCAGCGGAACTCCCCCTTTGCCATTGGTTAGAAGCCCCCATTGGCCTCTATCTGGCGCGTGAATGGGAACTTGGAAGAAATTGACTTTTTGATCCTGTCTCAGATTGCGGTTCTGTGGTTCCACCACTGTGAGAGACTTCAAGCCTGGGTAGTGTTTTTGTAGGTTCTTGACTATTCGGTGATATAGAGGATACCCAACCCACCTAGCATTGCATATTAACGAATATTCGCCTCCTCTAGTATTCATCCAACTTAATACTTACGTGAAACTCTCCAGATGTGGCATAAGAGGTAACAAATATGCTAAGTTATTGCTAATTTGTATCCACCATGTTAAACTCTGGCACATCTCGTCTACTTTGGTTAGCATCTATATCTGTTTAGTATTCGACAGATTCTCGGTTACGACTTACTTGGGTGGCTGACAGCTTGAATGGGGTCGACCGTATTCAGATCTTTGTTTACGTAGACATAGAACGTAAAGTGTTTGACATGTTTAAGGCATCTTCTGTTTGAGGCGACCAGGGGAAACTTAGAAACGTCGAAGAGCCAGCAGACATTATGTTCGCAGAAGGAGATTTCTTGGTAGTAGTATCCTGAGAATATTTCATTGAAGGCCTTGCTCACGAGACAGAGGTTGAAAAGTGTATTGCGGTTATGGATCTGTGAACGTGTTAGTAGTGCTATATAAAGCAAGTTTCCACTTTCCTGCTTACTTTTCTGCCAAGGATAAGTAAGATTTCGGGCAAGCACATAGACGCCATGGTTCGTAGTAAGTAGTAGTGTTGCCCTGCGCGTAGTTCTACGCAGGCAATAATGAGAGTAACTTGTAGAACGGACGAAAATAGCTGGTATCAACGGACCAGAGAGGCAGTTTTTAGTGTAGAATTTTTATTGAAGCATAAACGCGATATGGAGGGTATGGGCAGTGATCACGTCAAGCGATCGCGAAGATATTGTCTTTTGATGCATTCCAAAATGAATGATGAGGGTTTGCAAAGAAGATGGCACCAGCTTGAATCGGAATTTCCTGGCGTAATAGAGTGTCTCGATATTTCTTTGGGCTAGAGAGTCTAGTTCGATGATTAAGTGGCAAGTCCCTGAACACGAATATGATGAAGATATGAGAAAATATAGGGGTTTATCGTCTCATCATACTAAGATCTCCGTATATCAAGTAAAGGGGTAGTGATAAACATAGTAAATCTTATGATGGTTTTTTCTGATATTCAAGATGACATAATTAGATGCAAAAGCCACAAGGACCAAGAATGCCAACATAGGACGAGAATATAATAGTAAGCTTGGAGGAGCTGACCTAGAGGTTAATATAGAATATCACGTAGTTGGCTGATTGGTATACTTAATACCTGTACATCATAGTCATAGAAAGTCACATGTCTCTTTCGAACTACTAATTAGGGATATACAATTATGGGAATAGTTACCTATTGCCTAGGTAGGTAGGTAGATACTTTTATTGTAACTTATTAGATGAAAGAGGCCTTGATGCTATGTGGGGGCAACCTGCTTCGCGTCCACTCTACCCGTGCTTGCTCACAAATAGCAGATGTGAGGTCTATGTCTCCTCATGCTATGGCGAGTAGGTATGAAACAAGCATATACGGTGAATTAATTCGCATCGCTTAATACAAGTGTCTAGCATCATTGTTATTCACTAGGTACTACGCACTTCTATATTCCAGTCGGCCATACACATATATGATAGTAATGGCTACCAATTTATAGTTACCTATGTTAAATATAATTAAGCTACACATAAAGCAATATAAATGGGTATTCATATAAAGGAGTAAGGTTAGGTACATGTTGAGTGACATGTTTAAAAATGTGAGAAGTGATGTTGTTAGTTAATCTATTTTATATCTACTCGAGAAGGCTGTTGACTATTGGATCGAGTATAAAAGTAATTGAATTAGAGAAATTTTTTCTCGACCTTGCACCTGCACGTATGCACCATGTCAGTGGCTTAATTAATACGCCGCCTCTCGGATTAGTCGGTGCTAGAATCGCCGTTATGGGCGGTGGTCAGCGCTGTAGCGGAACAAGCATTACACCGAAACTGCCGATCGCTATCACTGTACGTACTGAGTACCTAGATACTCCTAGGTCCTATAATAATCGTAGGTAGGTATGTACATACCTATTATATCAACTCAACTTTAAACTGTTTGTGTAGCATGGCCGTAGTTTCCACGTCTTGGAAGGTCGATATAGTTTTCCTTTTACTCACTTATTACCTACTCTACCTACTCTCACTCTCACTCACCAACTCATCAATTCACCTACTCGTCTTAATTTCCATCTCATCTGACCTAACAACGTGAACCTCGGTATCTAACGGAATCCCCATCACGCCCGGAGTTAAGTTACTATTATTGATAATGAAGAAGCTATCGCCCTTTATATACCTATATGAGCCCGTGACAATCATCACCACCCACCGTCCAAGTCTAGAAACTCCAAAACTCATATTGATTGCGTCGTGGATGGATGCGCAAGACTTACACATTGCCAAGTACATCACACACTACCAGTCCATCTATCCCACGTCAAAAATCTTATTAGTCAAATTCGTCTTGAAAGAGTCGGTATCCGCATCTTTCACACGCAAAGTCGTTGATCCCGCTCTCGTCTACCTCCATTCCCTAATCGATTCGGGAACTCTATCATCATCACCACCTCAACCCGAAATCCTTGTGGTATGTACGCATTTACCTCTTTGCAGCTTCTAAAGTGATTCATGAATTCTAATATCAATATAGCATATATTCTCAAACGGTGGCTCAGCCACGACGCGGACACTCTACCAGTTATTCCGAGCTCAGACAGGCTACGCCTTTCCCCTTCATGCGGCAGTGTACGACTCTTGCCCAGGGGTTTATTCGTTTACGTCCGTATATAGCGTGTTTATGGTCAACTTTTCTGGATTGGTCGCTCGTGCAGTTGCCGCTCCATTCGTCTCTATACTTGTGCTCTGGTTTTGGATTTGGTACCGTCCCTTGAAAATACTATCCGGAGAGGATTTCCTTTCGGCCAATTCTAGGGTCCATAACGACGTAGACCTTGTCCAGCAAACCAACCGGTCATATATCTATGGAAAAGCCGATGTCATGGTCGATTGGAGACACGTAGAGAGGCACGCAAACCACGCTGCGGCAAAGGGACTAGTGGTACGAAGAGAGATGTTCGAACATGGCCCACACGTATCACACATGAGGACTGACGGCGACCGGTACTGGAAGATCGTTAAAGAGACCTGGAAGAAGGGCACGATGCGACATTAGCTTGCATACTTATCAGTATACAAATTTTTAGACCTTCACATCGATTAGACTTCAGGAAGTTCATTAAAGAAGCTCACTAAAGAAGCTCACTAAGGACCAAAGTATAAAATTAAGTTACGTCTCACGCACCGTCATTGTGCGAGCGATCTAGAGAACCCTGGTAATGTTACTAATTCTAGAGGTATCTAGGCAGGCATTTAGCCCGGTAGGGTGGTAAGGATAACAGATGGATCGCTTATGGTCGGGGATGCATATTACTATATGCATGTGTCGAAAGTGAACGATAACAAGGAGAATTACAATAATAATTGAAGATGCTAGGAGGGGAGCCTAATGCAACATCGACAATGGCGACATTACCGACACCGCAATGACTCAAATAGTCAACTACGTGGAGCCTATTCCTTATTCCTTCGGTTTAATGCCGGGCTTTGGCTCGGAGTCGACCTTGTTTTCGATTATAAAATACATACAACATACCCAGTCGGTTTAAATGTCATCAGTCTACCTAAGCCATCAATCATCCTGGTGTCTCGGTCTAGAGAATAATTTTGACAGGCCTGTACCGTGGTTGATAACGCGCGAAATATGTCACGAGTCTCAAGTGGCGAGTAAGGAAACAACGACGTTATTACACGAGGGGCTCTCAGCTTGGTCTCAAATAGCCCTCTCCCAGGAACGGAGCTGGTATATGACTAAGCGCGTTGAATCTCGACGCAAAGGGTTTTGACGATGGATTTCTCGGGGTGTCCTAGCGACGAGTCGTTCGGACCTACTGTCCAAGGATGCCGTGACGATTTCGACTTTACTATTATGTTTGAGAAAATATTCTTCACTCTCATTCCCACAGCCGTGTTCATCGCTATCTGTCTTCCGCGGGCCACCTTCCTCGCTCGTAAGCCGACGATCGTAAGAGGCGTTTTCTTACGGAGTGTGAAATCTGTATGGAATATCTACCTGTATGAAGCGGTAACTCAACTAATTAAGATATAGGTCGCTATTTGCATATATGCCGTACTTCAATTAGCATTGCTCGTGCTAAGCATTGTTAGAGCGCAGATCTTCAACGCCTTCTTCATTTCCTCTTCGGCGTTAGCATTCGTCTCTGCTATTTGTATGATCGTGATCTCTCACCTGGAACACTCACGTTCTCCGCGACCATCGAATCTGCTCAACACCTATCTTCTCATTACTACCCTTCTAGACGTTGTACAGAGTCGCACTCTCTGGCTGGCTTCAACTAAAGATGACAACGTAAAGTACTCCGGCGTATTTACTGGCTCTGTGTTTATCAAAGCCCTCCTACTCATTCTTGAATCTCAACGCAAGTCAAGATGGATTCGGTGGAATGCGAAAGAGCATAGCCCTGAAGAAACTAGTGGGCTGTTTGGTATCGGGGCCTTCTTGTGGCTCAACCGGCTTTTCCTAACCGGATACAGGAATATTTTAACCCTTGAAGATTTGTATCCTCTTGATCAGAGCATGACCTCGGAAAGTTTACGAATCAAACTTACCGAGAGTATCAAGACTCTGCGACATCCTGGCCAGAAGAATGGTCTTGCCAAAGCATTGGCACGTGCTCTCGCAGTCCCATTACTACTCCCTATTGGGCCGCGTATTGCTATGACTGGCTTTCAGTTCTGTCAGCCATTTCTCATAAACACGCTCCTAGAATACTTGCAAAAACCCTCTGATGATGCATCCCGAAATGTTGGATATGGACTTATTGGTGCAACAATCCTTATCTACATAGGAATCGCCGTGTCCGGGGCTTTTTATTGGTATCTCCAAGAACGCGCCATGTACATGGTCCGGGGGGCACTGGCCAGTTCTGTGTACATAAAGTCGACAGAAGCCAGGATTGCGGCGCGAGACGATTCAGCTGCTCTTACCCTTATGAGCGCAGACGTCGAACGAATTATCAAAGGTTGCCTAAACATTCACGAATTCTGGGCAAACACCATCGAGGTTGGGTTAGCCTGCTGGTTGCTTTCGCGCCAAATCGGCGCGGCCTCTGTAGCTCCTGTCATAGTTGTTGGTTTCTGTGTCGTCTTACTCTCTTTTCTAGGAAAAGTTACCGGACCACGACAAAAGGCATGGATGGAGAAAATACAGAAAAGGGTAGGTTTGACGGCGAACGTGATCGGGCAAATGAAATTTCTCAAGATGTCCGGGCTCGCTGCTCCTATAGAGGAGTCCATACAGAAAATGCGTGTCGATGAGCTCGAAACGGGATCCAAATTCCGAATGACTATCATCTTTTCCGCCCTCATCGGCTACACACCACTCTGTATTTCTCCCGTCATGACGTTTGCCTTTTCATCCTCGACTCTTGGTGTGACTACCATATTCACCTCAGTCTCTTACATAATTCTTCTAGCCAACCCCCTCTCCGTTCTTTTCCAGCTCTTTCCATCCCTCCTCGCTGCTCTCACCTGCTTGAACAGAATTCAAGCTTTCCTAGAACAAGACGGACGCTTAGAATTCCGCGAGTTCTCCGACCAGTCGGTAGATGAGGGAGGGCGAAAACCCAGAATGGCGCCCTCGATCCAGATCTCAGAAGGAAGTTTTGGTTGGGATACTAACAAACTATGCCTAAAGAAAGTCGACATCAGTATCCCGAGTTCGGCCCTTACAATCGTCGTCGGCCCTATCGCATCAGGCAAATCAACATTATGCAAAACTCTATTAGGTGAGACTCCTGTGGCACACGGTAAAACTACTATGGATCGTCGCCCCAGCAGGATCGGCTATTGTGACCAAACACCGTACCTATCGAATGCCACGATAAGAGATAATATCGTGGGATTCGCGAAATTTGATCAGGTTCGGTACGAGGAGGTTATTGAGGCTACCATGCTAAGCCCCGACCTAGCTATTTTGCCACGCGGAGATGAGACCAAGGTCGGCAGCAGCGGTGTGATGCTGAGTGGCGGCCAGAAGCAACGGGTATCTATCGCAAGAGCTCTATACCTCGACTCGGAGTTTCTCATATTTGATGATGTTTTAAGCGGCCTTGATGCCAATACCGAAGAGCAAGTTTATCACAAAGTGTTCTCTCGCGATGGGCTTCTCCGCTTAAGAAACGCGACAGTTGTACTTTGCACTCACTCTATCAAGCATTTGCCATCCGCGGACCACATTATTGCTCTTGGGTCGGATGGGAGTATAATAGAGCAAGGTCCATTTCCCGATCTGATGGTAAACAACAGCTACGTCCAGAACCTAGGGATTAATGAGGCCAGCATTGATACTATTCAATCAGGCAATAATCTTAACCTCAGACCCTTAGATGCTAAGATGTTCACATCCCAAGAAGACTTGTCGCCGGCCACTGTCATCAAGCCGAATACCCCCGACATCGCGGAAGAACAGGAGCGTATTACGGGTGATATCGCAGTCTACGTCCATTACTTCTCACGAATTAATAAGATTATCACCGCGGCTGTTATATCCTTCGGTGCTGGGTGGGGGTTCTTCTCTAATTTTACCACAATCTGGCTGAAATTCTGGTCCGAAGATGTAACATCCGCGCATCCTCTCCGCACGAACTCGTTTTATATCGGCATATATGCACTTCTTCAAACAATGACGCTTTTATCTTTGTTTTTCGTCTGCATTGTTTCTTTTAGGACCATGATCGTACAGTCAGGCGCTACACTCCACAGAGAAGCTTTGGCTACCGCCGTAAACGCACCACTCGGTTTTCTCACTACGGCTGACACCGGTGCTATAACTAACCTCTTCTCCCAAGACATGACTCTCATTGACGGGGAACTCCCTCAGGCATTTCTGAATGTTGTGCTCCAGCTTTTCGAGTGCCTAGGAATCACTGCAGTGGTGGCTACATCTTCGCCGTTTCTTGCGATCACTTATCCTTTTCTAGTTATTACTATCTACGGCATACAAAAGTTTTATCTTCGCACATCCCGCCAGATCCGCCTGCTAGACCTTGAAGCTAAGAGTCCTCTTTAGTAAAACTCCTACCCCGGTGGTCTCCGCTATTGGAAGCGCTAACAAGGCACAGCTCCCTTTTCATTGACACGATCAATGGGATCGCAACTTTCCGTGCCTTCGGCTGGGCTCAGGACAGCATTGCACTCAATAATAAATACTTGGATGCCTCGCAGAGACCGGCTTACCTTCTTGCTATGATCCAACGCTGGCTTGGTTTCATTCTCCAAATTGTAGTCGCAGCACTTGCATCTGTTGTTGTTACTCTAGCGACGCAACTCCACTCAAACAGAGCGTTCACCGGCGCCAGTCTAATCACTTTGATGAATTTTGGCAACAGCCTCTCCTTCTTGGTTCGCATGTACACCTCACTTGAGACATCTATTGGCGCTATTAGCCGACTGAAGAATTTCGGCGACAAGGTTCAACCCGAGAGCCTAGAAGATGAAGATTTGGCTCCTCCGGTGGAGTGGCCTATTAGAGGAAGTATTCGAATAGACGGAGTTTCGGCCTCCTATGTGTAAGGTTCCAACCCTCCTCTTTACCGAGAAGTTGCTCATTGCCTGTTTCATCAGAGATGATCACCAAAAGTCGTTCAAGGGGCCGACGACTAGCAGAAATACTGGCGCTAAAAGTCAACACTTTGCTTTGAAAGATCTGAACCTCACCATAGCCTCTGGAGAGAAAGTTGCTATTTGCGGCCGAAGTGGAAGGTAAATCGTCTCCAAGTAACCATGCTTTATTTATGAATAATATTAACTGTAGGGTCCGCGATACAGCGGAAAGTCTTCGGTGATACTTCTACTTCTCCGCTTACTAGACCCAGCCGCATCGTGCGCGGAAAATATTTTTATCGACGACGTTCCTCTTCATAAAGTTAATCGCGCCGTTCTCCGTCAGCGCATAATCACTGTGCCTCAAGAACCGGTATTCTTACCCGATGGTACATCATTTCAGGCCAACCTAGATCCATTTGGTGCCTCGACAGGAGATGAATGCCGCGCTGTGCTCGAGACCGTAAATCTTTGGGACTTCGTCCATGGCCGAGGCGGCCTGATGGCTGGGATGTCTGCAGACACGCTCTCCGGGGGGCAGAGGCAGCTTTTCAATCTCGCACGGGCTATTTTAAAACGAAGGATCAGACTAAAGCAACTGCAATCGGAATTTGGAGAAAAAGGAGTAGAGGTTGGTGGTATCTTGCTTCTGGACGAGGTCAGCTCAAGCGTAGACCAAGACACAGATAAAGCAATGCAAAGGATTACTATGGGGGAATTTAAAGAATATACAATTATCATGGTTAGCCATAGGCTGGATATGGTATTTGGCTTCGACACTGTCGTGGTTATGGACAAGGGAAGCATAATTGAGAGCGGTAGGCCACGGGCTATGATAGAGACAGACGGTTCAAAACTTAGAGAACTTTGGATACACGCTAATAGAGGATTAGCTACAGAGAAAGTCGAAACGGAAAAGTCGATAGTACCGAATCGGTAACTCTAATAACAGTGAAGCTATCTTAATAGAAAAAAAAAGAAAAAGGCCTCCCGCACCCCCTTCCAAGTGAGTGACTTTATCGTCATTGTTGTCAATTAATTAAATACCTACATAGCGAATTCTAATCCGTCTTTAGGTTACGAATTGGGTATCTATAGACACTTTCTAACTAGGTATATAATTCATATAGCCAGAATTATTCCCCCCTCGACCCCCTTAACCTATATATATATATATATACCTAGTACGCATAGGGAAATGCTAAGACCCTAAAAGTTTTGGCCAAGTTCCGCTAAAAGTATCCTTATCAAGTAGTCGGCGCCTACCAGAGGTCCAATGCGATCATCGACTACATCCTGTACGTCCCCTCGACATAATCTTCCGACCTTCGTACATTTTTTGGGTTCAAATCCGAGTGGGCGATGATATATATACACAAGCAACCTACAATTTCCACTCTCTCTGATGGTTACGCCGTGACTTCTGAAGGGACGCAGTATTTGACTTTCGCGCGTTTGCGGTGGGGGGACACTTCACGTCGTTAGAGATAGCGTCGAGGAAGCCAGGGTTGGCCCACACCTGGGACATGTCCCAGATCATGACACCGGCGAAGCTTGAGAACTTCTTGCTATAGGAAATGATAGGGGCTAATTGGTTGGGCTGCCTGTACGACGCCTTCTCAGAGGAGGTCACGGCAGAAGGACCACCAGGAATACCGAGGAAGACCTTGACATTTGGGTTCTTGCTCGAGTGCGCCCACTTATCCCACTGGTCCATGTTGAAGCCCGACTCCGAGGGATTGTCGGAGCTGAAAACTCGAATATCGCACTTAGCATTGTTGTAGAATTGTACCATGACGAAGTCGAAGGCCACAGCATCATCACCGTGCAAGATGGCTTGATTGTTCTGGTCCGGGAACGGGCACTGCGGCGCCGCGGCGAGATAGAACCTCCGCCCCCCTTTGCTGTTGGCATCGTCGATGTGTTGACGCAGACGCGCGGCGAAGGGTGCGATGTTCTGAAGCGGGGCTTCAATATCCAGGTCGAAGCCATCGACAACAGTATTGCCGAATGGGCGCGGGGCAGGACCACCGCTCGGGGGGCCAAACATAGCCCAGACTTGGTCAGCTAGATATTGGGCTTGCTGCGGGCTGGATGGTCCTGTGTAGAACATGGCACCGCCGATAGACAGCAATATCGTTTTGCCTACTCCCTGGCATGCAGCAATGTCGTCGCCAAGGTTTTTGTCATCATCCATATTTGTCAAGCTCAGCTGGATCGGGTTGAAGCTGGATAAGAAAGCGATAGGGATAACGTCCACTGCCGCATTAGTGCAGTATTCCGCTAGGTTCTTTTGAGGCTGTCCTGCGCTAATTGCGCCGGCCGAGTTCTGTCCCCAGTATATCGCAATATTTTCGGTGACGCCCGCGTCATAGCCGGCAAGGGCCCTAGAAGCCCATAAGGAACAAGCCACGAGGGTGGAAAGAGATAGCATGCTGATGTGAGAATATGGTGAGAAAGCAGAGAGAATTGAAAAGTAAAGTTAATATCTGAGTAAATGTCAGACGCTGTGCGACTTCTCAGAAGAGAGAGAGAGAAAAGCAAAGCGGGATAAGACCTCTTCAGTGTGGCAGCAAAAGGGGAAATAAGGAGTGTTATGACGTTTATAGAAGTGGTCGGATCCAACCACCAAGATAAACTTGGGAGCTTAAATATATGCTTTGGGAGGCTTCGAAGCAAGAGGGGAATTAAGAGTCTAAATACTACAGACGAATGCTTGCGAACCGTTGACGAAGGGAGGTAGAGTTCCCGTTGGAGGTGCGGCATACATTCCAGACGATGGCCAACCAGCCTTTACGTTCCCGATAAACCAATTCTTACCGCACGATGCATTCGGTACTCTTCACATGATTTTAAGTCTATCCTATTTTTTTTCGTAAAAAAAGGAGAAGAAAAGACAATCACGAGTGCCCCATTGAATCAGTCTTCATTGACATTGTGAGGCAAAAACTTTAAGTCGTATATACCTAGCAGAGTAGCCCCCCTAGAGGAAGGCGATGTCCAGCCTTGGCCAACGAAGATGCATCTTAGCGTCAACTAAGGTTAGACATCAGATCTATACCTAACTACGGTCTTTCTCTATTGTCAGAGTAGAAGAAAAGGAGTATAAATCCTCTTGGCGCCCCCTTTTCCCGCTAAGCGCTAGGTTAAATCTTAGGCCTTGTCAAGGCTCTTAGCTTGAGAGGGACGGTACTATGGATAGTACATATCCAAAAACCTTCCTGTGCATGTAGGTACCTATATAGTAAGTACCTAAGTACATATTCATTATTGAAGACCACGAGAAGGCTGGGGGTTGTAGTATAGAAGACATCCATATGACTTGGCATGTGAAAGCTTAGCTCGACGTCCGAGTTTATTTACTAGGTACCTAGTATATCAACATAAAAGATGTTACCATCCACCGAGTTTGACCGATATTACATACCTACCTACATAGGTACTTATGTATGCGCCACCGACCTGAAACAGCGCCTAGAAAACGCTACCTTGGTACCTAGTAAAGAGAGTTAACGGCCCGCTCTGATAGACTTGAACCTTACATCCCTTCATACTTTGAAAATACCAAGGGCGCTCCGATAAATCCACTACATGGATACCGCACACGTGGGAGATCAAGATATCCGTCGCCTTAGCCTAAACTTTACGGGTGATTAGGTGATCATCTTTATCTTAAGACGGAGTTTTACATAGCATCTACACTAGGATGACTATCTCCTTTTGAGTCATCGCCTTGGTTGGGCATATGCGATAATTGAAAGTCTGATGATTAGATATTTCGGGATCCACCGGGATCGCTGTGTCGACGACCAAATATACTTAGGTACTTTTATGTAGCTATATACTAGGTACTAGGTAGATAGATAGACATATACTTATATATAAATACCATTGATCCGCCGCACGAGTTCAACCCTCAGTCGAATTAAGTGATATACTACTAGCCACATCCTCCGTGTCTAAAATATATACTACGTACCTTTATATACTACATGTGCAAATGCATCGCTGTGCTACCGTAGCCCCTAAACTCGCTCTTTCTGTACAACGGGCCCCGAATTACATATTTACCTGATGTGCTATAAATGCGTGTATGAGCCTACGCGAATGCTTTTCTGTCGAACTCCAATATTATCCCCTTCGATGCCAACCCATGCAAGATCCAAAATATTACCTCAAAAACCCCTACTGAAACGCCGGCGCAATGCTTGGGGAATCCAGCAGGTATAAATCCAGTATTGTTCACTCCGCCCAATTTCGAGAGAGCTTCGCCGAATATGTTGGGCGGTATGACATAGAAAGATCCTCAAGGTAGAACGCTCTGCCTCCACCGTTCTACCCTGTCCATATGACCAGGTGCTTGGGGTTGTACATTATAAGGAGAATTCGCCTGTGCATACGTGACCGGAGCTCCTACCATCCCGCTGTTCATTCTCCCATTCATGATGCCGCCGTTGCCTCCTATGTCTTGGTTAGGATATCCGCCCAGTGCCGTGCTTGTTCGCAGGTGGCCAGCTCCACCGCCTGTGCCGTCATTGAACCTGCCAGCCATGTAACCTCCGGGTCGATTCAAGTTAGGCGTGCTAAGATTAGAAGGCATCTGACTACGGAGGACAGCCAACTTCTGGTCCTGCTCTTGTCTGTAGCGGGCAGCCTCTGCTTGCTTCGCTCTCTCTGCTTCCGCCCTGGGATCAGTCAAAACGATCTTTGACCCATGTGTGCCAAGAACATCGGCAAGCGAGTGTCGCTTCGTAAGTTTTGATGCATCATTCGCCCCGCCAGAGAGCAAGGCACCAGCCGCTCCGTGCTCACGGTCTTCTCGTTCTGCTTGTAAACGACGACGCCGCTGGCCTAACGTCTCTTCTTCCTCCTTTGCCTGAGATTCCCGCTTATCTTGGGCCTTCTTGTCACCATCGTCCTCCTTGAATGCATCGCCTAGCTGGTTGAGAAGTTCGGCCGAAAATGCCGAGCTGACCGGTCTAGCCTGAGGTAGGGGATTATCGCCTTGCTCACGAGCCTTTAGGCGCCGCATACGCTCTCCTAGAGTCTCGCCTTCGATATCCTCGTCCTCTGGGGTATGTACAAGAAGCTGCGGGCTGGGCGCTCTTAAGCTACCATTCATGTTATTGAGACTCTGGCCAAGTGTCATCATGCTCGGCCTGTTCATTGGTCCGACTTCTCTACCCTGAAGCCGATCGCGTCGCCGACTCAAGGGTTCATTGTCCTCCATATCCCGACGTTCCATTAGGCCAAGCGGGCGATTAATCTCGGCGATAGCGGCTACCATGCTATTGCCGTGCCCTTTTGCAACCACAAGCAGCCCCAGTGGCGTATCTTCATCATCTTCATCATCAGCTGGTCCTATGTTTGGATCTTCCCAGGCAAGATTGACCTTCTTGCCTTTACGAGCGTTGTGTTCAATCTGGGCAACTGTATCCATCTCGAGTAGCGTAGAGTGCATACCATTAGGGTAAGCGGTAGCAGCCGGTCGTGTGCGGAGTTTCTGCTGCTGTTTTCGAATCTGGAGTTCAGCTAGCAAAGTCGTCGGGGGTCCATTGTAAAGCGGTTCCTCTTCACTTTCTTCTTGGTCTTCGTCTTCTTCTCCTCCGGTAGGCTTAGGCGTCGCCCCAGCTTCTAGAGAACCGGGTAACCGATGTTTCGCTTCATCGAGATCGCCCCCATGTCTCATAGTCTCGTCCGTTCCTATACCACCCGCAATAGTATTGCGTCGCTCTTCTTGAGATTCCGAAGGTTTACTAAGAGCGCTCGGTTTTCTAAGATGCAAGAACGAACTACGCTTCTTGGGTTCTAATAAATCGGTAGCGCTAGCACGTTTTATGTGTGATTTCCGTTTCTTATCAGACCCGTACACTTCTGATCCCAGCGACCCTGCAAAAGCGTGGTCTGTGAAAGCAGAGACGGGCGCCTTGGCAGATGCATCTAGAATGCTGTCCAAAGTGGCCATTGCAGAGCCATCCTTAAGTTGGATCGTGGGTAGCTCAGAGGGAAGGTCGAAAAAAGCACTGGCACGTAGTTGCGGTGGTAGTCCATCAAGGTTGGGTATCTTCGACTTTCGCTTTTCGGAATCAAGCATTGATATGCGAGACTTGAGAGCAGCGTCTTCTACCAGCCCCTGATCAGGTCGAGGCTGGACTTGTAACTCATATTCGCCATCTGACACTGGCCGCGCGTGCGGCTCGGCATTAGTGCCAGCGAGCGGCGTAGGAACGAGTGATTCGGATTTTGGTCCAAGAGGCTCGAACGCAGGTTGTGGCAAGTATTCTGGTAGCCAAGCGACGCCGGATTTACGATCAACTTCGGCTGGCTTATCCGAAACCTGTGACCTGCGTGCCTCCCGCGACTCCAATTTCGGTTTCTTGGACAGTTTCTGGGGGAGGTTGAGCATCAACGGGACCCGCGCCGGGTAATAAAGCATGGTGTTGCCAGTTTCGGGATCCAAATATGACTTTGGCCTAACAGTCGGGGGACCGATTGGCCCTGATATGATAGGTCTCACGTTACCTAAATCATTATCGCCCCTTGATGGATCTAGATCAAAAGGTCGTAGGAAGGCAACATCGGGAGACGGCCCGTTGAACGAGGGCAAGAATAAGGATTCTTCTGCATCAACATCAGATGGGCAATGAGCTCCATCAAAATCAGCAAAGGCTCTTTCGGCTTGCTCGTAAGTACCGGTTGACCCAGTGGGAGTTGGGGGTCTATCGTTACCGCCATGTTGTCTATTTCCATTTTGTGCTTCGGCATCAGCAACAGCTTGGTCCCAGTAATCGTAGGTTCCATACTGCTCGGCGCTAGGCGTGAGATCAATATCTTCCATCGGTGGTATGTGCAACGTCTCATCTACATCCGGCTTCTCAGCTAGCCTGTCTGCCTCGTCCATAGCCGCCGGGGTAAGGGTGGTAGGTTCCATCTCCGCGATGTCCGTCAAGGTCGGCTTAGAGGTAGACTTGGCGCTCCGTACGGAACTCTTCCCGGGACCATGTCTCGACATGACATTGCTAGAATCAGGCTCGACCCTCGACAGCGGGCCTGAACCAGACCTCATCCGTGCTGGGTTGGATAATAGAGAGGGATTTGGCGACATAACAAACCCGGCTGGGGAGTAACCACCGTAGCGTGCAGCACTGTTGGTTTCGAAGATGGAACTTGCAGTTGATAAGGGTTTCGTAACAGGAAAGGAGACAGGCTCGTTGTTTTCGGGTATCGAGCTTATGCTTGCAGCTAGGATTGAGGATCTTCGGCTGTCGTTGCGTTTCTGTTCTTCGTGTAGATCACGAATGGCGTCTTCAATGGACGATGTGATCGAAAGCTTCTCAGCCGTAGCCTCCAGCTGAGCGATATTAGTTGCATAAGACGTCGATCGTGTATTCAAATCAGGTGTAGGATGACGCAAGGAGACGCTTTTCGTGGACGCAGTACGAATAATTGGTTTCGGTTTAACTATAATGGGATGTTGGGAATCTTGCTGATGTTGACGCGAAATCTCCTTTATCTGCGATTCCTCTACCCCTGGGATGCTACCTGCTGCTTTTGAGTCGCGTTGATTAATCTCTGCGAATTTAGAAGTGAGGTCTCTCTTAAGGACGTGGATAGAATCTAGACTCGGGCTAGCTCTGTCTGGGGTTGGGCTAGAAGAAGGAGAAGAGGGCGCGGTATCAGGAGACACGAGACCGTATTCGTTACGATGGTTACCGGTGGCTCGTGCTGGGGATAATGATTGGACCATGCTGCCGATGCTAACGCTAACCCTGGTCCTTATCGTGGCCGTGCTGTCGGCCTTTTTGTGGCACTCTCTCCTTTGAGAATTGCTTCCGGCCAAATCGCGGTCCTCGCCCCCTCCAGTCCCTGAGCCTACTCTTGAATAAAAGTCGCTATCCATTGATAAGGGTGTAAAAGTTGACTCGACGGATGGGATGAAAGGCATGGGCGACGATGAGAGTGCCGGGGAAAACGACATCGAAGGTGATCTGCCGTGATTTCGGTCGTCGTCATCGTTATCATGTTGCGGAACTTTGCCATACATTACAGCCATATTCTAGAGCGCCACCAGACGTATTATCTCATTCCAAACTACCCCAAACTACTCGGGCGAAAAAGGGTCCCTATTTCTTAAAAACGGCCACTATTACGGAGAATGAACCACAGAGAGCGGGTCGCGGATGGCGGCAAAATGTTGTGCATATGCGTCGTCGTCGTATATAAGATGGTAGATATCTCATACGAAACAAAACGGGCGGGATATAGATGATTTCGACTTAAATATAAAGCGAAATAAGGAAGAGGAATCAAGGAAGATAGAGGAGTATTAGGTAGGACGACTAGACACAGATCTGACAAGATATGGTTGCGATAAAACAGAGATAACAAATATCCGACAAATGCGACATGGAAGGAGAGATCATATAAAAGAATGTAAGGTAGGTAAGCAAGCGAAACAAGCAACAAGATGAGCGCGGTAAGCTGCTGCGAACTAGTTACGTTGGCAAGTGATCGAATAATATAGGATAGGTATGATATAATAAAAAAATAAAAAAATAAAAAAATCTGAAGAAAAACAAAGAATGATAAGATAAAATCCGATCCTAGCCCACCGCTGTGGCGGTTGACAATCTTTTCAGTCAATCAATTAATTTTCCATGATAGGTAGCTAGGATTAAGACCGGGTCATGATCCTTGTCTGGTTGGTGGTTTTTTTTTTCTCTCTTGCTTTTGATATCTAGTAATTATTAATGGTGGACTGCGAAGAAGAGGGGGGACGGGTTGACGCGAGAGCGGTAGATACGATGGAACATGGCAGCATGGAGTATGTAAAGACAGAAATAGCAGGGACTAGCAAGAATGGAGTTGTCATCGATCGTGCCTGGATGGAAAGTTTGAAGATTTTAATAGGCTCCTCCCCTTCCCTGACTTCCCTGCTTTCCTGACTTCCCTAGTCCAGGTACATACCTACCTAGGTAGATTAATGTAAGACAATGTTTGTCCTCGTGCTTGCCATTTCAAGTCCATGTGGCTTATATCCAGTAGCTTTTCTGCAGTTGCGCGCTGTATAGTATACTTCGTAGGTAGTATTAGTACCTATATATCTACCTAGTACTCGGATACGGGCTGACGGGTTGAATTTTGCTATGTACATCCTGGTCCTTCGTGGGGAACTTGATCACAATCCTACCTAGCTTCATATTTTTCTTTATCTCTTGCCCTACATCTCAATGTAGGTAGGTGTCCCTAATTAAACAACGACAACTATAACAATGCACTATGCCATGAATATTACGTATACAATTGATCACCTGGTAAGAGCACTCGCTCTGTAATAATGCGCTGAGTACTTACGCATTTACGGAATTCAAAAAGGGGTAACCCATATCAGTTGACTCATGTCTATAATCATCTACATAGTAGCTTTATTCTATAGCTTCAAGCTTCAAGCTTCGGGCTTCAGGCTTCAGGCTTCACCGCAACCGTAACCGTAACCGCATTCATATAACTATAGATGTGACTTATGTAAGAAACCTAGGTAAGCTAACCCGTATAATTCAAAGATCGTGATCTCTCTTAATTATACCTAGAGGTCACCAACGTCAAGCTTAGAGAAGTTAGAAAAGTTATGCGCTGCGACGATAGATACGTCATGACTAACTCCATCGATCTCCATCGATGTCTGTGCGAAGTGGATATCTGGTTTAGGTCGATATTAATACTTCGTACGCATCCATGATAGCACTATCTTTCTTTCTGCCGCATTTCATCCGCATACGATTGGGCAGTTGGCGCCCCACTCCAGAAATAGTGTATGGTACACGATTCTAAAGTAATCAAAGAATGCGAGCTCGAACTCCATGCGCGCGCAGCTATCACATTTCTCCTCTTCCGTTTCGTCCATAATAGATAATAGATATTAGTACCTGTCTGGAACCTGCATGCCTAGGTATCTTCAGTCTAGATTCTAGATACGTAAGATTGTAAGAGTGCAAGATTGTAAGATTGTAAGATTGTAAGATACCATCCCCATTTCTCACTTTCCTCTCACATCTTGGAAACCTATAATATACCGCGTACTTCGTACCTAGGTCATGTATGTATCCTTCTTGCCCCACTATAGCAATCTTCGCAGCACAGCCTCTAATCGTCGGCCGCGTAATAAGATGCGGTACTACTGCTATCACAGCTGCTTGAGTAGCCTATAAGCGTAGCAATTATTAAGATTGAGATGAAGAAAGATTGCTGCCGGTGCTACGGCATCATAACATCGCGCCCTGCAAGGGTTGCCTCTGGTTGAAGACGCAGCCCAACCCAAGACCTGCATGTGACATGTGACGGCGGCGGCGGGAGACCCATGGAGAACTATCCAACGTTGGTGGAACTGATGTTATGGTTCGTACTGCGCAAAATTGCGATCGCACCAGTAAGTATCCGTTTATGATAAGACAGAGTGTATGTATATACATAAGTCTATAGTATATGAACGTCGACAATGGCTGAATGGGTGACTGTCGCACAAGCCACTCCCAGCTATGCATAGTAGAACTTGACATGCTTCCTGGCCTCGAAGGATCTTCCCGCCAACCCCTGTTCGCGATTATCAGATAAGTAGTCAAATGTTGCCTCACATAGGTATAGTGCATGGTATGTACCTACCTAGGTACATACCTATCGTAGATAGGTATATAATAATATGTAGCATCCATCTCTGACGCGATAAGATCTGACTGGGTAGGATAGATGAGCATTCTGAGTCTGGTACTATTGAACTGATATCTCTTGGCACAGCTAGCCTTACCGACTGGCTATCATCGAATGTTGATCCGACAGGTTATCGGCGGCAACATCTCTTACACACACCTATACCAAGGCAATTGCCCAAGATTGCCTTCAGTAGGGGATCAGATTAGCACGGATAACACATATATTCAACCTAAGTTTCCGCGTCTTTCGAGAAGAAATTCAAGCCGAAGCAGCAAATACACGGTAGTTTGAGGATGTTCCGCCAGCGGAATCTGTCATACTTGGCGAAATTAAAATGTAGCACCGAAAATTTGATTCGGGTCCCAGCATCTCCCTGACTCTTCCTATCGTGATGTGTTACCTACCTGGGTACGCGTGCTCATGCAGTGATCCTCCACTCCCATGTCTCCCTAGACGAACATTGATCTCAACCATCGCATCTCTCGTGCACCTAGGTCTGTTAGTCAGGTATTAGCCGCTTCCTTCCGACCATTATATTTTCTCGCGTGACATCGTGTTCATGGGGTGGCCAGGCTGAGCTGCGAGAAAAGGCCATCTTAAGGTTTTCCGTCGAACCACAAACGTCTCTGGGAGGTGTTGTATACTACCTAGGCAAGGCGCAAAGTCTTTTGCAAGATGCTGCGTCGGCTTAAAACATGCTACTCGTTAGTTGACCCGTGTCGTAAATACGCCTAGCATGAAGCCGACAAGCTATACCTACGATCTAATAACCAGAAGTCAATTGAGAATACCTACCTAGGTAGAGTCAATTATAAGTATCATGAATGAGATTAACACATCCCTCCACAGATCTCCCTTGCGTAACCACATTGCGGAGTACCTTTGCTAGTCTATCCAGTGTCTAGGCTGTCTAGGATCGGCGCTCACCTGGCAGCCTGGCCAATGCGACGGCCAAGCTAGAATATCCCGAAGCTGCACAAGGGCGGTCCGGAACAGTCGGTGAAAGCATAGAGACCTAACTATGTTACAATACTATTGTTGGAGAGGGCCAATAATAAAGACAAGCTATTCGTCAAGCCGCTTATTATTATTATTATTTTCGGAGGTAGGAACAGTAGAAGAAGTTCCTAGTATCTACAATAACAAAGCCAAATCAGCAATCATACACGAGACTTTTAGCTATTGTACAATACCATCAGTTGAGGGGTTTTCCCCTGGCAATATACTTAGGCAGGTAGGTAGTTGGGTAATAAAGGGAAGACGGACCTGATCAACTCCACATCAGACACCAGTTTGAGGCTCGCGAGGAATTCAGTATAGCGTGTTCTTGGTAGGATATGCAGTGCACATTCTAGGTAATCCATCTTATTACTTGTGTAGGCCGATAGACGCATGTGGTTCTAGTCTTGCTGCAACCGATTTATAATACTAGGTACCTAGGTAACTTCTCAACAAGAGAACTAGGAATACACCCGTGACGTGTAAGGTGCTCCAGGTACTTAGCTGTTGATTATACTCATTTTCAGGATCGTTCGATTTCTTCGAAACTGCACCGGATATCCTAATGAGGTAGGCATATCCGATCACTAGTCATTTCATAACACTCAGTTTTCGATGGGAAAAAAAAGAATGAAGTTATCAGATATGGGAGATCGACATCGGGTGGTGCGAAGACGATGATTTTTCTCTCCTCAGTAGTTGAGTTAAGAGTTAGTTAGTTTCTAGAGTTGAATATCAACATACATATTTATATACACACATACATTGTACCTAACTTACCGGTAGCCCCGGAAATAGGTGGGTTATGTCGGGTTTCCATTTAAGTTTCTTTAGTGAGTTTCTTTTAACTTGAATTGGTTATACATATGTACCTATTAGTCAGGTCTCCGTGTATATATTGAATACATTGATTAGTTATTCTATTCTTTCATTCTTATGAAAATTCCATTTAACCATAGCTATAGCTATGTGAGTTTTTAAGAACAGAATACATATATTCAAATTAAAAATAAGGAATCTAGTTTTAGAACCCCGATATAACCCCGGCTTTAAAAATCCATATTGAAGTGCCCCGATATCGCATAGATACATGTAGAGTATTCTAAGTGGGCGAAATCTGGGGAAATTTATTAAACAACTAAACCCATTAAAGATGTAACATCAATATTGGTGTAGTATTTCTTCAACGCTCATCAAGTAATATTTACATTCTTTAAAACAGCTACCGCTCTTTATATGGATTGCATGAAATACTTAGTCGCTCATTCTACCTCGGCAACCTTATATTAATGGGCAGCATTTCCGAAGGATGCATTTTCAAATGTCGGTCAACAGTATATAGGCGGGGTTGCAGGAACTTGAAGCCGTGATACCTGCAGTCGTACTAGGTATGGTACCTTGTTCCATCTTATAGCTCGTTTCATGTGTATATGCATGCTTGTCATGTTGGTATGTATCTAAATACTTTACTTCATAGATAGGTATACATCCATAGATACATTTGATGTATGTACCTAGGTATCACTCACCAATGTTTCTAACTCAGGTAAGAGCAAAAAACACTTATAATACCATCCATGATTACATAGATTTTAAATTCAATGTTCCCTACGTAAGTCCGAGTAAAAAGTCTAGCATGAAGTTTAAGGAAACTAGGTTTATTTAACTCGAGCTATCTGTTCCTCTATTCGATGTTATTGCCTTCCTGCCTTCTGATTCTATTTCCGTCACAGTGGAGTTTCTTCATACATATATCGACGGTCTACATACGTGTACGTACATGCATACATACTACCTAGTACATACCTATGTACACGCAGGTACATATATGTATAGGTAGCTACCTAATTCCCTATCTACATATGTACCTAGTAGGTATGGATTGATGAAAAGACTTAGTCTAGACAACTAACTGGTTGAAACCGGCAACCTCTATGGCATTTAAGAACGTTCTGGGTCAATTTCAACATAACCATCCACTCAGATGCCAGCTCTCATTTTACCACTTCCACCATTTGCATACCATGCAAGGTCACTTCAAACACGAAGCCCAAGCCCCAGCCAATCCAAGCTACTGGTCACTCTAGGCCGCTCTATTTCGTTCTCTCTATTCTACATATCTTCTCGCTAACTAGTATGTATGTAGAATATCTAGTAACTCCACCCACGATCCACTTCCCACTTTCCCCACCGCCCGGAGGAGACCGCGGGAGAGTTGCTTGTATCCATTATCCCCATTCCATTCAATGCAAACTAGCGGTGCGTCCGCCGCTCGTGGTTTGTAATTCTTGGTCCTTGTTCTTTTGGTTCATGGCTCACTAAGTCCATGGTATCTTTCGTCACGGGGCTAAAAAGTAGCTAGGAGAGGGGCTTATACTGCTTCTGGATCGAAGCCAACCTACTAACACAATGTTCTCCTGTCCTTACCATTATTGTTACCGCTCCTATTACTCTCATTTACTGATCTTCTTTAATCCATAACATTTAGGAATTCCTATTCTTTTGATTGCCTTCTTTTCTTCCTGCGCATCGTCAGCATATGATCTTGCAATTTTCACGCTGTTTATCTTTCTAATTTTTCTGTTTTGCATCCTTTTTAATATTGCTAGCAACCCCAATCCTAAAACGCCGACCCCTCACAATGGCATCTGGTGATGATGAATCGATGCATGATGATGCTTCAAGTTCCACACCTCAATCCTCTTTGGCGGCGAAACCTCGTCGTCGATTCGCTCCGCAACTCGTCGAGGAATCTGTGAAGTCTTCTAGTAAAAAGCAGCTTCAACTTCTGACACCGCCCGATTCTACCGTCAACTCAACTAGGAGACCCACGCGAGATGCTTCCGTACAGGTGGACGATACTGAAATGCCGGATGCGCCTCAGTCGGCACCGTCCAAACCTATTCGACGCTTTGCCCCAGTGCCAATTGAAACCACCTTCGATTCTTATAGAGTAAACAGTAACAGGAAGAATCCCCTCGGTCCTACCGCCGAATTGACCCCAGACCCCTCACCGACAACCCCGCAACCGTCCTTTTCTTTTAGAGTGGAGAGGCAAGGGGAGCACGAATATTCCGAGCAATCCCAGAACAAACCAAAGCGGAAATTCGCTCCGCAGTTGATCGAGACAACACGAAGATCGAAGAAGGCCGACCAACCAGGGCCGGCTACGAAGCCGATCGACAAGACCGATATAACTCCTGGTACAAATCATATATATGCACCGAAACCGAAGCGAAAAGCCGCCCCTCGCCCTGCCGTTACCGGCGTGCCGAATACCACCGGCGACAGTGAAGGCTTGCTTACACCACGCCGGCAACAATCCATGAAGCCCCACCCGAACACTCGGAGAGGTACGCGACAATCCTATACTCCCGACCTTGACACCATTCTATCATCCGAGTCGGAGAAGTCTTCCGAGGAAAATGACGACGATGAGGAGGCCCCCGCTCTCAGCATTGGAGCCCCCGCTCTATCTACCGGAGTTCCGGAGCAGGGGGAGGACGAAGATATCGGAGATTCGTGGAGCAGTAGGCACTACCATCTCCGTGACAGGAGGGAGTCTTGTGACGAGGAATTCTCCGGTTATCTGCTAGCTGTAGCCGCTAGGGAGGCTCAGAGGCAGCGCGAGCTGGAGGCGGCTATGGCGGCCTTCCCAAACGGTGTACGACCTGAGGGCGTGGAACACTTTCTTGTCAGAGATAACTCGGAAGATGACGATCCTCTAGACGAACGATTAAGGCACGGCACTTCGCAGCTTCTGCGCCGTAAGGAGTCGGACCCAGGTTGGGCTGTTAAGGAAATGCGAGCGCATGCAGAAAGGCTAGCTCAGGCTAGGCAAGAGAGGATGGGCATGGACGAAAGTCTAGATCATATGGATATAACGCCTCCCCCTGCAGATCCACTCTGGACGACATCTGCCTTTAGAGCATCGTTCGACGAAGAGATGCGGGATGCTCCGAGCCCAGTGATAAGCACACCTTCGCCTGCTTTGTTAGCTAGAGTAGACTCGCACCCTCGCGCACCCTCGCCCCGCGTCGCACCGGAGACCGGCCTCCGTGCCAGCCCATTTGGCATCCCCTTCGGCTTCCGTAGCAATGAACCGGAAGATCCCCAAATGAAAAAAATGCGCATGGCAGCCTCTCCGCCCATGCTTGGCGGCGACTTAACGTTCCGTGTTTGTCCCAGCCCGAAGCAGACGCGAATGGAACCAAGCCAACGATACTGCGCTGGTGGCAAACCTGAAGGGCATCGGCGGGATGTTACAGGGACCACGGGGCTGTGGCGTGGGTATTGTTCCGCTAAAGCTAACGTCATCGTGGAAACAACGCACACGGGACCTAATCTCCTAATGACCCCACAGGAACCGGCTTCGCCAACGGATCCATTCTCGGCCGCATTTACCGCATCCATGAGCATAAGTGGTGTCATGACGGGCACGCAGTCGCCCGGGGCCGTGTCTCCGACACACCGTCATAGCCAGCAGAGGGGCTTGTATATGCTTACGGGGCTAGATGAACGGCTGAAAAAAGAGAAGGCCCGTAAGGAGCTCGAGGAACGGATAGCGGCCGAATTCGACGATGCCTTCGTCACGCAGGTCTACAATTACATAAGTCTTGGGTATCCAGCTACAGCACGTGCCTTCGACTTAGAACTAAGCAAGATCAGCGGCATTGACCTATTAGAGCTGCGTAAGGATGATAATCTCAAGGTCGAAAAAGGCTTTATGCTACATATGGAGATGAGCATTCATAAGGGACATGGCCATTCGATGAGCGATTCCGATAGCGGCGAAGATTTGCGTTTCCGTACGCCGGAGGAAGATGAGAGAAGGGCTCGCAGGAAACCAAAGCCACCGCGGTGGATCGCCCTTAAGTTATACATACGGGAATGGGCGCGCCAGCACCCAAGTCTTAACGATGCCGGCTCTGGTGAGATGGCCTGGGGTGTCAGGGCTAGGAGAGGAAGTTGGGCCATTTAAATAAAGAAGCTATGTGGTGGAGGATATGATTTTTATTTATTTTTGGGGGGGTTGTTGCATAGCACCGGAGCGTTTGTTAATTTTGTTGTATGAGATTTTTCATGAACGCGAAAACGTGCCTGTCTATAGTAGGGACGGCTTTGGATCTGGAGCATGTAGGGGATAGCACTTGTTCAGAAGGTTATTGGGCTAATTAGTACGCCCGTGATATGGGCTGGCGTTAAGACTTCACTTCTGAGAGACGGGTAAGAGAAGAACTGTAGAAGAGAGATTTGTCAGAGTTACTCAAGACCAAGTGAACAAGGAGAAAAGGTGTTATAGAACTCTTACCTTCTATAGTGAAATTTCTATACAAAATGAAAATTTACTACTAGTATTTGGTGTAGCTATCAGTATACAGTATACTATAGGTACCTATAAATCTAATAGGTACGTACCTAGGTCCTAGGTACCTACCTATACATCTAACAGGCGGGGCAGCTCTCAGTTTGGCCAAGACCTGTCGAGCCAACTTCCTTGCTCCTGTTGTTACCTTCCTTAATTGTATTATAATAGGAAAAGTCCGGTCTGGTCGACTCTTATCTCCTGTCAATTCTTCCTACACATCTAGGTAATTATCAACCATGCCACGCTACGCAGCCAGCGATGCAGTCGTCTACCCTCGAATGACGAAAGTGCGGGGAATAAGACAATATCATGCCAAGTTTCTATCAACATTGAAAGTAAATTAGTTGATAAATACCTAGATAGGCACGTAGGTAGGTAGGTATGTATATGTAATGGGAGTAAATCATATCATAGCACATGTTGGATAGATTCGTTATCTTGTTGCCTCGCTACGATATAATAAGATGTCGTTGACCAGATTTCAAGCTGTCTTTGGTCTTTCTTTACTGATTCCGGTTGTTCAAGCTCAATTTCCCCCGACGCCCGAAGACGTCACCGTTCTTAAATCTAGGTTTGGCAACGGAGTCACGATTAGTTATAAAGAGGTGAGAGAATCCAACACAAATATAGTTATAGTCCCTACATAGGTACTATACAAATACATGACATAACGAGTTCTGTCTATCATGTCTTACTTTTTCTAAGCCAGGTATCTGCGAGACGACGCCGGGTGTCAAATCCTATGCTGGCTACGTCCATCTTCCACCTAACTCACTCGAGGACTTGGGGGAGGACCAAGACTACCCTATCAATACCTTCTTCTGGTTCTTCGAAGCTCGGAATGACCCTGAGAACGCACCGTTGTCTATATGGCTGAATGGCGGTCCGGGAAGTAGCTCATTGTACGGGCTCTTCACCGAGAACGGTCCTTGCTATGTCAATTCTGACTCTAACTCAACTACACTGAGCCAGTGGGCATGGAATACAGATGGTAAGTGGAACGGAGAGATTCTCCTAATGTCTAGGTTACATTTAAAAATACGGTATCATAGACCGTCTTACTGACCCGCTCAAGTCAATATGTTATTTCTCGATCAGCCGACTCAAGTGGGCTTCTCATATGACACATTACAAAACGTCACCAAGAATCTTATCTCTGGACAGACTGTTAAGCTTGATGAGTCAGACTCCATCCCTGAGCAAAATACGACTCTCCTAGTCGGTACATATCCAAGTCAGGATAGAACCCATACGGCCAGAGGCACTCGCAACGCTGCCATTGCCTTGTGGCATTTTGCACAGACTTGGTTTCAAGAATTCCCTGGTTACCATCCGAACGATTCCCGGATCAGTCTGGCCACTGAGTCGTACGGCGGTAGATACGGCCCGGCTTTCACTGCCTTTTTCGAAGAGCAGAATCAGAAGATCGAGAATGGCACCTGGAACGGTACAGAGGGAGAGAACTACACCATCAATCTTGATACGCTTATCCTCATTAATTCCTGTATCGACCGCCAAGTTCAGTGGCCAGCTTACCCGCACATTGCCTATAACAACACGTATGGCCTGGGAACAGTCAACGAATCTATCTACCTACAAATGGTAGAGGCTCTCGATAAACCCGGTGGATGCCGTGATCAAATCGATGATTGTCGCGTTCTAGCACTTGTTTACGACCCCGACAACATTGGCATCAACGATACCGTGAACAAAGTGTGTTCAGATGCAGAGACATTCTGCTCCAATAATGTCAGGGGCCCATATCTCGAGTATTCGGGTCGCAACTATTACGATTACGCGTCTCTCGACCCCAACCCCTTCCCGGCCCCCTTCTTTGGTCTCTATCTCAACCAACCGCATGTCCAAAGGGCGATAGGCGTCCCCATCAACTACACCCAATCTTCAGGTGCCGTAGCTTCTGCTTTTAGGGCCATAGGGGATTATCCCCGGCCAGGATGGATCGAGGATCTCACGTTCCTGCTAGAAAACGGAATAAAAGTTCACCTCATGTACGGCGACCGAGATTACGCCTGTAACTGGATCGGTGGCGAGGCCGTCAGCTTGGCCGTCAACTACACGGGAACTGAAAAGTTCCACGCGGCGGGATACACAGATATCGTCGTGAATGACACGTACGTTGGTGGACAAGTCCGTCAGTATGGCAACTTTTCATTCTCGCGTGTATACGAGGCCGGGCACGAAGTCCCCGCATACCAACCCGAAACGGCATATAAGATGTTTCACCGCGCCCTATTTAATAAAGATATCGCGACTGGTACTGTCGACCTTGTTGATAACCCTGAATACGTCACCCAGGGTCCCTCTGACACGTGGGCGATTAAGAACCAGGACCCTCCCGACTTGTTGCATTTCTGTTATGTGTACGACACTTCTACGTGTACCGAGGAGCAGATCGAGAGTGTGCTCAACGGTACGGCTGTTATAATCAGCGGTATTATCAAGGATGGGAACTCGACTCGGTTATTCCCAGAGATATTTAGTGGCAACAGCAGTCCTTCGTCTACTACGGCCCCCGCCTCCGCAACGACTACAAGTAGTGCTGCGACTCATATCGCGCGAGATGGGGTCGATGCACTGATTCTCGGGGTTTGGGCTATGGCATTAATATTGATACATGCCCTATTGACATGATTATAGTGAATGGATAGGTTATCTTGGTACCACAGCATTAACTCGTCGGTATGTGTTAACAACAGCGAAATATACCTACCTAGGTAGATATTCTGCCGATACAAACTGAAGTTTGCTGCCATATGAATTAGTCAGGACTACGTGAATAGGTATGGATAGGTATATAATCGAAGTGTTAAGATACCTTGGTTAGGAGTGCACTCGTGTCATCAATATCGAAGACGAAACTCGTAATTTGTGACCCACGTATCGTTTCTGCCGACCTAGTAATAGTCGGTATCTTTATGCAAAGTTTTAACAGAGTAAAACTTATATCTCAGCTTCTTAGCGCCACCACACCATGGAATTAGCGCCTACAAATATGTGGTGACTCAAATTCTCGATTCGTCTAGTGGTTAGGATACCTGCTTGTCATTCTCTTTACGGGCCTTCGAATAGCCTAGCACAGCTGAATTCGCAGGTGGCCGGGGTTCAATTCCCCGATCGAGAGAACTACAGTTCGTTTCAATTTCCCTTATCTTTTTTTCCCCTTTCTTCTCATTTTTCTTCTCATTTTTCTTCTCATCCCTCCTCCCCCCCTTTTTTCTTCCCCCCCGCTACTTTTTTATATTTACCCCTTTAAATACATTGGTGAATTTCATCATTTATACAATGTCGACTTTTCAAATATGTGGTGTGGTAATTGAGAAATGTCAGATACCGTTGGTTCGTACGAATGTTTCATTCAGACGTGGGTATGAAATTGATTTGTCACATCGAGTAGCCAATTTATGCTTAGTTCTCCCAATGTGTTGCATTCCATTCCAAAAAGTCCACGGTTTTTCAGCCTGTATGTAGTGTAGTGCCACCATTCGCGACACCGGCAATGATTGGTATCGACAGCTATGTAGAAGATTCGTTCGGAACCACGTACTCCGAATATGTCAAGGGGTCATATGTTAGTCAATGCTGATTAGAAAACAACCTTGGGATATCGTAAACCTCTCTGGTTTGATGTCGATTATAATCATTAACTCAGTAGTTCAATATTGCAACGACTACGCTAGTATAAATCGCGTCATAAAAGTGCTGACTACTGCAGTCATGGCTTCAATGACTCGATCGTCAAGCGCCATAGCTTTCGTTATCGCCGTAATCGTTGTATTAGCATCGGTCCTCTACCGGTTCAAGCTCCCATATCTCACATCTCTATCCCCGCACTTCGTCTTATACTCGTCGTCGTCAAAGACCTTCGGCCGATATATGAAACACGCGTCGTCTTTCAGATGTCCCCAACACACCTACACAACCGAAATAATATCGCTCGATCCCCTACTCATCTACATCGACTCGTTTCTTGCACCTGTCGAGATCGAGGCCCTGCTAGAAGCTGGCGAGTCCGAGTTCGCCCCATCCCAAGTCTACAAGCGAGGCCGCAACCAGGACACATCGGATCGCACTTCATCGTCGGCCGGCCTACCGCGCGACAACCCAACCGTGCAATGCGTGTTAGAACGGGCCGAGGGATTCCTCGGCACGATGCTAGATCCCTCCCGTGATGACATTGGACCGCCGCAGCTGGTACGTTATACGGCCGGTCAACGCTTTAATAGGCATCGTGACTGGTATGAGCGCCCGCAACCCGTGCGGAAAGGCATGCTGGGACGCGGGAAGGGCTGGAACCGCATTGCTAGCTTCTTTGCCATCTTGCAAGACCAATGTACGGGCGGCGAGACGTGGTTCCCGCTCATCAATGCTACCATTCCTTTGGATGCTGATGGGAAAGGGGATCGGCTTTGGAAAACGCATGAGAATGGCGGCTTGATGTTTAGACCTGTTTCTGGAAATGCGCTTTTCGTATGCAACGTTTTCTTTCCCCTTTCTTTCCCCTTTCTTTCCCCATACTCTCCTACCCGAAAGATATGTATTACTAGATTTTTTATTTATTTATATCAAGGAGCGACCGCTAATCCCTCGGCGCCGTAGTGGGTCAATCTATTCGCGAACGGCACTGGCGATGATCGGACTATCCATGCCGGTTTGCCGGTAGAAGAGGGTTTGAAGACAGCGATGAACATCTGGCCGCGTAAATTTTATGACTAAAATTGTTAGATAAAACGAGCCTCTAGTCCTACTTCATCATTAACCAGCTGGTGGGTTGTGTTAGGCGTGCTTAAAGGGAAGGTTAAGATGTTTCTTGTCATGGTGTAAAATGGTCCTGTTTTCGGCTATGTAGAGCTGTCCGGGTTTATGGAGCGTACATATTCCTGGCTCGTTCGATATCACGCCTGAACCTCGAGCCGCACTATCTAAGCTTGTACGATAATGTGGACGTCCGTGACGGTCGCCCGCGCCATCTTCTTTAGTAGCGTCCTTTCATCGGCCTCGCGATACCTCTCCCAACCGTCAAGTCCTTCCTTAGCTTGGATACTCAATGTCTCGTAGCCTTGTTTTATCACCTCCGCCACCTCGGTACTGGTCAGGTTCCTTTTGGAGCCTCCAGACTCGAGCATGGTCTTATAATGCGCGCTCACGCTGACGAGGGTGCCTATTGAATTCGATGGCCGCCTAGATAGTGCGTATGTATCGCGGAACTTCATCAAGACCTCGCCGCTCTCTACAACTTTGTAGAATAGATCATCGTAGGCAGCTGGAGTGGGAAGAAATGCCTCGCCGGCCGAGAGGGAAAGAGCCAAGAGGTTCACGACAAGATCCAGGAGAGAATCGAAGTGCGATAGGTCTTTGAGGTCGGCGGCGTAGGTTGTGAGGAAGCGGATAAGGGACAAGAGCGAGCGGAATAGCTCAGACCAGTGGTAATGCAATCGGGTTCGGGACCGGGACAGGTATGATATGATACGCAACATGATACCAACGCATAGAGTGTACAAACTAACATCTAGCCTGCGACGTAGGTTGTGGTTGATGCCGTCAATCATGGTATCTAACACACTAGTCGCTAAGATGCGTTCCCCTCGGACGGCAGGGAGGAAGGGCTGCCGCTGACGACAGAGTCTGACGGCGACCTTGCTCTCGTCGCCACATAACCGCTTACATAGAAGCTGATCTTCAATAAGTAGCCGGAAAACCATCAGGCTGAGATGCGCGTAGTTAGTAGCTCGGGTAGAGAGGAAAGCATGTTGGAGGAGGTAAGAGGTGAAGGATAAGAAACTGGAGATGGGCTGCTCTTCGCCCTTCTCGGCTGGCAGCGAGACAAGGTTGAAGCAGAAGAGCTTGTTGGCGTGGCTGAAATCGTATGTCCCTAGCAGTACAGCAGCATTCTCGCCCGGCCTGGCTGAGTTAGTAGTGGATAAAAGGTGGATGGGAGGATAACCTACAGTTTTGCGAACATCTGCTTAGCTTCTTCTGGATCGTACGTTGGTTTCTGGTTTGACTTCGGACCGGGAGCGATGGCTCCGAGCCCAATCATATTCAGTGTGCTCGCAATCGTCCATCCTTCAGGCAAATCTTGTAGAATATCGATGTATTGGCCCCTCAAACTTCGACATGTGTGCCCAACACATCTAACAATCTTCTGTATAGTCGCCTCGTTGACGAAATCGTTGAGCCGAAGTTGGTAGGGGTTTTGAAACTCAAATTTGTTGTAGTTTGCCAGCAAACCCAATAGCGTAAACGGTTCCAAGACCCTGTGCGGCGAGTCCGATTCTTGGATAAACTAAATCGAGTCAGTCACACCACGTCTTAGTCGGAATATTAATGAAGCCAACCTTCATAATGGCGGGGAAAAGATCCCGTTGTATGAAATATGTCAAGAGACTCGTCTGGTACGCGCCCGAAGTAATAGATAACACAACCTCGACGCCTTTCTGCCGAACTTCCACTATATCCCAGCCATTAGCCCCTTTATCGATCCCAGAAGCGTAGATACAAAGATATTTATAAACCCCAACTTACTCGATTTGCCATTGCGAATAATCCCATCTAGAGCGCTTACGAAATCAGTGAAGATGGCGTCAACCTGATCCAGCCCTGCTAACACGGCTATTATATCTGAGCTTGGATTCGTATACTTTTTCGGGAGGACGATAGAGAAGAAAGTGGTTAGGGTCTTTATACAAAATCCAATCCAGTTAGAAGCATGTTCCTCATATAGTTTTTTTTATCGAAAATAAAAAAAATATAAAAAAATAAAAATAAGATCTCGGGTTTTACCTCGAGGGCGTGCAAGTCAGCCACGCCATTGCCCTTTTTTAAGCATTCTACAGCCCGGAAAAAGAGTTGTTGGGTTTGCAACTGAATGCTTATTAAGTCATCGGGTCCAAGCCTGACGAGTATACTCTGCAAAGATAGTCGATCGGGTTTTAGAAGGAAGAATTCTGTCCAGAAGCCCTCAGGCCTATCGGTGTCTGGATCAACGTCGTCCTACTCGGGCGGAAATGGATGGTCAGCGACCCAACGAAGTACCAAGGCGGGGCCGGCATACCTTTGGATCCCATTTGTCAGCTATTTGGCCAGTCCTAAGATGATAGGGGAAACCGATTGCTCCCGAACCTTGAATAGCGCCTCGTATAGTTGGACCACCTTTGGCTGGAAGGATTCAGGTCGAGCCTGTTGGGTCAAGGGAGAGGCAGAGGGATCCATGACCGACAACGGTGGAGGTGATGGGAATGAGGGTGAGGTATGAAAAGACGAAGACACATATACGCAGCCTATGTGACTATTGTATAATGTATTTCAACTGCTGCTTATAGACGAAGAACCATCTCCTTGATGATAAGAGAAGGGTGTAAATGATATGATATCGTATTGACTCTGGACAATCGCAGGATAACGTAAAGTTAGTATGTACAGAGCAGGTAGGTCGGTTCAAATGCGTGCAGTAGGTTATGTAGATATGTATGTACAATATGATAAGATAACATTATTCGACACGCGAAGGGCATCACGACCATTTACATGTACCTACCTATTAATTGAATTGATGCGACTACTAGGTAAGGTCAACTGCCAGGTGGTCAATAACCTTGAAGTACGTAAGTGGTACCTGGATACATGAATAAATATATATATATGTGCATATGCATGCTCTTACCATAGCTGCATAGGTATTAAATAGGTCTACATTTACTGTACCTAAGTACTTTTTTACCATCAAGAAATGTACTAGGTACTAATATGTATGTAGGTATTCAATTAGCTCAAAAAGAATAACCCACCTAATTAACAACATCATACGGAACAAACTATATTCCGTAGAAGCCGTTTGCCCGACAGTATGGTTGACCAATAATAATTCCTTGATTGGTTCGGTCAGGACCGGAGTCCCCTAATCGACCGATGTCATCAGATGACGATTTCGGTACCGTTAATCATTAACTAGTTATTTTCTAGTTTTGCAGTTTTGCCATCCATTGCGATTAACAATCAACAACTGCCTAGTAACTAATACTAATCCAAGTCGTCTATACCTACAAATGAACAAGCCACCTGGGCAATTCACAAACAGCTCACGTCCATTACCATTCCTAGATGCCGGTAATTATTCTATAACTTAACTGGGGTATATATCTGCCACAAACGCGCAACCTCTTGTACTTAATTGTCGTACTCTACCGTGCACATGAGTTCGCCGCGCATAGCTCTTTCACGAGCTTCGACAGGCGTGTTGGGTCGCCTCATTACCACTTCTGCCCCCAGGACACGACCATGCGAGAATCTCCTGCGACAGTTCTCTCACTACCAGCCTTGGTATAGCCCTTCAGATAAACTCCAAGCCACGCCTTCCTACCAACCCTATCCTCTGAATCCAAACCGGAACCTGCCTTCTCAGCCACGCAATGACCCTATACCAGAGACTTCCATCGCCAGTCCGATACCAAAGGTTCATGAGACACGACCACCAGCTCCGGCTCCGACTCCGACTCTAGCGCACCGAGATACAACTATAGCTACTACAGCCACGACGGATACTACGACTGTAGCTTCGCAGCCCCGCTCCTCCGTGACGGAACAAGAGACCCAGAAGGCAAAGCCAAAGTCGACCCCTCCAAAACGCAAGTTAAGGCCACGCAAAGCCGCATTGAAGCTCACTCCGTCAGCCGTGGAGCAACTGCGCGTCTTGCTGGACAACCCGGAGCCGAAGCTAATCAAAGTAGGCGTGCGCAACAGAGGGTGCAGCGGCTTATCCTATCATTTTGATTATGTCGATGAGCCCGGAGCTTTTGATGAAGAAGTGGAACAAGATGGGGTAAAGGTCTTAATTGATAGCAAGGCGCTATTTAGCATAATAGGAAGTGAAATGGATTGGGTTGAGGATAAGCTAAACCAGCGCTTCATTTTCCGCAACCCGAACATAAGTAAGTCCCACTTTCTCCTCCAGCCAGCCACCTTGATAGTGCTAACATGTCACCTACCTGCAGAGGAGGAGTGTGGCTGTGGCGAGTCCTTCATGGTGTAGTAGCGCGCAGCAAACGATGACGAATCGAGATACCACTCACATGCATCAGTCGGCGTTGCTCTGCTTATATTTAGACCAGTCATACAGTTATTATACAGTTATCATACACTTGGTTGTTGTGTATCGACCCTGTCTACTCGACTCCATCCTCGACTCCAAAATTCCATGGTAAACCAATACGAAGAAGAGTCCAATCCCACTTAGATAGAATTTAAATCTTAGTTGAGATTGCTCATCAGCCCGCTATTCCTACACATATGGCCATGGCCACCTCATCATTCATTACCTAGCGGTTAGCATATTGACCGATCCACCTCCCCTTAAGGCGGGCATGCCATCATACCCACGGCGAATACGATGGAGGAATTCTTCCTAACTCGATGTCGATACCGGCATCAGGTCTCGTGCCCACAAATTCGACATGGAACTCCTCCGTCTTCAATATAGGGCCATTCGTTTTGGTTGCATCAAGCTGGATCTTGTCTTCGCTCACCGTAACGCCACGTATGTCTGCTGCCTCAAGGCGAACACGCGTTACTGACGAGGCATTGATGCTGCGCACCCGGCTCGCTATTCTCCGATATTGATCTCTGATATAGACGACAGGCCAACCATGGCGCCTACTAGTTCCTGTCGCCTCATGCACCAGTGCGCGGAGCACTGGGATCGACGCCGCCATTATAGTAGTGGCAACCTCTGCTATAGACCATATCGAGAGTTCAAAAACGTTGTCTGCATAATTCATAACCTTAGAACCAACTTTGCGATAGCCTCTTTCACAAATAATGATCTCGGATGATTTCGCTCACCGGCAAACTCTTCACTTCTAAGTACTCGAAGTTTAGTGCACTTGATGATTGCAGTTACTCCCGCGCTGTAGTGAGGTGTAAGATGAACCGCCGAACATTGCGCCATCAAGTGTCGTCAGGGTTGTCGAGCTTACCAAACACCCATGCTCATACCGACGGATATGCCTATCTTTTCACTCGTCTGCATCTGGAGGTTTATAATAATCGGCCACGGAAGTGCGGCCAGGATGAAGTCCATGAACGCGGAATATGCTATAGCGTCGATGAGTTGTTTACTCGAACAGTTGGGACTGTCATGGGCCTACCAGCAGCAAAAATAGTGACCCCGAGGATAAGATCTCTATTCCAGCACATCCCGCTGTCCTGTGTGGTTGGGCGGCATTGCAACCATCTGAGTATCACGCTGACACATGTGATTCCATTCATGGAGATGATGATGATACGAAGCACTACTCTCAACCGAGGCCCTGCAATCCTGATAAGTGTTATGGCAAAAGATGTCTTGCTCCATATTGCCGCAATGAAGAATAGGGTTCCTGTCTACTACAACGTAAGTATTGCCGGTTGTATGAATTAACCAATCTTGCTATCTCGAGGGAAAGCATGTACATAGATAGGCATAATATAGATAGATAGAAAAATGAATAGTTTTCCTTACTATAAAAGTAAGCAGGCTAACGTCGTGGACTCCCATTTGGCTGTCCTGGTCATGTTGGAAGAATACAGCTGCAACGCTGATGCTCGTGAGAGCGCCGGAAGCAATGAGAACGACCTAAAAAAAAGTTGCAACGCTGTGTGAGCTCGAGTACGTCTTTGGTACCAGTGGCCATGAAGACTAACCCATGAAGCTATCAAGACCCAATCGTCCCACCAAAGTCCCTTGCTCCTCTTAAATTTACAGAACACCCGAAGCCCGAGGAACGTCGTAGCGAAGGTGATGAGAATCCACACAACCGTGTCGATCCAGTGGCCAGCACTAGGTGTGTGCGAGTCCTCCATTAATTCAGATCCAACCTTGGCCGCCTAGACTACCTAGACTACTAGTCAGGCAATATTGTATGATATTATCGTCCTAAGCCGGGCGAAGAGGGAGAAGGCGGGCTCTTCAAAATTATTGTATGCATTCGTTTCTCACCCGGGATCATGTCGATATATTGGAACATTGGATTTCGAGACGGCCTAGGCAGGCGATAGGACCTGGGTGGCCTCAACTTTTTATCTTCAACAATGAAGTTATGTGCGTGTTGGAGTATCTGTGGAGGGCATATCATGCAAGACATGGATGGCGATCCCAAAGGCCATAACGGTAAGGGGAATCCTTCAACCCAACCAACCCCAAACGTATAGTCTTCGAGCTGATCACGCAGCTACGGTGCTATAATAGAACGCATCCCCAAGGCTCGTCCACTCGACGAAGTCTATGCGAGTAAGATCGGCTCTGGTCAAGGTAGGCAAAGCATCAAATATTTTATATACTGTAGCCATCTTCCCTCGGATTAAGCACCCGTACTGTAAGAACATTGTTTTGCAATGACGCGGAGAGAAGTTTGCGGCGTATCTGATGGTTGCACACGGAATACTTATGTGGATGTTACAGCACACGAGGTTAGGGAGGATTTAAAGTAGAGGTGCATGGAGCAAGTATTGAAGCAGATTGGTTTTATCCACCGGTAGAGGTAGGAGCGAAGAAGTGATATTTCATACGAAATGTGACCCTGCCGTCTCCATCTCCTTTTCAATCTCCCTCCCCTTCTCCTTCTCGATTTCCACTGCCGTTCTCATCCATACCGGTATTAGATGGTGGTTTACCGGGTTGACTAGCGGACTCCTCGATACCTTTCTTGTAGCCCGATCATTAAGTTGAGGTTAAGGGGCCTTACTAATGATACACTGCTTACTTCAAGAAAACTAGCCTATTGCAAGAGAAGAAAGACGACATGCATGGAGTGAGGGGGGAACGGCAGGATTGGCGGGAAGGAATACTGATATCGGCATCTACCGGTCATCGAGTCAGCCAATCAGCCTCCTGAGAGGTAGCCTCTTCGCTTTTGAAACATCATCACGTTCCGTGCCTCTCTGCATTGCGCCATCGCCACATTCATGTTATATTACCAACATATGCATTCTATATACCCAGAGAAGCTCTTTTAAGTGAGCGATAATTACCTATTTAGCACACTTCGCTGTGACCTTCGAGCACCGTCGAGCACAGGTCGCATACGGCGGACCAGTCCTATATCAACAGAAGGCCTAAACACTTAAGGACACCCATGACACCGGGTGACTGTTGTCAAGGAGGGCAGAATTATCCTAGTTGCATTACCATCCCCTTTTTGATGGCATCTATTTCTCGCTTACCCAGCGGATCTTTATGATCGAAGTTTGCCGCCTTGCGTCTAGCGCTAGACCACTGTGGTTGATGATGTCAGCTATGACCTCGTCTAAATAATTAGGTAAATAGGGCAAATCCGGGATGGCTCTGAAGTGTCCGCTCCCGGCGGCCTAGTTCTAGTTTGTTGGGAAGGTTTAACTTCTAACACCAGCGAAAGTCGGACGAAATAAGTCACCAGTTACGTACCGTTGTGATGTCTAAAGCATCGCCGCCAATACCGTCAATACCAGTATTTCCCTTCCCATACATGTCCTTGTATTTCTTCAATTCGGCATTCCAACCCCACGGGTCTTTCTTGCCTTTTTTAGGTAGTCCTACCTCGCCGGCAAGGTCCGCTGTGAGCTCGTCTATGTCTTCTGGACCTTGTAACGTAACACCACGCTGGTTGGCATAGGAGAGGATAGCATCATCGAAATGGTCAACTGCAAATTTCTTTTTGTTGCCCCTCTCGCCATCAAGGATGCCAACTTCGCGTAGTTGGGGGACTAGTTTCAAGAATACAGCCATGAAGGTGCCAAGGCTCTTTACATCGGTGGCGTCGCCGACTAGATCTTGGTTGTCCAGTTGAGCGAGCATGTCGAGAAACATGCGGCCGGCAAGGCGAACTGTAGCCTCGACGAGGGCACCATCATCAACCCTGGCCAGGCGAAGGGTACCATTAGTAAGATACGCAGGTAAAGAATTAAGATATGAGAGGCTCACATCATCATAATACCGCTGGCTGAGCTCAGCAACCAAAGAGCAAGACCCTCGCATACAGCCCATTGTTCTCTCCAACCACGCTCTGCTGCCTCGTCATAGTCTAGAAGCAAGTTTTGCACAATTTCTACGCAGCCATAGCCAGCATGGTCATTGAACGTGTACATTTGAAAGTTATCAGGATCACGCAGGTTGAGATGAGTATGCTGGATGACATATTTCCGGTAGCCTGCCTTGCTAACGACCCACGAGTGGTCCGGATTCAGCGAAGCAGGTTTGAAACATAGGCAGTGCTTCTTCCCGCATCCAGGTCCATCCCGAGTCGCACCCCCGACTTCGTCATCGTCATCGTTAGTATCTGCCTCCTCCTCCTCCCCTTTACTTTTGCCACCTTTGGTATTGTCGTCGTCGTCGTCGTCGTCGTCGTCTTCTTCTTCTTCTTCTTCGTCGCTATCCTGTATCGGCGAACAAATAGTCATAAATTCGTACCACTTGTCGGGATCATTCCAGGTAGTTTTGTAGTCGGCGTCGGCGTTGGCCGAAGCAGATACAACGGACCATCGTTTGCTTCTTGGTGGCCCGCCAGTCGGGGTTTTGGCTCTTTTCCTAGCAGAAGCAGCCGAGCCGGATGCGGCGCGTTTAGGGGGCATTTTAGCAATACTAAGTAGGAAGGTATATATCACATATGTATATATGATAACCAACGTGTCAAGTATCAGCCTTCAACTTTGGTGCAAACGCTTTTCGCGATGGATTTATTGTACTTCGGTGTGTACACTAGAGAATGTGCAGAAGACCGTTCACAAGGACAGAAAGTTTGGAATATTTGGAAATTGGTCAAGGCGCGACGAGTGAGCAGCTACTAATAGTATGTAGAGACGCCGACGCGCTCGGTACACGTGCGTTTTACATTAATCATTTAATGGGGTTTAATTACATAGGGACTAAACTGACGTCACAGCCTGTTAGGTACATACGTATGTATCTATTCAAATACAATGATTAGTTAATTATCAAGTACCTACTAGGTAGAAATACACAGTAAGAGAACTACCCTCGCGTCTATCCAGGACGTAAATCATATGCGTAGGTAGTCAGGTAAACCCCCATGTAGACTACAGTCGTGACCTACCCAGACAAGCTGGTGTGCCCACCGATGAAGTCCTCGTCATGCCATCGTAGTTTACTACCATTCCACAGTTTATAATAAGGTATCCGAACGGGGTGGTTCCGATGAGCAACAGTAATTATGGTATTAATTCATTCCACCCGTCCACAGAAAGCCACGGGAGAGATAGATACAAGACGGTGGATATGCATATCATCTCCCCACCAACACAGCTTCCTCTACAGCTTCCTCTACAACGTCCATCGGATACATGGCCCCGGACCCCCTTTACGACACTTGTTGAATGCTCACGTCCACAGCTTGGCATGACGGGTTACGTGGTGGTAGGGTAGAAACCCATGCGAGAGATTCGTAATAATAACCTCCCGTAAATTGATCGCAGACATGGAAGTTGGTGAGGTTGCCTAGAGTAGGGACTGGGTCTGGGTAGGTGGCATTGAATTGCGAATCATCGTAACCACCAGCGATGTATAGCGTACCGTTATCAGGATGAAAATATACGGGCGTGCCGTCCTCGACACTCGGGTAAATGAGAGCAGTGAGGACATTGCTTCCGAAATTGGGGATGAACCGCATCGAAGAGGGGACTGTTATGGTACCATTGCCACTACCTGCGCTCAACAGGTAGGTAACCCAGCCCGGCTGCAACGGCGCGCCAGTATCCGAATTGTAGGCAGTGTAGTTGAAGTAGAACTCGGTGACACTCCCGGCCGGAGGGGTGGAACCGGCCGAGTAGCAGAGACCTTCAATGGCAGCACCTGCATGACAGGCAGCAGCATAACCTATAACTACGGTTTAGAAAGATGTGTATATATTGTGCGGCAGAAGGGAGAGTCGTTACCGTCGATGGATGAGTTTCCTTTGCCGGTGATATGGAGCGCGAAAGGACCGGTAGAATTGGAGGCGGTCGCTGTTGCGACAAAGACGGCAAGGGCAGTAGACCGAAACAGCATTTTGAATACCCTTCTTCTCGACGGCGTTTTCTACTGGATGGAACGATAGTGTATCGGGAGTAAACGAGTCGGAAAAGGGGAAAAGGAGAAATTACGTTGCCGATTTATTGGTACGACTCAACTCTAAACATGAAAACAGATCTAAGATGCAAACGGCAAACAGGAAAGGCGAGATGAAAGAAATTTATAAACATTTCGGGAATTCGCCTCCGACATGTCTATCATTACGTCTTTGAGGTTGTAAGCAAGTGCAATTGCCCGATTAGACACTAGAGCTACTCGACTTTGTCGTTGCCCCGTCAGCTCATTTTAACAAGATGCGAAGGAGGATCAGGAAGGAGGAAGGTCAACGCAACATCATTACATTGTTTATTGCAGATCTAAAACATTTTACTTGTTATGATAGGATATCAATTGAAAGGTCGAAGCGAACCAACCATTCACGTTATTTCTCGTGTATGCAATGGAAATGGCCGAGACTCGAAAAGGTGTTCATACAAGTTCCGCGAATGCCCGAGCTCCCGTTATTTCAGATGCTTTGAAATTAACGCCGTGTTTATCTCAGGTGGCCTCAGACTAGTCACCACGCTGTGGCTTGTTTGTGGCTTGAGGGGTGGCTCGAGCTTTTGTATTTGTGGGCCCTGTGCGCAGAACGCGCGGTTTATTAATTTAAAGTTTCGTTAAAAAAAACGCGTATAAATTAATAAATTTTTATAATAATAATAATATTAATATTTTTAAAATTATTAATATTATAATAAAAATATATCGATATAATTTTAAAAATATATTTTAAACGTAAAATTTAATTTAATTATTTTTCGTAATTAATTTTTTTAATTTTTAAAATTTATTATTTTTAAATATTAAAACGTTTTTTAAAAAACGATTAAATTATATATTATTAAATAAATCGTTTTATATTTATATATATTTTTTATAAAAAACTTTAACCGCGTAATATAAATATATTATTAAATTTATATAATAAAATTAAATCGAAAAAAATATAATTTAAAATATTTTAAACGTTATATAAATTAATATATTATAAAATATATTTTTTCACGTAATATATTTTTTAAAAATATTTATTTTTTTAATTAATTTTAATTAATTATTTTAAAATTAATTTTTTAAAAAAAATTTAATATTTATAATTATTTAAAAACGTTTTATTTAATTTATTTTTAATTTAAATTTCGAAATTTATATTTTATTTAATATTATAAAAATTTTTTTTAAAATTAAACGTTATATTAAAATTAATTTAAAAGTTTTAAAAAAAAAATTATTTTAATTTTTTTAATTTTTAATTTTTCGTTTAATTTTAAAAATAAAAATTTTTTAACTTTTTTTTTATTTTTTAAAATACGATTTTACGCGAGTTACGAGGATTTTAAAAAATAAAAAAAAAAGTTAAAAAAAAATTTTTTTACGAAAAATTATATATAAAAATTTATAAAAAAAAAAGTTTAAAAAAAAAATAATTAAATAAAAATAAAAAATAATATTCGTTCGAAAAATTAAAAAAAAAATTTTATAATTAATAATTTTTTCGAATTTAATTTAATTTTTAAATTAATTTAAAAATAAATTAAAAAAAATTTTTAATATTAATAAATTAATTCGTAAATTAATTTTTAATTTAATTTTTAAATTAATTTAAAAAAATAAAATAATAATTAATTAAATTAATTTTTAAATTAATTTATATATTAATTTTTAAATTAATTTTTAAATTAATTTAAAAATTAATTAAATAATTAATAAAGAATAATACTGGCCGCGCAGTATAAAAACCGGATTTTCCCGCGCAGTACCCCGCCAGTATCAAGTGTACCTTTCCCCGCATATAAATCGCCGTACAAATACATGTACTAGTAATGGCTCAATTGTTAATTTTCGAAACTTTAATCATACCCCACTACACCTGTACATCTTTAACTTCAACCTGTTTTCTCTTAATGAAATAATTCAACAAAAATACAAATCTGACTTCAATCGAAAGGACTTTCAAAGGGGGTTCGATCGAGATAAGTTGCACCATTTAGGATTATCAATTAATTAAGCTAGAAGTGGTTGAAGTCAAGGCCGTACATTGGCTATTTGGTAAGCTTTCAATCGAAGGTCCTGATCTCATATCCTAATCTCATATATCAAGTACATCACTCATCTTTCGCCCGATTATCCAGTTGAATAGAGCTTCCAGCAGCATGCAACCAATACTAATCGATTCAGCTATTAACGGGCTTTTATATAAACCTAATTACAAAGATCTGCGATCCGAACTGATTACGAAATAATAGGTTAAACTGAAACGTATACTTCGGTGGTGGATTTGACAACTTCCAGTTCTAAGGGAAATACTGTCCCTATCGCCGAAGTATGCCTTTCACTTCAAACACTTATATCTCCTTCAATTCGCAACTAGCATGAGTGCAACCAATATCAATCGTATCTCCTTTCAACGCGCTTTCGATTGATACCAGGTAAGTATTTTCTTCGAATTAATCGATTACGAGAGAACAGGTCGAAGTTAAGGGTATACAGGCGAAATAAGGTTTCTGTCTTGTGTCAATCGAGTCATCGCGAGTACAAGTAGTTGTACAGCGATTTGTATGCGGGCAGAGGTACCTTTGATTCCGGCGGGGTACTGCGCGGGAAAATCCGGTTTTTATACTGCGCGGTTAATATTACTTTAATTTAAAAAGTAATTTAATAATTAAATTAATTTTTAAATTAATTCGAAATTAATAAATCGATTTATAAATTAATTCGTAAATTAATTTTAAATTTAATTTTTAAATTAATTATTTAATTAATTTAACGGTTAATTTAATAATTAATTAAATAATTAATAAATTAATTTTTAATTTAATTTTTAAATATAATTAATATATAATTAATAAATTAATCGCCGGATTAATTAAATAATTAATCGAATAATTAATTAAATAATTAATTAAATAATTAATTAAATAATTAATTTAAAAATTAATTTAAAAATAAATAAAAAAATAAATAAATAAATAAATTAATTAATTTAATTAAAAAATTAATCGAATCGAAATTAATGTAATTAATTAAAAAAAATGCATTTAATTAAAAACGTAAATAAATTTAAAGTTTTATTAAAATTTAATAACGCGTTAAAAAAAATTAAATTAATTAAATATATTAAAATTTTTTATTAATTATTTATTAATTATTTACGTAATATTTCGTATTTTTCGCGTAATTATAAAAAAAATTTTATAAATATTAAAAAAAATTTAAACGTAATAATATTTTTCGAATAAATAAAAATATATTTAAAATTTAAAATAAATTTAATTAAAATTTTTTAAATATTCGTAATTATAATAAATTTAATATAAATTTAAAAAAAATAATTAATTAAAATAAATTAAAAAAAAATAAAAACGTTTTAAATATTTTTCGAATATATTAACGTAAATTTTAACGTTATTACGCGGATTTAACGATATATTTATATTACGTAATTAAAGTTTTTTTTATAATATATTTTAAATATTTTTATTAATTTATTTTATACGATACGTTATTTTATTAAAATAAAAAATATTATTATTAAAATTAATATATTATAATTTATATTTAAATTTTAAAATATTTATAAATTATTACGTAATTAATTTAATCGTAAATAAATTATTTTTTATTATTATTATTAATAAAATTAAAAAAGTTTTAATTTAATTAAAATTTAAATTATATATTATAAAAAATATAAAATAAAAATAAAAAGTTTTAATTAATTAAAAAAAATATAATAATTTTTATAATATATATAAATTAAAATTATTTAAAATAACGTTATATTATAACGTATTTATAATTTAAAATAATTTAAATTTATAATAAAATTACGAAAATTATTATATATATAATAATTTATTTAATAATATAAATTATTTAATTATTATTTTAAAAGAGTGATACTGCCCGCGCAGTATGAAAAGTGGATTTTCCCGTGCAGTGTCATGTGATAGCATTGAGTGTACCTTTCCCCGCATACAAATCGCGTACAAATACTTGTACTCGCGATGACTCAATTGACACAAGACAGAAACCTTATTCCACCTGTACACCCTCAACTTCGACCTGTTCTCTTTCGATGAAATAAATTGACAGAAATACGAAATCCTATTCAATCGAAAGCGCGATCAATTACAATTCGACTGATATAAGGTGCATTCATACCAGTTGGAAACTGACAGAGGTATAAGTGGTTGAAGTGAGAGGCATACTTCGGCGATGGGGACAGCATTTCCCTTAGAACTGGAAGTTGTCAAATCCACCACCGAAGTATACGTTTCAGTTCAACCTATTATTTCGCAATGAATTCGGGTTACAAGACTTCAAAACCAGGTTCATATGAAAGAGCTTGAAGAGCTGAATCGATCGATATAGGTTGCACGCTTCTGGCAGTTGTATTCAACTGTAAATCCGGGCGAAAGGTGGCTGATGTACTTGATATATGAGATCAGGACCTTCGATTGAAAGCTTACCAAATAGCCAATGTATGGCCTTGACTTCAACCACTCATAGGTCAATCAATTGTTGATTCGAAATAGTGCAACCTGTTTCGATCGAATCCCCTTTGAAAGCTCTTTCGATTGACGTTAAGTTTATATTTCTATTGATTTATTTCATGAAGGGAAAACAGGTTGAAGTTAGGGGTGTACAGGTGTAGTGGGGTACGATTAAAGTTTCGAAAATTGTCAATTGAGTCATCGCTAGTACATGTATTTGTACTTGGATTTGTATGCGAAAAGAGGTACACTCGATGCTGTCACATGATACTGCGCGCCAAAATCCGGTTTTCGTACTGCGCGGGCAGTATCACTCTTTTAAAAATTTATATTAATAAATTCGAATTTAATAATTAATAATATTAATTAAAAAAAGAATTTTTTATTTAAAAAATTACGAAATATATATATACGTTAAATTATTATATATTAAATTTTTTTAAATTAAAAAATTCGAAGTTTTTTTATAACGAAAATACGTTTTATAAAATTAAAAAAAAATATTTTAATAAAAAAACCGTAAAAATTATATAATTAAAATTATTTTCGAGTTTATTTTCATTAAAAAAACTTCGTTTTAAATTTTATATATTTAATTTATTTATTTTTCGAATTTAATTTATTAAAATTATAATTAATAAACGTTTTTAAAAATAAACGCGTTAAAATAACGTGGTTTTAACGTTATAATATTTTATTTAAATTAAAATTAAAATAATAAAAATATTTTCGTATTAAAAATTTTATTAATTTTATTTTATTCGAAAATATTTATTTATATTAAATTAAAATATAAAATTATAAAATTAAAAATTACGTATTTAATTTAATTTTATCGTTTTATTCGTATTTTATTATAATTTTAT